GGGTCTTGGGTCTTGGGTCTTGTGTACGATAAGGATAAGACCGTCTCGGCAAGTTTTAAGCCTCAACATCTTGCTCTCTGCTACCGTGCTGTTGGTAACAAAACCCCACAGATACCCGGTAGGTATTTAAGTATAATATTCATTGGTGATATATATATCTAGAGTGTATGGATAGGGTAGTCTATTCACACCCTCGCGAGATCCGTTTATCCACAACAGAACCACCTTTAAAAGATCAAAACGACAATACATTATTCTATGGCACCCCTGCGCCTTCAAGTTAAGAACTTGGATCAATGGGAATTGATGAGCTTCGTTCGTGAAAGTCTCAAGATCGAAACCTCCTCCAGCAGAGCGAGGTTACGATTTTTGCATTTTTATCTTCATGTACATTGCTTATGTCTATTTAGTATCACATTCTGCTAAGATTGCAAAAGTGATAGCAGCTCGAGGATTTCCCCAGGCAGCTTCCCTTGGCATGGCATCTGCAGGTATATAAGGCGACCTTGGCATCTCATCTCAATCATGTACTACTCTGAAATACTGTTGATAAAATTAGATTCTGTTCCCATTTAAGTGATAAATAAGAAGCTCTTTGGATAAACAGCCTAGGTCATTCCATCACCTGTAGGAACCAGTCAGAAAGAACACGCATTTGAGGCGAGTACGTTGACACAAAAGATCAATTGATATACAGTAGTTTTCCATGAACTTTACAATATTTATTGAAACATCGCTACCTACGCAATGTATCAGGCTTCCAGTATTTACTAGTCTTTCTATTCGTTTACAAAGCACCAAGCTCCTTAAGCTTGCTAACCAGGCCACCGACATCCTCCACCTTACCACCACCCTGTCGAGCAGGAGGCTCTGAGTACAAATCAGCACCAGCCAGGAATTGCAGGAAAAAGGCAAAGTTGGAAAGGAGAACTTACCAATAACCTTGATCGTCTTGAGACGATTCAATCCATCCAGACCAAAGTCCTCGAGCTTTGTCTTCTCCAACTTCTTCTTCTTGGCCTTCATGATGTTAGGCAGACTTGCGTATCGAGGCTCGTTAAGTCGAAGATCTGTGGTGATGACCATGGGCAGCTTGGCGCGCACAGTCTCGACACCACCGTCCACTTCCTTTGTAACAGTAACCTCGTCATTGGCGCCGAACTCGACCTTGCTTGCCTGTGTAGCCTGCGGCCATCCCAAGAGACCTGCCAGCATCTGACCTGTCTGGTTGGCATCGTCGTCGATGCTCTGCTTGCCAAGAACCACCAAGTTGCTCTTCTGCTGTTCCACGGCCTTCTGGAGCATCTTGGCTACCGTCAAAGGCTCAATCTCCTCACCCTCCTTCAGTTCAACATGGATTCCCCGGTCTGCGCCCATTGCCATGGCTGTTCGCAGCACATCTTGCGCCTTGGGTGGGCCAGCTGAGATGACACAGATATCCTCGACACCGCCAGGTGCACGCTTCTTCTCTCGGATGCGCACTGATTCTTCGACCGAAAGCTCGTCGAATGGGTTCATGGAGTGCTTGACGCCGGCCTTTTCGACGCCCGTCTGGGACTTATTAACTCGGGGCTTGACCTGCAAAGGCTGTCAACGTTCTGTGTCTTTTCTGTTCGCAAATCTAACTCCCTTACAGCATAATCAATAACCCGCTTCACGGGGACAAGAATCCGTAGGGCTGACATGTTGTATTGCTATTGTTCAATGCGAGTGCAAGTTGTCGAGCGGCGAGATATTCACGAGGGCCGGCCAAGTCGTCATGGCAAAGCTCGGCGCGGTACCGGCTAGGGCCGGTCTCAGCTCAACCTCGGCCGACGGCCCACGTGACAGAATCGCCGGCCGAACCAGTGATGTCGGGATTTTTATATCCATGAAGTTATGTATTTTTGCTGAGATCTTGTTACATAGGTTTGGACAAGTTATATCACCGTCATTCGTCTATCAAACCAGTGCTCAGCATATATTTGTTACTTGTTACCATCGCGAGGAAATATTTGCGGCAACATGGAATAGTTGGCCCTCTAACAATATCGAATCGCCGGCAACTTAGACACAAATGCCGAGTTCAGCCACAAATAACCAGTTCGGCTGATCAACCATTCAGACAGGGAAGCATAGCTTATACACGGTAACAACTGAGGCAATCCCATAAAAGTCGAGTCTTGTAGAAAGAGTAGCTCCACTGATAAGCACACCTATACTCCAATGCTCCAACTCCTGTACATCAACAACATATCAACTATATCCCAACTTACACCATGTCTCCGCTCACCAGTCATCCCATCCATCATCCTGCTTCTTTGGTGGAGGAGCTGTTGTGTTCTTCTTACCCATACCCATAGCACTCGTTCCGATAGAGTTATTGGCAGGTTGTCTCTGGTCGGCCAAGTTTGAGAATTCGTCCCAGAAGCTCTTCTTGCTTTCATCCAAGGGAGCATCTCGGCTCTTTTGGTTATCGGGTCCCTCTACAAATCTGGTAAAGCCATCCTGGGCATTCTTGCCTGCTGCTTGAGCCTGCTTAGCGAAGGCAGAAGCTGTTAATTGAGCTTGCTTAGCAAAGTCACCCTCGGCGAGCTAATGGCATGTTAGAAGAAGGCCAAAATTGACTGCAAACATTGAACCTACCTGCTTAGCAGTGGGCTGGATGTAGCCATCGTTGACCGTCTTGGCGGTCTTTGAAACGGTCGACGTAAACCATCCGAAACCTTTAGTCAAAGTCGCCACGGCATCTTTTTGGAAATCTCCAAAGCCGAGGTCATTATCCGACTGACTAGGTCCAGGCGTGCTTCCAAAACCAGCATATTTTCCTCCTTGGCTAGGTGGCAGATGATCGGGCCGTGCCGCGTTGTCGGCTCCAAGCCTTGAGAAATATTGGTCGTCCACCTTGACCTTGCCTCCTGATGCTGCCGAGGGGCTCTCGTTCCGGTTTGTGCTGCCACTCATGGGGGTTCCAGTTCGTGAGGCGGGCTTCACAGGCGCAGCGGCAGGCTTCTTCGCACCAGGAACGTAGTCACGGCCTTCGACCTTGCAGCTCAATCTTTCCTTCCACTCCTCACCAACTTCACCGCTGTAGCGCTCTGCAATAGTTGAATCTTCCCATGTGATGCCCATCATCTTGGTCTGTTCATGCTCTTCAAAAAAGGTCCTCCATCCCTCATTGCCACCGAGTCGCATTCGTTCAATTTCGCTCGATTTGAAAGCGTCCATAGAGATACTTCGGACGAAGGAAATGTGGACACCGAGGCCTCTATGCACACCAGCACAGGAGAGGCAGATAAAGATACCAAACTTGGGAGATGCCCATTGTGGGGACGGCGCATTGCAGTCGCAGCAGATGTTGTTCTTGGATTCTTTTTGGAGAGTCGCGAGCTATTCACAGTTTCGGTGTCAGCGTTTGCAAGCGCATCGCAGAGCGACGAGATGGGCGAAGGGGAGGTCCAGCCGCTGGAAAGGGGACAGATCAAGAACTAACCTTGGACCGCGTCTCAGGATCAACCTCCCACATGCCCTTGGACGCCATCGCAAAGGTTGGATGCTTGTATAAACTGTTGAGCCTAGGTGGAGGTGTATTTTTGCGCGTAGATACAGGCAATCGCTATGATGGGTTGATGCCCAGTTGAAACTTCTAAATAAATCCAGTCGTACATGGAGGTGGAAGGGAGACGTCTCAGTGTACACTAGTGGCCGCCTCCCAACCAGCCTACGCCCATGCCCATGCCCATGCCCTTGCCTTCCTCCATGCATTTACTGTACACCACTCAGCGCTCAGTGCCTAGAGCTCTCACTCCATTGGAGCATGGGCCCAGTTCCTCCCGTGTTCAAGCATGCCATCAATTTTGTGGGCTTGTCTCTCTAAGGGGCTAACGTTGGCGGGGCACTTCTAACCATCTGCACTCTACGGATACCGTATCAATAATAACCATCAACTACCACGTTCTAGACCCAACATATGTCCACTATCCACCACGTGAGCGATAACATCCATTCAATTCTGTGTTTACTTTTAGTCTTTCCCTTACCTTTGAAGCCTGATCTTAGCAAAGAGCCCATCATGATGTCTAATGAGGTGCTGATATGAACTGCATCGGGACTTTTCGCAAACTCTAAGCTAAAGCAAATTGCTCATAGCTAAAGCTGAACCTACATGTGAACCATGCCCGCTGTACTCTGTACTAGCCCCCGCAACTCTATCGGGTTAATATCAAACGTGCATTGGATCAGTGATCGATTACTACGAGACAATTATGACATAAGTATCAGAACTCATGTTAATCACCAGTCACGCAGGTAGAATCATAACTTCATCGAATGCCCATTCATGATAGCGCTAAACTTTTCTCCCCTTCCACCCGCCTCTGGTGCAAACTAGTGTACATCCTAGCAGTAGTGTGATAGAGAAAAGGTGATACAAATACAAGACAACAGAGGGCCCGAGAGTATTTTTGTGTCCCGATGATGGAAATATTAGTGTTTTGATGTGAAAAGTAAAGGTTAACAAGTAAACACCATCCCGAGATTCATCAGAGTTCGATTCGCTCTTGCTATGTCCCCTCCAAAAAAGCTCAGGTAAGGTGGAAACCCCTCTTTCTTTCTTTTCATCGTTGTAGCGAGAATCTACCGTAAGAGAAATCGTTGAAATCGCATGCCCAAATCGTTAAGAGTAATCATCATGACATAATACGAAGTTCATGTCCGTGAAACTCGCGCCATGTCTGAACTTAAGCAGTAGTGGCGGGAGTGGTGGAGGCGGGAGTGGCCTCAGCCGCCTTGTTGGCAGCAGGAGCCGCAGCAGTAGTGGCAGTGGCAGCAGCCACGGCACCGGTGGCAGAAGCAGCCGCGGGGGCAGCCTCGGGAGCAGGAGCGTTCTCCTTCTGGGCATTGGCAGCATCACCCTCATTCTGCTCCTCATCGGTCTTATCGGGGCTGTCGATAGCAACCTTGACGGCAATCTCACGACCCTCAATCTCCTTTCCGTTCATCTCAGTAACAGCCTTCTGCTGGAGCTGCTCGGAAGCAAGAGTGACAAATCCGAAGCCACGACCCTTACGGGCCTCACCACGAGCCTGAAGCTTCTTGATCATGAATCGAGGGATAGGACGAAGAGCGATCTTGGCAGAAGAGGGCTCATAAGCCTTGAAAAGCTCAATAAGCTGTGGGAGTGTTAGCATATCATGTTGATAGCAAAGCTCATAGATCACTAACCTTATCCTCAGTCAGGTCGTAGGGCAGGTTGGCAACCATAACCTTGGTCTTGGAAGGAATTCCATCAGCAGGAGGACCGCGTTCGCGGCGCTCACGCTGAGGACGAGCTTGGTTCTTGGGGGTCTTTGCATTTGGGTCAGTGTTGATCTTGTTTGTGATGTCGGACAAGGGTTGGACCTCAGTAGTGGCAGGTGCTGCGGCTGCGGGGGCAGCATCGTCAGTGGCAGCAGTAGCCTCAGTAGTTTCACCCTCCTTCTTTTCGGCACCCTCCTATTACATTGTCAGCAAAGGTTTTCGAGTTCATAGTGCTGAGATATGACTCACACGGCCAGCGCGGGCGGTGCGGCCTCCACGACCACGGCCACGACCGCGGCCACGTCCGGAAGCTCGACGACGAGAGCCCTCGGCACCAGAGCCGTCACCGTTGGCACCCTCAGACTTCTCACCAGCAGGCTCAGGCTTGCGGGCAAGCTGGACGGAAACCTTGCGCTCAAGGATCTCCTTGCCAGAAAGCTCCTCAATAGCACGCTCGGCCTCAGTAGGAGTGGAGAGATCAACAAAGGCGTAGCCGACAGGGCGGTCGGTGCGAGGGTTCTTAGGGATCGAGACAGACTCGCTGATGACAGTCAGTATATAATGCGTTGATGGATGATGGAAACGATAGGGCAGGATAGAAGCTCAGTGTATACGCCATCGCCGTGTCTCAATGCAGAGCCATGCCAAGGCAAACAGAGTGATTATTCCCATCACGACGTCAGGATGAGACATGTTTATGGGGAAGCTGCCGTAGGCGTGCCTGCCCATGATATGTCGTCTTTTGAGGTACAGGGAAGGAGCTCATTGCGACGGCAGGAGACACGTGTCTCTAGCGGGGGCTTTCATGAAGAAGCCAAGACAACGATAAAAGGGACAGAGAGTTCGGGTACGATGAGGCTGAGAAGAAGATAGAACTTACACAAGGTAGCTCTTGAAGAAGTCCTTCAACTCCCCCTCAGTTGTCGCATAGGCCAGGTTGCCAATGTAGAGGCGGCGGCCCTCAGCAGCGCTGGCCGAAGCGGCCTCGTTGGCGGCTGTCTTGTCATCGGTAGGCTTGTTGCTGATGGAGGTATTGCTCAGAGTGTTTGCGACGTCATTAACGGCAGCGTCCACGTTGGTGTTGTTGGTAGACATGTTGGCGGCTGGTGGATGAAGTTGGTGGTTAGGTTGAGTATGACGTTCGAACTTGGACCTGTGGTGGAGGAGCGTTCGAAAACGGTGGCTGCGAGTTGAACAGGTAGAACTCTGGTGCAATAAGGAGGAGTTTGATCAGGGTAGCTTCGTGCCCTAGAAACGAGGTTGAGATTAGACAGACGACGGGGCGTTGCGCGGAGACACAGGTTGTTTGATGTTGTGATGGAGAAGGGAAAGGAGGAAGAAGTGATCAGAGAGATAGCGGATTATGAAATATTTTTCTCGCCTTTGGGTTTGGGGGGCACAGGAGGGAAGGAGGAAGGGGTGTGTTGTCAGGGGGGTGGGCAGGTGAGGAGTTGTGGAAAGTGGAAAGTGGCCAGGGCTGGGGAGGACGGCAGGCGCAATGAGCGGAGGGAGGCTACGGTATGGATCTGGTACAAGTCACGAAGGAAGGTACCAGAAACACGATACAGTCAGTAGGAACAACTCCACGTCTCAGTGAGGCTGCCAAGGTATCAAGCACTCTAAAAGAAGGTATCCAGTACCTAAAAGCTCTTAAGAGAAAGCTTCAGTTTTGTGGGTTCTTTCCCGCTTGAGTGGTTCTTGATCCCGGCACCTTACACCTGAGGACTGCTTTCGGCTGGGGAGCTGTTTCTAGAGCCTGCACCTACCCTGCCCTATCAAGTAACGGCAGGTAACACGTATGTAGTAAGTACGTACGTACCTGAAGATGAGGAAGGTGGCTGCTTGGAGTTGTTCAGATGAACAGTCTTGGCAGGAGTTGATAGAAGATAGGAAGATTTCTTTGGATGATTTTACAGTATAACCAGACTTGAACGATGCATGAATTTGTGCCAGTTCATGTACGTATTAGGGCCTGACGTGTGGATGCGGGCGGGCCAAGCATGTGCGTCACTCATGTATGTATCGGTGTAGGTTAAAGTGGTGCTGTAGATGGGATGCGATATCATAGGTAGTTGGAATACAATAGGCTTCTAGTTGACTGTGGAAAACCAATTCGAGATTGCGTTGGGACCTGCCTAGAAAGGCCATGGTTGACTTTAGAGTTACAGAGTGGAAAGTAAAAACATCAATCGGAGTTGTGGCGGAGGAGGAAAGAATAAACGGTGAATTGTAGTTGCATCCGAACGATTCCCTTTTAGCCTGACCGCTCCTGCTCATTGACCCGACCTCCATTGTCTTGATGGATATAGAGGTGAGTTGAAGAACAGTGGGACTGTTCCAGGTGCATTAGGCTGCCTATTGTGGTCGGGTAGTCTAGCTCCTCCAGGGTTCAGGATCAGGAATAAAGACGTCTGCTTCTTGAGGATTGTGTCTAGTAACAATAAGATTGCTATCAATAATTATGTCGAAGTCTTCGTGTTTCTCACAGTCATAGTATGGAGACATATTCTAGATTTCCACAAGGGGTAACTTATCAGTCTATTTTGGTAGAAGCCCAGGGGTCCCCAGTAACTACCTAGCCTCAGCACCGTTGCTTTGTGGGTTGGCTGCGGTCACAGTCATAGCTGGGTCAGTTATTACCACGATCTGGAGTGTTTACAAACAGTGAGACGTAAAGATACGTTGCCTGTGTGGTGCATGGCACCCGAAGTTTATTGAATTGTATCCAACCATGTACTCAGATTTGGAAACTTAACGCAACCTCCTGATATCGAGTATCGCCTCCAAAGAGACTGATGGCTGACGCATAAACAGATAATCCAGCTGCTCAGGTGCCTAGAGGGCCGAGATTACTTGCCCCGGATCATTCGAAGTTGAACATATTACAATTGCCCCCTGACCAGGTGTTGCAAGTCTTCTATCTGTACGGAGTAGGTCTCCTTCACCCCTTATAAGCCCCTTTCAAGTGGAAGTAGTCGACGACCAGGGGCAGCATCAATCATTAACCACTCCCACCAATAAATACACGAGACGAATGGGCTGCCCATGCCCGGTAGCTCGGATCCAATGCTGCGCTGCGCTGCGTGCCTGTATCCGGACAGTAGCGAGCTAGGATTAGGATTAGGATAAGGATCCCGATGACCCAAGTCCCCGAAAGCCAAGTCCAGCTTAATTTATTGCTCCACAGCTTCTTCTTCTTCTAGAACTCGTCCGTTGTCAGTGCGTCTTCGACTTGACTCTGGTTGAGACGTGGTTCCTGTGGCTTGCACTATGCCACAGTCACTTGATATGTCTACAAGGTACCACGAATCCAGGGCCAGGCATGTAATATCTGTTAGAGTTATAAGTTCTAACTATAGGATACTTCAACCTAACAATGGTTATATAGCTCCAAGTCTCGAAGGCATTGACCAGTTCAATTGAATTATAGCTTCGGAATAAAATAAAAAAGAGAATGTGATCATTTTCAATTATAAGAAATTTCTATTGCAAAGTATTGTCTGCGAATGATTCATGCACTATACAATAGGTCATAGAATTGTAACAATCAACGCTGATTCATCAATAAATAATTTCATCCCCAGATTGATTAGATCCGAGAACAATAGGCGACGGGACGCAGATTCTTTCACCCCGCCATCGGCCATCCACTAATCGGCGCTAATCAAATCCATGGTAAAGCAACCCACCTCCAAACTTTCATCAACCTGCGACACCGGACTGCTCACTACATACTACCTATATACACTTATATCGCATACAACTTCTACTCTACCAGAATCGTTGGTACTCCACTGAAAATCATCATGGCGGTTCAGGACAGGAGCGTCCTCGTCCTATACGGATCCGAGACAGGCAATGCTCAGGATATGGCTGAAGAGCTGGGGCGAGTGTGTCAAAGACTTCATTTCAATAGTCGCGTCGAGGAACTCGATGCAGTAGATTTAGTAAGTTAGATAATTCATTTGATATCCATTACTGACTCTCTACTCCAGAATGCTCTTCTCCAGTCCAAGTTTGTGATATTCGTTATATCAACCACTGGTCAGGGAGATATGCCTCACAACTCATTACTTTTCTGGAAAAGACTACTACGCAAGAAACTGCCACCAGGATGTTTAGCTTCACTTAACTACACAACTTTTGGACTAGGTGATAGTACTTATGTCAAGTGAGCCTCAGTGAAACTGTTCTTGATGTTCTTATAAGCTTACAAGTACCAGATTCAACTGGGCAGCTCGGAAGTTGAACAGGCGTCTTGACCAACTCGGTGCTACAACCTTCATTGATCCTTTTGAAGCCGATGAGCAGTTTCCAGATGGGTGAGCTTTCTGTCACCAACTTAAGTCCTGACCTCTAATGAATCATAGTCTGGATGGGAGTTTTGTGCGCTGGGCTGAGCGACTTCATAATCATTTCCTCGAGCACCATCCTCCACCCTCTGGTCTTGAGCCTATCCCGGATGATGTTATTCTTCCTCCCAAATGGTCTCTCGAGAAGCCCCTCGAGAATAGTACAGTTACCAACGGTCACACGTCACCACTAATTGAAAACGTCCCCCCTTCCTCACCACTCCCCATCCCTGATGGCTGGACGGCAACGTTGGTAGGAAACGACAGACTTACACCGGAGAATCACTGGCAAGATGTTCGCCTCATCTCATTCGATATCCCTAAACGAGATGGTGTCAAGCTTACCTGTGTTCCTGGAGATTGCCTCACTATTTACCCCAAAAACTTCCCTGCGGACGCGCAGAGGCTCATCAACCTCATGGGATGGGAAGATATTGCTGACAAAACTCTTGATCTTTCCCAATGTGAATCTCTCCCAACAAACCTCTTCATAGATCACAAGTGCACATTGAGAGATCTACTTTTGAACAACATCGACTTTACCGCCATTCCTCGGAGATCATTTCTCAAGAACATGTCCTACTTCTCTACAAACCCAGATCACAAGGAGCGTCTACTTGAGTTCAACATGACTGAGTACCTAGACGAATACTTCGACTACGCCACAAGGTCTAGACGGTCTATTCTCGAAGTCCTTGAAGAGTTCACATCCGTCAAACTCCCAGCGGAACGACTCTTTGACATATTTCCCCTTATCCGCGGTCGAGACTTCAGTATTGCTAATGGTGGTGTTCACCAGAACCACCCCACAGATGAGAACAAGACCCGGATCGAACTCCTCGTTGCACTGGTCAAATACCGAACAGTCCTTCGCAAACCTCGTGAAGGTCTTTGTTCTCGCTATCTTGACAACATTCCTATCAACTCAACTCTCACAGTCACTCGCAAACCTGTTCTTTCACCAATTCACGGCGCGCAAAACGCTCAACGTCCTCTGGTGGCCATTGCCACAGGTACTGGTCTTGCTCCCATCCGTGCCCTTATTCACGAGCGCCTCACACAACCATCACCGGGTCCCATGCATCTATTCTTTGGGAACCGTAATCGTGAGGCCGATTACTTTTTCCAGCAAGAGCTCGACGCTCTAGTCCGCGATAAGCAACTGAATGTGTTTCTGGCATTCTCGCGGGATCAACGAAATAAAATTTATGTACAGGATCGGCTACGGGAGGAATCCAAGAGGATTGAAGAAGTGATTTTCGATAACGGAATATTCTGCGTCTGCGGTGGCTCAACTAAGATGGCAGATGCTGCCAAGAAAGCCGTTTTTGACCCCTTTTCAGAGGACGTGAAAGGTGTTGAAGAGCGCAAGAAGATGTTGGCTAGTTTGACATGGTGGCAGGAGATATGGTAGATAAGCTGGAAACTTCGCATTCAGAAATCGAGTATGCAGTCAAGAAGAGACTTCTCCATAAGATAGAACATGGGCTGTTTGCGATCAATAGCCATTAGATAGCACGCACACTCTGTATATCAGATTGCCATTCCTCAAAAATATAGGATTGATCTATCAAACCATCAAGTCGCTCGCTCATGCAGAGATTATAATATAAAAGAAAACCACGACCTCATCGGGCAATCCAGCATGCTTGAGTAGATACTCACCTCAAACGGCCGAAGACAACAATGTCCAGATATGCCAAAATGCTATCATATGTCGTCCATTCACCAATACTCCCTCGGCTGCCAAGCAAGTTTTCCTGCGCCTCCGGCGTTTCTTTCGAGCAGTACATCCCATAATACTACTCCCAGCTGTATCGTCTCTCGGCCATTTGCGGTACATGGACCAAATCCTCACCCGGATTAATGCGCTCTGGATTTCGCGGTGTATCAGGTTGACCTGACGAGGGATTGTGCTGTGGATTTGCCACCGCAGCTCCGATGGCTGGTCCGTTTGTGCCTAAATCCAAACGCCTCGTCGGCTCTTGTGGATTTGCATTCCCACCTTCTTCATCCACAGTAAAATTGCTCCCTAAAGAATCAACCGTATCGTTATCGTTATCATGTGAAGAATCGTCGGTAGCTTGGTAGCCCCCTCCCGATGCAGCCTGGGGCACGGGATCGCGAGCAAAGCGAGCATTCGAAGGCAATGCTCCGAGCAAAACTATTCTTGATGAGTCAATGGGCGTTCTCTGCACTAGCCGCTGCTGTGATATACTCGTGGAGTGATTCGTTGATTGAGGTTCTCTGTCAGAGCCCATGGTCATGGAGTTGATGGTCTGATGGTCTGAGTGCGGAGAGAGGGGCGAGTTTGGTGACGAGAAGCTATCGTTGGTTGGCGATACAGGCATAGCAGTCATCGAGTGCGATGATGGATTGATCGCGTGACCGTTTGAATCGAAACGAGGAGTTAAAGGAGACGGCAAAGCCATCGAGTTGGCGTTGGAGCCTCCTTCTGGAGATACCTTCAAGGATGCAGATGGGGATAGCTGGAGTGCTACCGGTGGGCCATTCGCTGGGTTGGGCTGGTATATCGCTTTCTCTGGGGGTACCTCCGCTCCATCGGCAGGCGGGCTGTACGAAGGAACGGGACCCTGCAGTTGTCTGTCCATTTTTCGCCTCGCCATTTCATATGCGCTCAGGTTATGTGAGTTGTCGGTCCCTAGCTCGGTATCATCGTTCCATGACATGCAATCGTCCCCATCGAGCTCTGCAGGTGGTAACGGAGCTGACATTTCATGAATCTGAGTATCGGGGGCTTCGATAGCCTTTTCCTTGTCATCGTCGTCTCCTTGGGCTTGCTGAGTTGAGTGCTTTCGTCCCATGATTCTTGACATTAGCAATGCCAAAGGAGACTTTGGCGATCGGGTTGTGTCCTCCGAGCATGGACCTTGATCTTCTGTTGATACGTTGCTACTCCCAGCTTCGCCTTTTCGTTTACGGCGGTAGTATAACCATACAGCAAAAGCTGTTGCGCAGATAACAAAGGTTCCCACCCCAGCCCCTACTCCAATTCCCACAACCTGACCGTCCGAAAGCCCCTTCTTGGACTCATGTACATTCGGCGCAGGATACGGGCTGTCGTCGGATTGCTCGATGGGGGATAGTCCTGCCTCTGTCACTGATCCCTCGGGGAAGAGAGCTTGATGAATGGAAAAGGTGCCCTCGTCATATTTCGTAATCAAATATGACTCCTGCAAGAACGAACGTCCCAATATGTACGTAGTGCTATTTTGCGCCTTTCGCAACATCACGTAAGGGATCGCTGGATCGCCATATCCAATCATGTCAGGCATATAAGGGTACTGTAGCAGACCCACGAATGCTCTTAGGGGCAGCGTAATATTAACGATGCCGGATACATCGTAGGGATCGCCAAAATTGTCGTTGTCGTCGAAACTAGAAAGAACAAAGGTAAGATTGAACGAGTCCTCCTTTGTGTACTCGCTATATTGGTCGTTACTGATGGTATACAGGTCGAAAGTACTGTTGTATGTTAGGTTGAGGGCATTCGCAAATTGGTCACACACATCTTCCGGTAACCACAGATAAGAGGTGGTGCTATCGATGATGGCGTAGAAAGATGAGTTCCATTGCGAGAGCAGGAGTTGTTCAGATGTCCAAGAGTCAGGGGCATCTCGGTTCTCGGCTGGAGTGATTTCAATACCACGAACCAAAGGACGCTCCATGTTATCGTCCTGGGGAAGTGTGAAAACATTGTTATGCGCCTGAAACCTGGCAGGCTCGACACCCCCTAAAGTTAACGAGGCAGGCATGTTCCCTAGTTGAATTAGTGAGAATACAACAAAGAGGCCATCATAGCGTACTATAGTGTGCTCCAGCTGTGTATCCGAAGCTGTAACTTGGGATCAATCCATACTCGCTGACCGCTTGAGTCATAGGCGATTCTGCAACAGTGCCATTGAAATTACCCTGTGTGATACCCAGGCCGAACAGACCAGTCAGGTACTGGGTGGTGTTGATGGACGCTATGAGCACATTGTCCATGGTAAATGGTTCGCTGGTAAGAGGGCTTTGTGTATTGATAAGATCGCGGCCGTAGTTGCCATTGCCACCGTAACCTAGATAGCTCAGACCGAGCTGCCAGGTGCCCAGTGAAGTCCAATCAGTAGATTCCTCAGCATCGTAGATGCCTCCACGGGCAGCACTACAATGAGGTTCCTCTGGACAGGTGGTTAGTGCGTAGAACAGAGTGGAAAGTGATATGGAAGGGCTTGTTTCGACTTTTCAAGAAAGCGGACAAGCCTTGGAGACGAAGAAGGTATACACATACTGGGCAAACATCCCCCAGGCCCAACGGCCCAGAATTCCGAAAGAGCAGTGCTCACAAGAACATCGACATGTTGTGAATTTGACCCGAGATAAAACGATATCGTGGACCAATTTCCATCGGCTCCAGACCTGCCACCTGAGTCAGGGTTGGTTATAGGTGATGCTAGTAGTAACTTACCAGTCGCCTGTGGGCAATAGAATAGGTTCTGGTTTTCGGGCCTGTATGAGATGCGCGAAAAAGAATGAAGACCCGAGGATTATTGACCGCATCTCGAAGTCTACAAACGGACGCGAGACTCAGATCTCGCAACCAAACTCATGCCCGAATCAAACAAATAAGGAACCAATTGATCCGGTAAAGTCCTGGCGACCGCACTGCGGCGCATTCAATGTCGTTGTTCACGCCAAGAGTCGAGGCGCAGATCCACGATTGAATGGGTAGCCAGTCAAAGCAAAGAGGTTGCGACTGTAAGCCAATCCCTTGTAGCAGCCGTTCTTCTTAACAGCACCTAGGATCGTGCTGCAATGCTGTCAACTTCGTACGAGACGCGGCTAAAGAAAAATGGTAATAAACAGGACAAGAAGTTTGTTTCTAGAGTTGAAGGGGCGAGGCAACGAGTCCTGGCATGTGCCGTCTCCGGTGACCGACCCCTTGCTGAAAAGCAAGCCACAATCGGTAGAGTTACATGGCTTTGACTCTTTCTAGCATGGCTCGGGCCTGGAATCTGGTGGTGGAGAAGTGGAGGCCAGACTTGTTCTTAGGTGCTGACTAGGCCAGACTCAAGATGGCAGGATGGGGGGTTGCTAGTTGTAAGCTTTTTGGAATAATTGGATGATAGCATCATTCCACGAACCTCTGCTGTGTTCAACATGTTTGACAAATTTGACAAATTTGACGATATTGAACAGCAACGCCTCAAGGGTTAGTTAGCTCAGGTCCTTCGGCTGCCATTGCCTGTTTCAACTATTCAACTCGCCCTATCGTCATGGGGGTCTGAGACGCTGTTGAAAGCATAACGGTACCTTTCGATCTCGAAGTTCCCTCATATTCATCGAGAAGTACCATAGTTGAGCACACAGACTGTGGGGATTTGGCGTCTATGATTCTGGAAACAGTCTTCATGTGCCTGTTGGTCTTGTCAAAGATCGAAGCTGTAATTCGCCAACATGGAAAATACAGGCATAGCCGAGTAAACCCTGACGCCGCCAGCTAGTGGCTGCGTCATGTTGTACTTTTGGTAAGACCCTGAGCATCCATCAATCGATATTGTACACGCATGTACAGTATAAGATGTGTGTTGCACAAAGAATCGATCCGCTTGAAATCAGACAATATCCAGAATGAGGCCATGGGCCACTGTAGGTAGTATATATGGCCTGTAGTGAACGACGTGCAATTTTAATTCACGACGTAAGTTTCCGTTTCCAAGGATCTCAATCTCCATAGACTGCGCGATACGACTGTCGGTCGATCTTGGCGTACCGATAGAGCAGCTGAAGCTTGCTGAGTGCTTTTCCTCTTCTCTTGTCTAAGACTGTTTAATTTTGTCATAAGACTTTGACCGGATGAATAGGCAATCTTGCGCTACCCATTATTTCAGCTTTGATATTGGCTCGTCTGTCTTGGACCTTGTCACACTGAATACTAGTATCCGGAAGGTTGATGTACCGATGAGACGGTAGCACTCGGAATAAACTTTTGCGTAAACCATCCATCATTGCCTCCTGTGGATCATTGTTGGAGACATGGTGTAGCCAAGATAACAATTGATTACTGTAAAGGCTGGATACGTTTGTCAATGAAATGGAATCAACCGCGTAGATTCAGTCCAGCTGAGGCTTGGAGGGATGGAAAAAGGTATAACTCAGCTGTCGGTTGAAGTACAGTAAGCGCAAGGTAGTATTCGCAAAGGACGAAGGAGCAGCCACATAGATTCTAGGCTCTGCTATTGTACCAGTGTCATACAGCAAACCCATTAGAGGCTTGCCACTCTGATGAGGTTGTTCAGCCATTCACAAGCCCTCCAGAGTTAAAGGGAGCAGAGCAAAAGTCAGATCTGGAGATGAAACACACGCACCAGGGCCGAGCCTCTTAGCAGCCAAGCAGCCTGGACCCAGTTGGATCCTTGCCTCCATGATAGGCGTAACCCCTGGTCTTGGTGCGCTAGAGTTAGTTGCTAGTCGCTAGAAGCCGGGTGGTTGAGGTTCTGGTTCGTTAAGTAACCTCCGAGCCCCTCTCATCAGCTCAACTTGTCTTGTCTGGTGATCGATTTCCTTCTCCTTGCCAGAAAACAACGATAGCCATTGTGGTCAATACGCTGCGAAAACATTGATAATCGATGTAAGCCCGGTTGGGACACGGCCGAATCACTCGTTTAGAGGCCCGTCTATGCCGGCTGTTGGAATTGAATGGCGAACCCAAGTACAAACGACAAAATCTTCTGGGCCAGAGGGAGATCGAAACCCATCCCATACTTTACGGCACGGTACAGTCCGTAGCTATAAACAGACATCATGAGAGTGGCGCAAGCCATTGCACTGCTCTCGGTCGCAACACTAGTGCCATCTGCTGCTGGAATTGCTTTACCTCTAGGTGAGTTTTTTGCATGGAAATTATTGCATATTTGTTTTTGACTGTGGTTCTGTTATGTTTAAAAGTTGAAAGGGAAAAGGGAAAAGGGAAAAGACATGGCTAAATTGTTCCAATTCTAGTTGAAGCTGACCAAAGCCGGAGGCGCTTTCCTCGGAACGACACTGTGATCGCGACTGCCCCAGATGGCAGCACCACTCACTTGTCACCTTTAATACCAACTCTCCCAACAACAGCAGCAGCAACATCATCGCAGGAAACTTTGGTTTCTTCTTCCACCGGCCAAACTTCTTCCGTCGAAAGTCTAGACAGAATCACTATAGAAACGACCTCTAGTCTTTGGAGCGAGGTGGTTGATGAGCTACCTCTAACTACTACAGGACTGGATAAGAATTTGACAACTTTATTTACCAATACTCGGATTACTCCATCAACACAGCAATTTCTCTCAGATACCGGGTTATCGTTGACAGCCGAACGACTGGACCATGATTTGACTACTTCATCTCCAAGCACCGAGGCTACTTTATTGGCACAACAACTTTCTTCCGAGTCCAGCTCTTTGCTATTATCGCAAGTAATTTCCGTATCGGATACCTCGGCCAACCACAGTATCTTACCTCTCTTTTCACCTTCAAATCAGGATCAAGATGCAATCTCGCTGCAAAAGCAAGGCGAAGCCCAGGCTTCAATGCAGAGGAGGCCACACCAGGGTTTCGCCCACCCTTTGACGCCAACAGCACTCAACAACACTAAACTTCAATCACATCCCCAAACCTGTGGTCCAGGGCTCACGAACCCATGTGCATGGATCCCCTCTCCTTCTACTACCTCAAGAAGAGGGAACGGCACATATACCCCTGGACCTTGGACGTCTGGAACATTGACGGTGATAGCACCAACGTCTTTGGTCCCTTGCACGACCTTACAGGATGACGAGCCTGTTACTGAGTTCTCAATCGTGTATACGGCAACGGTGACCTTCTTCGGGAACGTCAGTGAATACACGCCTCCCTACCCAACAATCAGCACTCCCAACTTTTGCGACACAGAACCTCTCTTTCCAACATTATCTAAAGGGCCAGGCAACGTGGGCGGGCCGTTGCCCTCATTAACCCAGGGAGTGTCTTCTAAAGAGCCTCCCAGAAAATGTATACCCGGGCGATCTTGCTCAACGGAGAAGGTTCCCGGCTGGTCGAATCCTACAGCTACTGCCTTTCCTGGCGCGCCAGAGCTGACTTGGTCATCTATGCGATCTACAGTCACCTTTGTGACCACTGATAAGAATCCTGCTGTAGTGTTTACCACAGATCCACCTCCGCGCTTTGACAGGGCGACAAGAGGAGGCGGGCTGCCTATAAGTGACAAGCAAAAGCCTGAACCTACTGACGAGTCGCACCCAAATCGACTAGAGTCCTCAGAAAATCACGATAAGGCTGTCCCCCAGCCACAGCCTACGTCAGGGGAGCAGTCACCAGGCCGTCCACAACGTCAACCAGGACCTAATTCTGAATCCCAGCCAGAGTTAGAGCCTGGATCTGGTTCTATACCTGGGTCCGACTCCAGTCCCACCTCTGGCTCTGGCTCTGGCTCTGGCTCTGGCTCTGGCTCTGGCTCTGGTTTTAGCGCTATTGCTGTCTCTACCAAGAAGTTCGTTGTGACAGCTAGAGGGCAAGAAGTCATCGTTAATGACAAGACTTTTTTGAGTCTCAACCCAGATCAGGTCAAGACAGTCACTGTTGACGAAGGGACATTCACGATCCGTCCAACAGAAGTGGCTGGTGAAGGGGCAACGATAAGGAAACCACAGCCTATAGGGACTGCAGTCTCTGTTGTTAGCCCTACTAGCACCACGTTTGGACAGGTACCCATTACTGTTTCTGGAACAGAAGCTGTAATCGGCGGCACGACGCTCAAAATACCTCTCATAGGCACAACCATGCGACTGGAAATCCCTACACAGGGCTCGAATACCGTAATAGAGGAGCGGAAGATATCTATCAACGCTAACAGAATTGTGGTGGATGATGAAACTCTCAAGTACCATGGGGTGGGTGGTCCCCAGACAGACGTGATCATAGAAGGGGGTGAGATGGTGACTGCGGCAGGGCAGTCTGTTTTCGTCTTTCGATCTACGACCCTGACATATGGGCCTAACATCCCTGAGATTACGAAAACGATCGACGACGATGTTATCACAGTTGGGCCTGGGAATGTTGTGATTGACGGGACGACTTTTGGGGGATCTGAGGCTGAGCCCAAAGACACCAACTATCGGATTGTTGGTGGAGCGACGATCACCAAGGTCAATCCTTCGTATGCAATTATTGATGAGACGACATTTACGGCTGGCCCGGGTGCTAAGCGCACTACAAAGGAGGCTGGAGGTGAAACCATAACCATCGGGCCCGACGGCATTACCATCGGTACAATAACGGTCAAATATCCTTTTGGTCCTTCAACCGTTACAACTATCGAAGTAAAGGAGACGGCTTCTGAGAAGTTGCCGGCAGCTACCAGGACCAACAGTAAGAACGCCGTGGACAGCAAGAACAGAAGCGATGACGACGATGACGACGACAGTGGTGCAGCAGGGTCTAGGTTAACAATGGGAATGACTGGATTATGCATAGCGGTAGGCGTTTGGATCCTGGTTTAATGACGGCCGGGTTTGGCGGCTTTTGATATTGGGAAGCACCTAGGACAAAGGTTCTTGATTTATGGCATGGCGAGTTATTTTATAGTACATAAGGACAAGCGAATACGCAAGGCAAGCGGGATATAAGTAAGCATGGATGTTATACTTGCAACATTATGTTGAGATCGATCATTAGAGACAGCAATAGTTCAAATAGAGGCAGGACGCAGAAGGCTGTTAGAATGGCTTCTATGCCAACTCTATCTAGTCCAGATGAATGGCATTGTTACACCTCTATCTACACTGTTGAAGTCTACTCTGACCAACATTAAGTAGCGACTCACGGAAATTTAACGATGAACAAATCCCGTAAAGCCTTTCAACGGCTTTCTTCAAGGTTTATTGCCTATTCAGGCTTGTGGAGAAGATCTCTGACCCACTGTACATATGTCTTACAGCAGTAGCGTTTCTTGACCTCTGATTGACTGACTAGGATCTTGTATCCTGTGACATCCCTGCTTAATTTATCTTGCAGCTGTTAATGAGTGAAACAAGGCAATACTAATTACGTAGAAGTCAAGACGTATATGAGGAGTATAATCTTTGGACGATATTGTACCACGTAGACTAGTTGGCAGTCTCGAATTTAACGTTCCCTCAATTAGCCAACGTCTTTTGAACTTTCCATTATTTTCAGTTCAAGCTAATTTGCTGCTGTGTATGTAGATACAAGATAAAAAGTTTTTATCGTACGCCACTCTCCAACACTGAAAACCTTGACCCGAAGGCACGGGAGGGAGGCGAATTCAAGGTGGCTCCATCATGATTAGGTACCGTACAGTAGGTACCACTTTGATGACTCACATCAACCTAGGAACAACATAGGTAGAGAGGGGAAGAATACATAGATATGTAAGTATTAAGTAGTCTGTCAAGTGTAAGAATTGATTAATCTCGTAATTTATAATCCCCACGATGTCCTATTGTGATTGTCTATTGGCCCCTCATCATCATCATCCTCACATCAACACTATCTCCATCTCGCGCCGGCTTATCATCGGTAAAGTGGAATCTCGGAAACTCGACGCGGCGCGCGGCAAAAACGACAAACTCCAACTTGGAACAATCACCACCTTGTTTCTGACTTGCTCCTCACCTCTACAGCGATTTCCCTCGACAGCGTACAATCAACTCTTCCAACTACCTAAACTTCCTCGTCTAGACTGTGCAAACACTTCGTGCACGGTCAACAACCTTCTCCCCCGAGTTCCAACCCTTCAACTATATGCAACAAGAGTCCCTCGAGCATACCAAACCTTCAATTCAACCAGACAACCCCTCTAAAACTTCTTCTTCCCAGCATGGCCTCATTCACCATGTCCCGAACGGTCTTCGCCGAGTCTATTCCGGAGACTCAGGTGGCGTTGACTCGGGCTCTGCACCGGCGCTCCGTCAAGACTCGGGTCATGACGTCGATGCCGATTTGCTCGATGAGGAGCTACGCCGATTGAGTCTGGGACATCACTCGGCCGTTCAACCTTTTGCTCCAGGTCAGCGCATCTCCGAATATGAGAATGCAATGACTCCGCCTATTCCAAAGAAAGCTCTGGGCTTCAAGGTCATCAAACGCTCCGAAACACCCTCTGATGGTGTCCAACTCGAAGACTTCCCCAATGGTGCGTCATGCAATTACCAATTATATATTGCATCCTTTCTAACGTAAACCAAATGCAGAGATATTGACACATATTTTCTCTCATCTGCATTCCGACTCTCATGCCGCCATCGCTCTTGTTTCGAAACGCTTTTATGCCCTCATCACCAGCTCCCACGCCTGGCGCATGGCGTTCCTGCGATACTTCCCTGGACACGAAGCACTCGAAACCAAGCACAATGTGGATATTTGGGCTTACAATTCACACGACTTGATCCAGTCTGAGTCACGATACTTCACTCGTCTTACGCCGCTGGCATCCTGGAGAAAAGAATATCTTCTTCGCACGCGCTTGGTTAGATGTTTGGCCCGGGGTAAGCCAGGTGCCTCAATTGCTTCTGGTGGTATCGGTGCATCCGTTCGAAGCGGAAAGAAAACCAGTGCTGTCCTGACGTATAACTCCAAACTGCCATGGGCTGTGACGGATATTCATGCCGTCTTTACAAACGGCAAGAAGCCACCAAAGGCCATTCATGGTGCTGCCGATCTTGGAGTAGCATCGGTCAGTGACCCTACGAATGGCAGAATCGAGAAATGGGGATTCGCTGATTCCTTCAACACAATGCAACTCGACGAGGTAGCCCCCAATCTTGTACCCTTCGGTTTAGGAGATGGTCCTGCTGCAACTCCCAATGTTCTCGATGTGAGTCAGCCATATGGTGTACTTGCAGGCGAGGGCTTCCCAGGAGGTCGTCCATATTACCGCCCTGTCGGTGAAAACCGTGGGCGGTACCTCGGAGGTGACTCTGGTGTTGTTGATACCTATCCTGATATCCCCAAGATCCCGGAAATGTCTGAGGCCATTTGCAGTGTCTGGCTGGCTAAGTCAGCCAACATACCTACACACACACAGTCAATGGTCGGTATGCTGACTGGCTCTACTCTTGGTGTTGTCACCTCGTATGCTATCGGAAGTGACTCTGGTCCTCAGCGATACCAGTCCGGCGAAGTCACCGCTCGCTGGGTGCTCAGCCCTGGTGTGCCAATTATATCTCTTAAAGTCGACGACAACTACAGCCAGAAACGCAAGTCTACTGGGAGGATATGGGCTGTCGCCTTGAACGCATTGGGCGAAGTCTATTATCTGACTGAGACACCTGTGGCACAGAGCCAAGTTAAGAGTGAGGACATCACCAAGAACGCTTGGTTCGCTGGACGTTCAGTTTACTGGCATCTTCTGGACTCTACTCGACGTGTTGCTCGACCGGACGAACTAGATAAGAATGCGATCAAAGGTGCATACTCTCCTCGGTCACCTTCTAACTCGATGAATCTGAGTAAGAGTCAGCTGGCTGCTGAGGCACGAGAAATCGAGAAGTTCCTCCGTCACAAGCCTGCGCACTTCCGGAGAGCCTGTGAAGGATGGGACATGCAGCGTAAGCTGGAGGTTGATTTTGCCAACGACGATGGTCATGGTGCCGGTGAGAACATCTTTGTACTTGATTGCGGTCTTGCCGAAGATCGTCCTGCTCATGTTGAGCGTTACACCCGATCTCTAGTGCCCCAAGACGCTCAATCATCTTCGGTCATATTAGCCCCCACCCCTCCTCCTCTTTCCGTCTTAAAGCAGCCCTCACTCTTTGGTGCTACCAGCACAGAGACTTTGGAGGTCCCAGAAGAAAAGGCTTCTGGGTATGCTTCTCCTGCTTCACTTTCGTCGTCGGACTATTTGTCTCACTTTCACGAATGGGAGAGCTGCCCGATGAGGCTGAAAGGACAGAGCCATGCTGTCATTACCAGTGTTTCGATAGACTGCTCCAACACAGCAGTTTTGACGCTCAATGAAGATCCTCTACATGCAACTGAGGATGAAATCCCGGGCCGTCGGTCCCGCTTGTTTGCTGTTGGGACAGATGAGGGCGCTATCCTTGTCTGGGATGCTCGTGCGGATAGCAAAGCCGCAGGTATTAACCCTGTGCGACAGATCCAGACGGAATCTCCGGAGGTATCCTGCGTCGCTCTCTCGGCTATGTACGTTGTTCATGGTGGCAACGATGGACTTGTTCAAGCATGGGATCCCCTGGCGTCGACATTGGATCCTGTCCGTACACTCAATGCGAGGTCCAACGGCCGAGTGCCTCGACATATGATGACAATGAACCCTACCCTTGACGAGTCAACTTATTCTGCAGTTCGCGCCATCTATCTCGACCCCGATCCAACCGTCCTTCGCGGTGTTGTTTCTTTCGGTGCTTTTCTGAGATACTGGGCATATAGCTCTGCCAGTCATGCCTCGGGACGTAAGCGCCGGCTCAGACACTCGGACGTACATGGTCGGTTGGCCAGTCGACGCCAAGGAGGCACGGTTACAGGATTCATCGCTGCCGAGGAAGCTGAGATAAAACGTGAAAATGAATTGAAGGCTAAGGAGCAAAGTCGACTACGTAATCGCTTTGGTGTCGGTGCACTTGGAGATTTGACCGAAGAAGAGGCTTTGCGATATGCTCAAATGGTCTCTGAGGAGGCGTTCCTTTTCGAGGAACAACGCCGAACAAGTGACTCTGCCGCTGATGCAAGTCTAGACACTGCATCGACATTCAGTGAGACCACTGTTGACACTGTTACTCCTGAGCCCAGCGTCACGGACATGATAACCCCGCCGTCTGCATCGACAGATAATGTTGGTCGAGCACCCGTTGAGGATGACTACGAACAGCAAATTCAGCAGGCCATTCGACTGTCCCTAATGGAAGGCGTGAATGAGAACGGCACATCACCTCAGGCAGCAGACTCCGGTGACTATGAGTTTTCGCTTACATACAAGCCCAAGTCCACCAAGAAAGCAAAGGATTCGGGTTCCGCATCACCAGGTGCTTTCCAAACGGGATTTTTGGGACACGCCGAGCCCGGGGACCATGATCTGGAACTTGCTCTTAAGCTAAGCATGGAGGATCATGGTTTGTCTTCATCAGAAGTAGCATTAGGCTTTCATCATGAAGAGTTTCCCTCTCTAGAAACTGAAGGTGTTGGCAAGGGGAAAGGCGTACAGAGATGATGATTTCGATAGCATGTGCGTCGCTGTGTGTTTCTCATTCTTAGGATTAGTCCTCCGCATTCAGGTCTGATAGCCCAGTTACCATCGGTATTCGCAGAGCATTTTATTTATATACTTCATCTTTCACCACTGTTAGTTACCATTTATATTGGTCAAAACTTGTAGTGCTCGATACAAACTAGACATGGGCATCGAAGATCAACGAGTAAAGATCACGAACGAGGACACACCTTAGGGTTGGTAAATTCAGGATCACTTTGCTCCTACCTCGGTATACTTCAATGCTTACACTTGGAAGACAGACGTCATACTTCAGAAAATAAGTCGTAAGATCGTCTCTTGTGTCCAGTTCGACTCGTACAGGGTATATTCGTTACCTATACCTTCTACATTGGGTAGACTACCAGGGCTATGGTTAAGGTGCTTATTCTGCAGATACGTCTTGCTGATCGTGCGTCTACGTTAAGAATGAACTCGATGTATTTTCTGCTCCTCCTTGCGTTGTGGAATAGGGGCTTGCAGGTAGGTATCCCCATCTACGATCATCACGGACCAGCATACCTCCTTAGCTTCAACCCAAGCTATTGACCTTCCTAGCCCGACACTCACCTGCGCTGTGTTGGCTCTGCACTAACGTATTGCTAGAAGCCGTTTTACTCTTTGAAGTATTTGGTCCGCGCATATGCAGCATTAAAGTTCAAAGCCCCTGATGTCCAACACAAAATCATGAAACTAGTTGTGTTCTTCAATGGTGCCCAAAAGAATATTCACGGCACCTAACTACCTTAGCCACGGGATTTATGGAAGGCGGGTAATAGCTGCAGTATGTCTGCCAAGTTAGAGTAAGTATCAGAGCGTGTTCACATGCACGTCGCAAACTCTTTCATGCTCGCGGTGAAGCGAGGTTAGCATCGTATCATCGAGTCTGGTATGGAGAACAGGAGCTCGAGGTATTGAGAGAGTGCAACGTTGCAGTTCGACTGCTAGACACCACGGGACGCGGATGAAGAATCCGCTGCACGGAACTCACAAGGGACCTGCATGATCATGACATCTCAACGGCCCATTTTTGCGGTTCAAACACCCTGACATTTTGATGAACAAGAACCCTCTATTCTCCGAGATGAACTGAACGGAGTCTTGAGGTGTTTTCACAGACCAGTCGCAACGGAGGAATAGATGTTATTGCTAATTGCCTTGCTCGGGATGTAACTCGGAAAGAAACCATGGGGCTGTCCGGCTGCTTTCCGGCGGGCACGATCCTTGATCGCGGAGCCAATCTTGCATTCGTAAAAGAAACATTCTAAAGGCACTGGTTGTATCGGCATGATAGATTGTGTTCCGGCTGCACTGGGCTGTTCCTGGATGGCACGGCTATCAATTCGATATCCTATGCATCCAGAATTTCACTTCTCTCCTCAAGCTAAACGTGCCGTCTTTACGGAGTACTAAGCGACTGGATATTGGTGGCGGCAGCGGATCCGCGGGACGGGAAGGGCCGCAGCGCCACTGGTGAGGACGGTACAGTACAGAGAGAAAAAGGATCCAATTTTGAACGAATGGACATTTGCTTCATTCAGAGATTCCGTATGTACTGTGTCTCTGAATTCGCATGATGTTGTTGGCTGCAGCAGGTCAGTTCAGTATAGTACAGTACAGTGCTTCTGCTGCTCGCCACAGAGACGCAGTTGAGATTTTCAAACACCCACCCTTGCTACTTACTGTATGAACTGCCATTACAGTACCAGTACTGATGAACCCTGATTCTTATGACGAAGCCTTCTGCAGTGCTGGCTCCGGGCTATTGGGTCATCAGGTCATGACCAAAAAAGTCAAACTCGACTCGCGGATGTACAGTGTTGCAGCTTGCAGCTGCAGTAGAATGGACCCAACGAGACGGCCTCTGAACCGACGCCCGCTGCGTTGTGTTGCGTTGCGTTATTGCGGACCATCGGACATCTCGGCTGCGTAAAAATGCAAACAGGTCGACCAGCGTGTTGCTATACTGTGAATCGATCCCCACACATGTACCGAATCGTCCTGCCTTTCCCGGGACTGTCTCCGAGCAGAATCAGGTCTTCGAGGCTCTCTTACAAGTGGTTTCAGTGCCTCGGAGCAGATGTGACTTTTGGTCAATACTGCCCCAGACATCCAAGGGTCTCTTTTGAACAACTGCATAGTTTTTCTTTCATAATCTGTCATTTCTGTTCTTTCTTATGCCATTCGCTTCAATCCCTGATGGTGGTATGCAAAACCATCGTCCTCAATTCATCCATGTAAAGGCCGAAGTTAATTCCTTGAAAGGGCCTGTATAATAGGCATTCATGGTTGCCTGCCCCAGTTTATTAACCCTGTCAGCTTGTCCGAAAACATTTAAGAGCCGAGTCAGGGTTCACGGCTGAGAAGGATATCGTTTTCCGGACTCCGCCCCAGTATCTCGATCCGTTTAGTTTTCCTTTCTTCTCTTTTTTAGATTTTTTTTTTTTTTTCCCTTCCACTGCTGGGTACCAGAACGGTTCAGAACGCGCCGTCGCCGCCAACAAAAATCAGCAGGGGGAGACGTCCAGTGCTATTGCTGCACTGTGCTGTAGTTGTATGCGCCAAGTTTGAAGGGGCACGGGCTTACTCTCTTTCGTAAATGATGCAGACACAACCAATGCGAGGATTATTCTCGAATGTAAATGATGAAAAAGGCGTTCCCTACAGGCGTCGGCAGACAAGCCAACCCCTCTCAGTCATGTCGCTCTTTACCAGATCCATACTATGTGCTTTCGAGACATGCAGATGCGCATGAAATGTATGTGAGACATGAAAGCGGTCAAGACTTCAAACTGCTCAACATACCACTGACGTTGACGTGGTCATATGGACCAAGCCGTCGGGAATCTGTCCAAAGGCTGACACCGATTTGTGTCTCAGGGACTGCGACCGGTCAGCTGGATATCATCGTTTATTGGGAATGACTCAAGCCTCGCAAGTATTCAATGCAGATCAACGGCTGTCAGCTTGTCACTTGTCAACGCACATCCCTCGACTGTCAATGTTTAATTAGTTTAGCCCTGTGTGCCAGGATCGAGTTGTATTGTAGGTGGCTCGGACCTCGTGTCGCTCACCACACAGTTCCGAATCGATGCTTTCCAGATCAGATAAATTCCCGTCCGTCTACTGCATTATGACAGCTTGTTACCGTTCCAGCGGTACGCGGAAGGTCGCGAACATTTCCTACAAGTTAGCTTGAACCATTCCAGAATTTTGTCAGATCCCTCCACTTCTGCTGACACAGACAGGCAAAGTATCCAATGTGCTTCTTCAACTGCCCCAGGCTAGGGGGTTAAATAAAAATAAAAAGTGAACCAGACTGGCTCCCACTAAAATTTGTTCGTCTTTGGCCCAAAGGCCTAGACTAAGATTCATTACCCCATCCAAGCTCCAATGGGCCAAGAAAACAGCGGCAAGCGGGACGATCCACCAGGTTGGCACAGGCACAGTCTCTGGCGGGAGACAGCGGGTATCTCTACCTGAAAGATGGATGTAGGAGCGTCAATATCAGCTCATGGCGCCCACTGAATGCAGCCAAGTCATGCTGTGCAGCAGAATAGCTTTCTCGGAAAAGAATCTTTGCGTCGTGGCTTATATACAGAGGCCAAAATTTTGTGCAACGAGAAGGCCTCGACAAAAAGGAGCTCTTGAAGAACGGTCAGGTCAATCCACTTTATTGGAGGACCTGACCATTAGTCGCTGCTAACTTGTTAGTTCATGCTTATTTGTTTCAAACACGACATTTCCACGACAATCGGTGGACCGCTGCAGTAGCTGGAATGTAGCATCGAGCTATAGTGGCTACGGCAGAGATACACCGATAGTGTTCCTGTTTCTCGGAATCATGTTCCTATGAAAGTGAGATGTAGCCGTGGAAGGGTTGATACCGGTATTTGGGACACTAGGTATCCGTAATCGTCATGAACACGCTGCTTGTCTTTGCCAACAAGTCAGCGCTGATACACGACAGATTGTTTGTCTCATCTACTTGGTCTCAAGACGAGGAACCGAGGTAATATGGATTAGCCACCATAGCCATTGACTTGATGTAGCATATTTTGTGGGCGAGAAACTACAAGCTGGTGATCTTTCCGTGGGGGCGTAAATACTGTCGTCAGTGATGATAATGGTGACATCTCAACCAAGACTACCTGCCGGTGGTTGGAGAAAATCAAAGGTTAGAGCCTAACTGCCATGTAGCCTTGTATTCGATATGTTCATATGTAAGCCGATGCAGAGAGCGTTCGTGCCTAACCATCTGCGAATGAGATCGAATAAAAGGAGAAGACGGTCAAGATATCCCGGTTACGTATTGCAGGACAGTGCAAACTCTCCAGCGAGAACCAGTACCCTGGAGCGGGTTTCGATAGCTCATGAATGAATTCCCCGGAAGGATTATTTGGGTTTATCAGCCAAACCTTTCGGCCGGGATTGATGAAGACAGTCCTTTTTAGGTAAGTTTTAGGACCACTCGGAACACCGTTATTGCCTCCACGTATGATTGGGAGCTTGGGTTGTGCGAAGAGTGGAATGATGGACCGATGGAGTGAGGAAGAGTTGGTCCGTCCATATCAACCCCAGTTTGGGTAGACCACGTCGAACATGGGTTTTGGGGGGAAAGGGAAAACGAGGCGGAGTCTGGACTTTGGACTGGCGAGATAATGGAGTTCAAAGAATCGTGCTGTAGGTGAGGAATAGTCCAGGGCCCGGACTTGGACGATATCGAATTGGTACTGGTAAGATTCGAACGCCTATATGCTGAAGCAATGAAGACAGAGCTTAAGGTCTCGGAGATTGTTAATTAATTGTGAGCTGTCAGTGTCCTTGTAAGCGAGCCGAGGTAAAGTCCGTGGACAAACCAACCGTTGCAGTGGAAAAGTGACACCTCACAATACGACATCAGGACATTGAGCAGGCTGGTGGTGATAAGCTTGAGAATTGTCCATAAAAATGGCGAATTGGGGTTCCTGAGGATTCAAGCTAATGGGGGTTTCTGCAGGGATGAAGGAATTCAGAATCCAGGGCCTGAAAGCAGGAAGAACAAGAATAAGAGCGGGGTGTCCTGAATGATCTGATTGAGATGTGCCTGCCTCCTGCCCTGCGTTTGCCCTGTCACGAACCACGACTGAGGACTTCCCTGGAGCTGGAACTGGAGCTTCCCTTCCTTCCCTGGTTTTATGGATCCAACTGTCCCACTTACCAAGTTCAAGGGACGGCAGAATGTCGGAGACGGTCCTTTTGGCAACTATGACCTGGGTTCCTGCTGTTCGGGACCGCTCCGGACAGGGGTCAGTAGCCAATCCAAGAGCTCACTGACTCTTTAGTGACTACTTAGTCTTGTGTTCATGAGTTGAGTAGGTTGTATTTTTGTTTCCAGGGCTCTCAAAGCTTTGTATCGTTGTACGTACTACGTACGCGCAACAAAGAAAGCCCAGGTCTATTCCGAGATTGACCACTTACACGAGCCAGTGCGAGACCTTTGTCTCTGAAATTGGTATCCAGCACTGTTCAATCCAGTACCTACTAGTTACCAGGTTCTCGGATGCAGCACCGTCGGTTGATAGGGAAAACGGCGGTTTTTATGTGGCCTTCCTTGAGAATTGGAAGGAATGTTGTGACACACTCCATCAGCATGAGGCTTAAACTTAAGGCCCAGATCATGGTTTGCGTTTACGCAGCTGCAAGCACAGCATCCAGCCACAGACAAGTGCCGTTCAAAATAAACTCATGTCTGATCAAAGTAAATATCCAGCTAGGCGCCGTCACGCTGCCGCCACAATCCCCTACAGTACACTTCCTTGACGGACGTAAAGCAGAAATTTACTATTAACAGCAACAGGCGCGTGGGAACAACGCGGATGAATCGAGCTAGTATCCCAATTCTACCACTGGCAGGGAATTTATGTTTTGTAACTTGAAATGTTGCAGCAATTGCCTGATGATAATCCATACCATACCGACTTTGCCCATCAATGGAGCGGTATACCTACTTACTATGGTATCATCGCCATCATGTACCTATGTGCCACGCAACGTCACGCAACGTAACGCAACCAACGCAATGCAAGAAGCTACAACACCGTTTTACCGTATGTACTCTTCTTCACTGGCAGATTGACCACCGGGCCAACAAGTCCAAGTTCTTAATGCGGCAGCTGGTGACCGCTAAATGCTACCGCAGCCACAGTGCCGCAGCATGGCAGTCTTGAGTCGTTCTCATTGCATCGCATTGTATTGCCACCAGTCAGTTGGTTGTTGATCTCCCTGGCCGCACTGGAGCAGTGCATGCCTACCCAGCTACAGGGCAATCTATCACTGGTCAAAACATGGTACCGAGCAACTGGAATAGGGAAATACCACGGAGGTTGAACCCTCGTTTGGACCGACACTGTGCTTCGCTGCAATGTAGGCAGGGGTGTGATTCAGGTTAGGTCCCCTGTGAGCATAATGGCCGCACACCATCATACACCCCCCAAGACAGCTAGCCAGCCAGCCAGAAGCCAGTCCAAGACGCGGGATCCTCTGCCTCTGACGGCAACAGAGGAAAAGCAAAGGCAAAACCAAAGGGCAAAGCCAAACGCAAAAGGACCTACATGACGCCTTTCCCTTCCCGTTCAGATGCGTGGCATAGCATGGCATGTCGTGTCTTGGACTGCCTCCTGAAGGGGTCAAGTCTCTGTAGTCCGTCCTTGAACTAAAACCTAGGGCTCCCGATATCAGCGGCCGACTTCTTCTGGTTATGCCATTTGCCCAATGAGTAGAGCCCAGAAGCCCCCTCCCTCCCGCAGTGTCGGGTCCCCTTTGAGTAGGTAGGTCTGAGATGTTCCATTCTGTTGACGAAGAGCGCGGGACGTACGAGGATGTACATACCTTATTTAGGTGCTGTAGGTGGAATGGAATATCCCGCGACTCACAAACTCTCACCCCTTCCCTGGTCCGGCTTGGGCTTGGAGCTGCTATCGTTTTCCGTTACCGCTGTCGTTGTCGGTCGTTCATCGTCGTCGGGTCGCTTGTCGCTTCGTACCTGAGTACCTGAGTACCATATTAGGTACTACCTGGTGGAGGTTCCCCTCCCCAGACACCCGTTTCCCGTACGGGGGTTCCATGTTATGTTCCATGTAACAAACTCGTACGGGTAATTGGGCGCTTTCGGGCCCTTGTTGTGCTGGATGCGCCTTCTATTCGCTATCCATCTTTCTGCAGCATTGTAGCGCCGGGCCACTAGGTTGGGTTGGCGAGGGCCCACTACTACCACCAGGCCGGCTCAATGTGCACTGTAGTGTACTGTAGCGCCATCCATCCCATCCTGTCCCAGTTAACAATCGCCAGACTAAGTATAGTTCGCCCGCCCTCGCCCATCATCCATCCTTCGACCAACCTACTCTCTCTCCCTCTTCTTTCTTCCTACTACTACGCTCCCGTCCCGTCTCCTTTTAAATCAATTAAAACTTGATCCAACCATTCGTGTTTCTCGTCGCAGATCCACTGCGTCATGAGACCCCTATAAACTTTCGACTTGACTTTCGGCTCGATATATTTATCGACTATTTTTGTGTGGTACTTGGTTAGCTTGACGTGCCTTGACAGAGACCGTCGCCATCTATCATCCGATACAGTACATCACTCGAGCGCCACTACTTTCGGTCCTGCCGACTGTATCAGAAACATTACCAGCATTGACACACTGCAACCACAACAACCATTCATCTTTTTGAATACTCGCCACTTGCTTAGGACAACAGCAGAAGAAAACCTATCAATTGTCCATTTCAGCTCACTTATTCTATAACCATCAACTATCATCCAACTCGTTGACTCCACTTCAATCAATCAATCAATCAATCAATCAACATGAGTTCTCCTGCACAGGCCGGGCCCTCTTCGCCCAGAGAAGAGAAGAAAGAGAAGGGTTTCAGCAAGCTTCTTACTCGTACCAAGACCTTCCTCAAGAGGGAGGGCTCTTCGACCGCATCTAAACGCCAGTCTACTGTCGGTACTTCCCAGCCAGCTGCTCCAGCCAAGGCGGAAGAGACTCCCAAGACCAGGTACGATTCATTCATGAGAGGTGTTGTTTACAGGTCGTCAAGTGAAATTCATACTTCCTGGACTTGAACAATACGTATCTCATGCTTTATGTATCAAGTTGCTAACAAAGTTGCAGCCAAACTCCTGTCACTGAGGGCAAGAAGTCTGATGCCAAGGCTAAATATGAAGGCCTGGAGGGCGTTTCCAAGATGACGAGGAGCCAACTGATTGAGGAGCGTGCTAAAAAGCTCGGTGAGCGTTATGGACTTGATATCAATGTTTCCGAACTTCAGACTGGATCTCCCGACGACACTGTTCTCCGCATCGACAAGCCGATCCGTATGCGCGTTCGACGAACCTGCCACAAGTGCAACGCCACGTTCTCTTCCGCCAAGGAGTGCCCCAACTGCCAGCATGCCCGTTGCACCAAGTGTACCCGTTATCCTCCTAAGCGAAGCGAGGCCGAGATTATTGCCAGCCGTGAGCGACGTGCCGCCATCATCAAGGCCAACAAGGAGAACGCTCCTATTATCCCCGACTACTCTTATGCTTTTGATGAGAAGAAGATTGTCCTCACCCGACCTAGCAAGACCGGCGGACAGGACCTGGTCCACAAGAAGCCTCGTCAGCGTGTGCGAAGAACCTGCCATGAATGCTCGACCCTCTTTATTTCTGGTAACAAGACGTGTGCTAAGTGCGGACACGTCCGCTGCACTGACTGCCCTCGCGACCCGTAAGTTTACCGCAGATAGACATATCAGCTTCCTGACTAACCATTCATTAGGCCCAAAAAGGAGAAATACCCATACGGTTATCCTGGAGATGAGTTTGGTCCCAATAGTGTACCACACTATGAGTGCAAGGAGTGTAAGACAATATTCCCAACCGGCGCCGAAAATGGAACGCAATGCACGAAGTGTGGTTCGGAGAAAACAGACGAATCGCCTCGTGTTAAACCTCGCAAAGTCGAACCTGAGCCGGACCCAGAGGTATTGAAGAAGTTACAGGCACGACTTGAGAATTTAAAAGTGGCATAATCAGCACTAGCGATCAGGCGCCCATGGCCTTGCTTGGGTGCTAGGGGGTGAGAGAGCGGGCGGTTTTCCTATCATTTTATACACACATTTGCACATACGACGACATACCGAACAGCGAGCGAGGAACGACTACAGGAAGATTTGTCGCCCATCCTATAAACACCGAAATATTGCCTACCATTGTTTCTCGTCAGCTATTTATTTACTTCTCTTCGGCCACACGTTGCACAGTCCATCACTTCCTGGTCACGGGACAACAATACTCAACACGAACCCTCTTGGTTATTCACGAGATAGAGGTGGCATTCATATCAGCCGACGCATACGACATCACGATCTGAATATTTCAAGCGTACTCCATGAATTTGCATTCTCAACCATCAGTCATTTACACGCATTTACGAACAGGGGGTGATGTACAGGATCGGGGGGGGAGATGCAGGTTGACATATAAAGGTGTTGAGGGGATTATTGTATCTTGTTAAAAACATGCGCATTCCCTCTGCGGACCATGGCTTTGGGAGGATGGATACCACAGCGGATAGGTCATAAGGCCAATGTATTTTGGCGACAGCGAAGGAGCGTTGTTCTTTCTAGTCTCTCTTGGTAGACTCAAGTCTTGTTTACGAGTGATTCACTCGCCTTATATCAATGAGAAAGACGTCAATCCTTCTTATACAATATGCACGACGTGAATGATTTTGAAGTTCTATACTCTTTATTGCGTGTAGTAAAGGTTGACAGTATGCAATAGTCCTCAAACCCCATTTAAACCCAGTCCTTTCGCTATTTTCCTTCACGCCACACATGACACTATTTCTTCTTCATTTCACTTTGGAGTTTGTAGCTAGCGGTTCTTTCACCTAATACGCCAATTGCATATGACAGAGACGGAATTGTTTGGGTCGCTTCAATAAGAGTGGTCTGGATCTTTGCGTCTTTCTATCTTCGTGCACTGAACTAGGTAGCTAGGTAGGTAGCAGTCAAGCTTTCTCCTCCCAGGCCCATCCATGTATACAGCAAACATGCTAGGTATGCTCAGTAACGACCATAACTGTCTACATGCGACTACCCGTCTGCAAAGCCACTCGACATGTTTTCTAAATCCCCATCTTGTTTTATGCGGTTATCGTGCTACTACAGCATACTTAAGTGGGAGAAAGTTGTACTTGTGTTAGGGGTAGAGGCGGGGATTGTGTCATGATCTGATGCTTTCTCCGTAGCGGTGTGTGTTGTGCAGACACAGCAAACGAACAGCGGTGGTGACATCGTGAGGAGAAGTTGATAGTGTCGGGATGCCGGGAGGACAAGAGAGGGGATGCGGCGTATGCAGTCTTGAAGTACCACGGACAGGGGTAGTAGGAAGTCCCTCAGCCTTTGTCTTGATAGTGGTGATAGTCCCACGAGTCAGGCGTGATCATCAGCGGTACCATTACAATGCTCTTCATTATTGATAGCTATATTGAATGTTTTTCTATATACCCAATTGCCAATTACCCTTTACGATCTACTTCCTCGGCACATGTGATCTTGATACGAGGATGGATGGTATGTGCATAGCACTATTCAACCGGCTGATCCCCTTCCTTGATGAATGACTCCAAACTGATCCTGGCTGTATGGGCCACCGAAGCCCCAAGGGTATCGAGTCGGTTGATCTTGCGGCCAAGATATCGCCCCGCTCCATCCATGCGATTATTGAGATGGGCGTATTGTTCGTCAACTCGGCGCTGCTCAATCGAGCTCTGGAATTCAGCCGGGTTGAGGATTGGCATGAGACGATGAGTTGGGTAGAATCGACCTCTAATCGACTGCTCCTTGAACACAACGTTCTCCTTGACCAGCGCATAGCACCAGCGCTGTGCTCCTACCGAACGACGCCACTGACTCTCGTTCCGCAACGCAACGGGAAGATGTTCGTCCCGGACTATGTTTGGGTGATTTTCAGGTACGAGCTGGTAAACATGACCGCGGAAGAAGACGGCGCCGGGGGATTCTTTCCTAGTATAGATAAAAAGCAGACCTAGAACGCATGTCTCGGCCGGAATGTTGAGCTCGGCCGGCAGCGTTTTAAGCCGCATGGCGTCTCCAAGCTCGACCCGCTCAGCTCCAAAGAAACAACCGTAGTAAGTAACAGTCTTGCTTTTTGGGTCTTCTATATGCTTGGACCATAGTGAGTACGAATAATCGATCTTAACGGCTGCCATTTTGGAAGCATCAAGTGCAATCAGCTCACGTCCGTTCCCGTCTACTGTACTCTGGATAAGAGACTCCCACGAAACACCGTCAAACGCCTTTTCCTTCAATTCGGCCAAGGCAACGGGTGGGACGGTAAAGGCATAAAAAGGCCGCATGTCTCCATCCGTCTTTGTTACGTTATTTTGTTTGATAGCACCATGGCCAATGGGCATAACCTCATGCTGGCCATTAGAAGAAGAAGCAATAACTCCAAGACGCCAGGTACTGCCATTCTGGTACCATACAAGCTCGCCAGATCGGAACAATAATGATGATCTTAATGACCATTGAATAGGCTGCTGTTGTGCTTGAGCAAGATGGGGGGGCTGTTGTTGAATCTGCTGCTGTACTTGTGGTTGAGTTTGTGCTTGCTGTATTTGCGGTGGCGGTGGCGGTGGTTGCTGGTGATGAGGGTGAGGCTGGGTTTGAGGTTGCAGTTGTTGTGGGTGTGGTTGAGGTTGAGGTTGAGGTTGCGGTTGGATGACATGTTCTTGAGGCCGAGCCTGCGGTGGTTGCTGAAATTGCTGTACCGTAGCTGCGGCGGTAGAGATTGGCGTGGGAGCTGGAGAATTCTGCGCCGTAGCAGCCGGCGTAGATTGTGCGGATACAGAACGAGGTACGGCGTTGCCAGACTTCTGAGGTACCTGTCCAGGCATCGGAGGTAGGGGCACGGGTGTTACTCTAGGTGGCATCTTGTCAACCTTGGGAGGTTCATGTGTGATGATCAACCCGTCATCAGCAGAGACGCCTCCCTTGAGTATGTTTGCGGCGTTACAGTGCGCACAGCAACAGTCTCGGTAGTCCATCGACGTCGAAAGTAGCCAAATCAGATGGACAGCAAATTCCTGCGGGCTCTTGAAAAGCTTCACCTTGATTGGGTAACCAGAGACCCAAAGGTGCTTGGATTTCTCATAGAGCCAGTACCCCCGTGGGAAATTCACGAGCCACGGATTTCCTTCTGCATTGTAGTTAGAGAAAAAAGTACTTGAGTGTGGTTGCATGAGAGTTCGTTCACTTTACTTACCATCGGGATTTGGACATAGCTCCTGCTTGAGAAGAATACCGAGTTTGACTTTCCACTCGGTGAATCTTGGGTCATCTTCCGCTAGTCGGACCATCTGAGGTTTGGTCCTCGGTGTTTTCTCAGCAGCAGCAGCCATGTCTTTTGTCTTTTTGGTCGCAGTCGTTGCGTTCGCGGTGGTGACCGGCCAGTAGCCTGGTCCAGTATCCGACCCATCGCTTCTGGCCACACGAATGACATCAAATTCTTTCAATTCCGCCATGTTCATCGCCATCTTTGGACCAAGTGATGGGAACTACCCAAAAAGTATGATATTGTTCAATACCTGACAAACGTACGTTTCCTCACGGACTTTTGCGAGGCCGGTTACCACTGGTGTTCGTCTTATTCGCCCTCTGGCATAAAGTAACTCAGTTCACTTTACCAGTCTCCGGTCCGCGACAGGTAGTCGTCTAATGTTGATGCTGTTGTAGAGAAGAAAAAAATGGACTCGCGATGGTGGTCTTTGATGAAAAGCTCACACATTCAGGGCGTTTGTTGAACTAGTGGCTCTGACCCGTGGCCCCTGTTTCCTTTGTATGGCGTTGAGCTTACGGCGAAATCCTAGCGCAAGTAACTTTATTGTTCTGGACAAACGTGGTCCAGGCTACGCGTTATGTGTTTTGAGCGATGAAGGGGTGTTGTAGCTTTGTTGAATCTCAAGGTGCTCAGGAGTGCGATTCATTGGCAGATGAGCTGAGTCAGCAGTATCATAAGACTACCCTGTAGACAGGCAGTGTAGTAGATAGACTAGATGGTTGAAGAAGTGAATCACTCTGGCATTATGGCCTGGTAGAGCAGAATCTTCTGTCAATTCTGTCCGTCTTTCAACTGTATAGAATGAGTAAGTGCTTATTTTTTTCCTAACATCATGCCCGAGCCTGATGTTCAATACCAAAGGGCTGTGGACATGACCGGGGGATTGGTTGTCATAGCATCCAATGCAAACAATAGAAATAGGCTTCGTTAATTGCACAAAGAGAAAGAGATGGAGGAGACATAAGACAATCTAGATGGAGCCATAGTACAACAATAACGATTTATTTGAGAAACCAGAGTCTAAGTAAGAAAATAAAATAACACGACCGGAGCTGGGCGTATAATGGATATCAAGGTACGGACGGATACAGGAAACTGCCACTGCAGCAGCATCCCTGTAATCAATTAACATTCAGGTGGATACAGAACGCGCTCAACGCGTCTTTTAGCCCACTCTCCCACCTTCTTCTCTACCTCCATTCATCCAATGCCAACATATAACCACGACTGTATCTATTCCTGGACCAACCCGACTCCAAGGCGCTCTCGGGCTCAAGTAGGACCAGCTTACACTCATAATGAGTAATCCGCATTTCACCCATGGCGATAGGGCCTTCCTTCAAGCCATTATGGCTCGAGGATCAATTACTTTCGAAGAAGCTCGACCTATCCTTGCTGCAATTTTCAACGCTGGTCGCAATCAAGCCGAGGATGACGACGAAATACGGAGGGACCAAATCACCGAGGAACATTTTCATGAGGCTATAGACAAAGCTTCCGAAGCAGCGTCGCTATTCGACTACGAAATCCGCACCACTTCTCATCAAGTAACAAAGAGACGAATATGGGCTCTGGTCAACACCACTTCCGATCCACAAACACAGCTTGCCACTTCCTACAACCCCGAAGAGCTTGCATTCATCAAGAGAGTACTAGACGCCATGTTCGAAAAATTCAACACACCACGTATGGAAGTCATGGCCATTACGGAGATGCAGGCTATTAAACTGGCCCGACCGAACCGACGGGAAAGTCAGATTGATATGGATACACAGACACAGACACAGACAGCTGCAGACAAAGGTCTAAAGCATAGTGAAGTTGAAACTGTGCTCGCGAGTCTGGTCGAGGGAGGTTGGTTTGAGAAGAGTCAAGAAGGGTTTTATACACTGTCACCAAGAGCGCTGCTCGAATTACGACCCTGGCTGGTGGAAACGTACAACGACCCCGACCTTGGCCCGCGGGACTGGCAGCGCATCAGATTTTGCGAAGCGTGTAAGGATACAGTCACGATGGGCTTGAGATGCTCCGAGATAGACTGCAACTTTCGACTGCACGAGATCTGCGAAGAGGCTTTCTGGCGAACTAGAAGAGACAGGAAATGCCCACGATGCGCTACCGAGTGGACAGGCAACAAGTACACAGGTGAAAGGGCAGTAACATCAACCGACGCCTTCCAACGGGGACGACGCAAGAATGGCGGAGGTTGGCGACGAAGCACACTTGCTGACGAGGTTATTCGAGACGAGGGAGGTGCAGACGAGGCAGAAGACGAGGAAGAGAATCGTTACGACGCCGATTGAGATTGAGACAGACATGATGTGTATTTTCTAGAAGCCCATCACGGCTTAATATTATGATACCCCCCCTGCCCTTGGGACCAATACGCGCAGTAAAATCCAAGTGAAGATTGAATTACAATAAGCTTTGATTTACTCACATTGTTTCCCAAAACGCCTCGTCCAATAATTTTCGGATTCGTATCTCCGACGGCAGTTGAGTGTCGATCATTGACTAGCAATGCAATTTGAGCGTGGGGTGAACCACTGGTCAGGTTTACTAGAGAATGATTCAAATATGTACTTTTGATAGGTAGCTCCTTAGGTAGGAAGTGAGAGAATCAAGGATTTCGGCTAATGTCTAGTCAACTAATCAGTATTTATTTCTTACTTACTACCTACCTATGCTGTCGCTCTGAAGCATTTTACTTTGTTAGTAGCCAGCCTTGAATCTAGGCTCGGCAGCTGGGATGACATCACATGTGATGTGGCTGTGCATATCGTTCGTCACCCAAGACAAGACAACCCAGACAAAGGCGAATTACATGCGCGCGCCAACACAATCCGCCATCGCCTCTCTTTCAAAAACTGGGCGGCCTCTTATTTCAGCCTCCAGTGCCATACCCAGTTAAATAGCTTTATCCCTAACTCTCAGATCTGCGCCTAGCTTCTCAACCTAACAACAATCATCAATATGCTGGAATACTTGACATACAAAAAGATTAAGAAGAACAGAGCCGAGAAAGCTGCGGCCGCCGAGGAGGCTGCGAAAAAGACCGAAGCTGGATCTTCTGTCGATCCAAGCCATGGGCGGGTACCCGACTTTGACAAGAGCGCAAGCCGCCAACAGCCTACAAGGCGAAGCACTCACCGCAGCCAGAGTTCTACCACTCCTCCCTTGAGCCCGGTTCTTGACCGCAGTGACGAAGCTTGGCTTCGAAGCATCCTAGAGGACGATAGTCCGGCTCCGCCACTGCCTCCGCGAGTCAACACTCCCCAGATTGATCTATCTTCTGCGTCAGATAATGAGATAGAGGCCATGAGACCTCCTGAAAAGATACACGACAAGAAGGATAAGAAGAAGGACAAGAAAACGAAAGAGAAGGGTGAGAAGCAGCCAAACCGTCTTACTGCTTTGTTCGCAAGACAAAAAAAGGCGCAGGATGGCCTCAAGCCAGTGGATAATGTCGCCAAACAGGAAGCTGAGCGTGAGGAGGAGGATCTCGGCAATGTTCTTGATCGCTTGAACCTTCAAGCCAAGAACAACAAAATCGTCTCCCTATCTAATGAGTCCTCCGAGCTGCTGTCTCGCTTTACGCAGGTCTTCAAGGACCTTGCCAATGGTGTGCCGACAGCTTATGGAGACCTTGCGAGCCTTGTGGAGGATCGGGACGGTGCCATTAACCGTGGCTTCGAAAAACTGCCTGCCTCCTTGAAGAAGCTCGTCACACAGCTTCCCGATAAGCTTACTTCGTCCCTGGCACCCGAATTACTGGCAGCCGCGGCGAAAAGTCAAGGTCTTGAGGCTAATACGGATAAGGGCCTTAAGGACGCCGCTATCGATCTCCTCAAGCCATCGAATCTGACGGATCTGGTGACGAAGCCTGGAGCTGTCGTCGGTATGCTCAAGGCGATCGTAAACGCCCTGAAGGTGCGATGGCCTGCCTTTATCGGCACCAACGTTATTTGGAGTGTCGCTTTATTCTGTAAGTCCTGCGTTCCATCCAATTCATTCATCGACTGACGCTAACCCCACGCAGTGCTGATGTTCGTGCTGTGGTACTGTCATAAGAGAGGACGCGAAGTGCGACTTGAACGTGAGAAGTCTGCTGCCGAGACTCCTCTCGACGGTAGTAGTCGTATCGAGGAACTCCCAGATGACCCTCTTCTTCCGGGACCAGAGGAAGCGACGGCAAGACGTAACGCTGACAGGGCGGCACTTGGACTTGGTGACCCTGTGTCTCCTATGTCTGAAAGATCGCCCCATCCGTATATTTCCGAACCAGTCTCGCCCATGGAGCCGGTTCGTCGTTGAGAAATGATTTATGACATCTGGCAGCTGGCATGTTTAGATATGGTAATGCGATGGTTACGATATGGGTTACGACAACTGATGAAAGAAGATGGGGCCTCGGGGCATTATGGATACCTGGTTTTCACACTATTGATGGACAAGCTGGAATTGGATAATGGGAATTAGGAATAAAAATTGATTTCTGCATTTTCACAGTTGGTGGGTATCATGTTATAAAATATTTCCGTCTTCAAAGCTCTCCATCTTACCTTTCGGTCTATCTGGGTACGACGCTATCCCGGCCTTTCAAGAATATCAATCGTCTTGTACAACCTCTTTAATCTCCTCTCGTCCTGGAGCCATGGCCACGGCCTCACTTTTGTCGCTTACACCTTGACGATCTGTCGCACCACCGCCATCTTGGGACCAGAAGTCGACTTCGTCAATAATGTCGTAGACAATATCCTCTGCAATCTGATCGCGGTACCGCTCGCTTACAGCATGCATCTCGTTCAAGCGGGGGTTACTAGAGCGGACTGAACCGGGGGCACTATCCGCAGAAGGCTCGGCTGGAGGAGGGTACCAGAAGTCGGGACCGAAATTGACCTCCACAGCGCCTCCACGGAAGACACTTACCGCAGGGTAATATCCAAGCATACCGTCGTCAAGCCCTTCACGAGCGCCAACCTGTGTCTGGGGACGAGAAGCTGGTGGAAGAAAACCCAATAGGTTCTCGAAAGGGGTACCCATGAGAACACCATTCTTGTATACACGAATGCAAGAATTAGGAAGGGTGCGAAGACTGGGAGATGGATGGTTTGGACCAGGGTCTTCTGAGACACCACTGCCTAATCCTGTTGGGTTCATCAGATCCTCTAATTCCTTGACGGGGTGGTATTCGATTCTTTCGAAATATGTGTGGGCCTTGAATCGGATGGGAAGGCGATCGCGGACGATGTTGTGGCCTTGAGCTGTAGGTGAAGGCTCCTCGTCTGTTTGGTCAACCACTGGATTATAGTGTCCAGACATGATCTTGCGGTGCAAATTCTCCGAAGGTAGTTGGATCTCGAGACCGATCACGTCACCTTCTCGAATACCTTCCCCAGCAGGAAAGAATTCTTTAGGCCGCGACATGTGCACTTTTTCGCCTGCCACATCGCGGAGGCCATAACTATAAGCATCAAAGCCAACTGGTGCATCAAGAGACGCCTCTCGTCTCGCCCAGCCCATGCGTACGTGTTGTCCGCCTTCTGGCTTGGATTCGCCATCCTTGGGTGGTCGGACTCCTTGTGTGATTTTGCATTCCCAATACCATCTGCCTTCCCGAACAGCAACATTCGCTCGCGTCATGCGAAATCCTTTATCGGTTGTGACTTGCCGGGCTGTCTTATCAAAGTAGACATGTCCTGCTGAGTCCTCAAAGCTCATGTGAGGACCATATGGCTCTGGCTCGGTGCCTCGATAGTAGATCATAGAGGGAAAGAGGGGGTCGGCGATGCAGTGCGTATATCGAAAGCTTTTCTTGTTGGAGACGCTTACCGTGTTAGCCGAGAAAGAACTCTGTTATTGATGACCCCAACTTACTGATCCGACGTCTCAAAGAATTCTACGGTCTGACCATCGGGTGCTGTAATCTCATGATGTGTGGTCATGACAGGGCCGCGAGGAGGGTCGAAGTCGGATAATTTAGGAGGCGCAAGCTTATAGCGAAACGGACTCGAATCGACCTGCTTCTTCTGCTGCTTCGTCGGTTTCACTTTTGGATCTGGAGTTGCACGAGCGCTCTCGACGGCTTTGGATTCGCGTTTCTTCAATGTATCCTTCTTCGTACGCGCCGACTTGGATCGCGCCGCTTGAGATGCATCTTCGGGGCCCAGGGAGTCGGAATGCTTGACCTCGGGGTTCAATGGCGAGGGAACAACAGGACTATGACGACCTTCTTCGAGAGCGCGCTTTTGAGGAATGGAGGATAATGGTAGAGTTGGGGTGGGCTCTCGCTTAGGGGAGCTTCCATATTCTGATGCCATGATGAGGCGCAGCGATTGGGACAATTAGAAACGTCTGCTGAGGTTGAGAACACTGAATTGTGGTTGTGATATCGGACGGTATGACGTTGGGTGAAGCATGAATTGACCTCCAAACGGCGTCAAGTCAAATGCGCCCACTTTAGCTTAGAGGAGAGCTAGGTTCGTGATGGATGATCTCGACTAGCTTCGCGGTTGAAGCGCGTGAGAGATAAGATAAGATAAGATGCTAGTATGATAGCACACTCGACTGATAAGATAGATGAGAAGAAAAGATGGAAGAAAAGAAGAGGGTCCGATCTCAGGCTAGTGTCAACATGATCGTAGTCGGTCTAGGCGACCCCCTGCGCAATAAGCCGAGTGGCGCCAAGCGAGTCAATGGAATTTCTCCGTATCAGTTGACCAATGGGAGAAGAGTTAATGTAATCCGAGGCATCTCAGGGGCGACCGAGCAGAATTGACAGAGCCGCGGTGAGAAAATTGGGGGGTACTAGAACGTCTTAATTTAAGGGCCACCTCCACTGTGACGACACGTTGAGAAGGGTCTTTTTGTATGTTTTTACGGCATCAGCATGATGTCGAGGGTTATGGCAAGGACAAAAGCCGACCAAGAGTTATTCATGTGTCATCAAATGCTATGTGCCAAGGCATGATCTCGACATGTGGTTCTCGATGGATTTCCCAGGCTTTCGGATACGGCATCTTGGTTGAGACTAGGAGAGAGGCTAGAAACGAGATGAATGTCTAGAGCCAGGCCAGCCAGGTCGGTTGTTTTAACCCCAACCCACCAAGGACCGGACTTCAAGTCTTACAGTAGGCACTTGCCGGAGGTGTCGTTCCATACTGGGGCCGTCTCCCCGTGAAATCGCATCATGTGCCTTGTCTTGTCTTGTCCACCATTTGCTAGGTTTGCTTTGCACGTCACTCCTTGGCTCTCACTGTGCAGTAAATAGTTGTCCCCTCTGAGGGGCAGAAGAGAAAACAAAGTCCGCTGGCTCCATATGCTGCTAGTACATATGGATGTATGCAATGCAACGCAGTTCCCGAGACCCGGCAGCCAGTCTCCAATCCACCATAACTAATACCAAACAATCTGATCGCGAGTCCTAAGTCCTCCCCCAAGTTTAAGCCCCAGCCCCATTGGACTGGATTGAATCGGGATTGGTTCGAGATTGCCTGACATCAATCAATCAATCAGTTCATCACCTTGTTCTTTTTTTCTGTATCTGTGCTGTCCTCAACTTAACTCTACTATTATCTTCTCTACCTCTACCTCTACCTCTACCTCTACCTGGTCCTCCACCCCAATCTTCGGATCTCTTTGTCCCGGGGTCACCGTCCTCCCTCCACCGCCATCTGCCGTCTTATCACTCTACATATCTATTATCGATCTACGGTTAAGGTCAAACAAGTCACCCACTCACCTCACTCGGTCACTCAATCAATCAGTCAGACCCCGGTCTTACTCTTGTTTGCCCACCGTCCACTGTCCCAGACTGGTGGTGCCGTGACAAGCCATTGACAAAGACCTCTCCCCCTGCTAGCAACCTATTCTACTGTATCTGCCAAGCGCACCTTCAAATCTAGAAACGAACCGGAGCTTGTCCTGTTGCGCTTCGTTCTGCGCCGCCTTGCCTTTTGTTGTCTTACCATAGGTTGATCGCCCCTGCGCCCGCCTTTTGGTTGATCATCTTTGTTGAGACGTCTTTTACCCTGATTATTTCCCTTCCTTCTCCCTACTACCTACTACCTACTCTACTATCTTCAAACACTCCCTCTGACAAGCTTGACCCTTGTCCTTTCTCCTCCACCACCACCAACCCCCGCGCTCCCTACTCCCTACCTTCTCAGACCTTCTTCTTTAGACTCTTGGTCTGGACCTTGCGCTGGTCCCAAGTATCTGGTTGCTGTCGCGTCACTATTTGACATCTGTCGTCTGACCAATACCTGGCTTCCCGTCCGATCAACTCGATCCAGCCTTCCATTGGTTCTGTTTATTAGGTCACCTGCCTACAAGCCTACGTCTTTAGGTACCCTGGCGATTTGGTCAACCTGTCTGCCCACCGGCGACCTATCTTCTTGACGATACATAATATTTGGCTACAGGCCAGGTCTTTTAGTCAGGTACCTGGGTCCTCTGACTCCTGACTTGCATCCCATCCCTTCCTTGTTTCATTCGCTACGGCGTCCACGAACTCGTACTGTAGGTTGTCGTGGAACCCGGCTCCGGCTCCTCTCCGGATTCGCCTCCTTCCTCGGCCGATTCGAAACCATTGCTAGTCCGCTGCAGCCGATTACGACTCGTGTAAAGGACTTTCTCTTCCGCTACCAAATCCGCATCTTATCTTACTCATCTTCGATTTGTACGACAATCAACCAAACCGACATCTACGACAATTCGATATACACATCAACATCAACAGCAACGCTGATGCATGTCACGTCTTTCGATTTGTGACCGATCCGCTATTGTCTTCGCGCAACTCCGCCGGTAGACTTACTTTATTCATCTCAACTGCCACCGCCTTGACCTCGTCGATAACATCAGCTCTAAATACGGGCATGAGCCAAGAAACCCAGTCAGCGGCGCTGTACAGCCAGCAGCGCGAGGCAGGCTCAGTTCGCACTGCGTTACCATCAAGACCGATGTCTTCGAAACCCGGTTCTCCCGCTCCCCCTTCTCAAGAGCGGACTAGACTTCCCACTGGCCAAGAAAGTCACGATCATCGTCAGAGACTGAGTGGAAGTCCACCTGGCTCTCAAACAAGTCCAACACCAGGCACAATGTCAAAACAACAAAGCCCAGGGGCAGAGCACAGTTCAAAAGCAAGCCCACCGCCTGGTAATGGCGGTAGCCAAGGCCAAGTTTGCAGGTAAGTGATGATATCTTGGTCTCCATCGATCTCGTTGCTCATCTTAATGTAGTAATTGCGGAACCACTCGAACACCTCTGTGGAGAAGGTCACCCCAAGGTGCCACAATCTGCAATGCTTGTGGCCTTTATCTGAAGGCCAGGAATGCTTCTCGCCCAACCAGCCTCAAACGACCACCGAATGTCGTGCCCGCGGAACCCCCTCGAACTGCTGCACCCAAGCCCTCGACAACCGCAGCCTCAAAACCTGCATCGAACGCGACCTACGTATCCGCCGACCAAACTCCTGGAGGAACATGTCCTGGTGGGGGTCGTTGTAACGGGACAGGAGGTGCAGAGGGCTGTAACGGGTGCCCGGCTTACAACAACCGTGTCTCCAAGAGTGCTAATCTTGGCGGAACCCAGAAGCGACAGAGTTGTCAAAGTCGAAGTGAAAGCACGAAGCCTGAGCCCGTTCCTCTTGATGTAAATGCTCTGCAAAGTCAACAGAATTCAAATGCCACAGTTGTGATTGCGTGCCAAAATTGTGGTACCACCATTACACCACTTTGGAGGCGTGATGAGAGTGGCCACACTATCTGTAACGCTTGTGGTAAGTATTGTTTTGTTAATTGGTTTATGGATGTTTGTTGATTTTAACAAATTCAGGTCTCTACTATAAGCTGCATGGTGTGCACCGACCGATGACGATGAAGAAGTCAACCATTAAGAGACGAAAACGAATCATTCCCGCTTCCCAGGACGAGGAGATGGAGGATGCAATGGAGGCAACCGAATCCCAGAGCTTGTATCCTGCCGATGCAGAAAGAGGATCAATGAATGAGGACGGATCTGTTAACCTGGGCCTTCGCCGTCGACCCGAGCACCCGCTCACGATCGAGCCATTGCCGTCAATACGACCCGGCAGGACAATATCACCGATGCCACCAACGTCCGATCTTGCTGCGTATCACCAGTCGAACAACCCTCGCCATTACTCAGGATCCATAAACGATGATAATCGACTGGCTCCTATGGCATCGATGACAACAAACAGTGATAGGAAGACATCTCTGTCTCCTGCTTCATTCCTCTCGCCAACACGGAAGCGATCATTCTCCACTACAGAAGGTGAAGCATTTGCATCTCAAGAAGCTAATCAAGAGAGCTCGAAACGAATTTCTTCGATAAATCTGAAATCGATCCTCAACCCCTCAACGTCGGCCGGTACCCCTCCTAAGGTTGGAACAGGAAGCGATGATGGGGATTATTCGTTGCCACCTATTCGATCACCTGGCAGCACTATTGCGTCGGCTCCGAGTCCCAGCGCTTTCTCCAATCGTGACAACACTCCGGGGGTTGGGTCGCGTGATATCGAATCTGAGAGGATCAAGGCTGAGCGTCGAGCTGCCCTACAGCGCGAAGCTGACAAGATGCGCGAAATGCTTGCCGCCAAAGAACGGGAACTACAAGAACTCGGTCATGATTGATGAGTAGAACCAATTACGGAATACAAACGACTTATGAAGTACCCCAAGGTCAGCAAGGAGTCACTGCTTCGCAAATTTTGCGGCTGGAAGGCGAGTTACGGATCGGCGCTATTTGGATTTCACAGCATACACAGCTCCCTTGAACGGGGTTTATCTCATAGGGTCTGAGGCTTTGCTGTCAAGGAACATGGTGTTTTACATAAATACCTGGTCTGCAGTCTATTTCTTTCCCTAGAACTTACCGGATGAGGCTATCCTGGACTACAGGCCAGAGCCAGCGGCGCCATTTGTTTCTCAAAAAGCAAAATGTTTAACGATACAAAATGCACATATAGACAGGACCTGGCTAGGTGTATCGCAAGATAGTTTACATGAGCCAAAAAGAGAATGCGGTGTCGCGTGAGCGACTGTGAGTTGACAACTGATTAAGTATCAGCTTTGAGCCTACCTTCCGCTTCCTCGTTTGATTTATAAGTGCCATCATCGTGAAAATTGTACAGGCCATTGGGTTATCCACAAAATCTCAGAAGCTCACAGTCTTTAGCTTTCCTTCAGTATAGCGACGAAAGGTGGGTTATCACATGAAGTGCCCCAATATTCCAAGCAAGTACAGCGGCGGCTGTTTACCGCCTAGTAGTTTGGTGATCTGTACGCCCGGCAGATAATTGATACGAAATGAACACTTTTAAACATTATAAGCGGTGGGAGTAAATAACGTAAAACCTTCTGTGGCGAATCTAGTCCACGAGTCAGCGCTGACACGAACTGTGGTGGGTAGGACTGTTTCGTACAAAGCAACACCTTGGCTCCTAATCTCGCTCAGCCAAGAATGTTCTAGGAATTGGCGATTGGCAGGGATGTTAATTAGAGACATAAAACAAATCGCTTTGCAAAGTAGTCATGCAGAAGGAATAGCGCAGTCACAAGTGTTGTGTCGTAATGGCTTGGGGGAAGGGATGTCATGATGGTTCATACCTCGACGGTCTTGGCTGTCTTTCGATATGCAAAAGGCTCAATTGCACTAGCAAAAGATTTGTGGAAGACGAGAGTTATGACAACAACCTTCTACAGAAGTCGGCTGGTAAAGACTGCCACCTGAAAACAATATAGAAATTGGTGTCACGCCAATAGTAGGATAGCTCCCATCTGACAGTCATTTGAGGATGTGCAATCATAGACCAGGCGAAGAAACATCTCCCGTATCGGCAGAATTGATTCATGAGTTGATATGGTGCTAGGTTAACAAAGATCATCCGAGTTTCAGCATCCAAATACAATTGCAATACGTTCCCGGCTTGTTCAGGAGGGACCCAAGCTGTTGCGATAACACTGGTATAGCTGGGCTAAGCATCAAGAAGAATGAGTAGCTAAGCGATCACGAATTGCTATATGCTGGGAATCTATTATACTGTATCGTAAAGAGTGTCAATATGTCTGTATTATAGTCTCTGCTCAGTATGCCTCTCTTGGTGCAATGCGTTGCTGCGATCTTGATGATGCAACCGCCTTGACTTCATGATGCCCATATTCATATAATTGAGTTGGAACTGCTAGGATCAACGGTCTACAGATATGGAGACCCACCTGAATGCGGAATTCAGCAAAGTTGAACGTCTTATTTCTATTTAACAAGGTTATACATTTCCCGAATCTCAATCACAGCGGATTGCTAACTATCAATACACCGCAACGGTTGAAAGAAATCCTTTCATATCAGCCATTTGTTAATCATATACTAGTTTGATGTCAAGATATCTTGTAAAAATACCACCTGCGGTAGTCATGATAGTCAAAGTTCAAAGTTACTGCGATACCGGCGTCTTAGCCCAACACATTGGCTCGGAACCTCCCGTTAACATAGCCCACAGGCGGCACTTACGGAAATGCTATTTGATCGCCTATAATAGAACCGGCGTCTAATCATAATGGGAAGCACAGAGAGCCGCAATAAATCTGCTGGTACCGCTGGGGAGACATGTGGTGAGCTGAAGAGGCAGGCTAGCAGGTAAGTGTGCATGAGTTGAGCTGATATATGGGGCCTCACTCTTGACCCGAACTAGAGTCCAATGCCTATGCCTATTATGACCTCTTAAACATTAGTCTAGTCTGGCACGCATCCAACACTGAACAAGATCTTGTTTGCTCTTAGACCTCCGTGATCGCGTATCCCGGAGTCCGTGTGGGTCAGCCTCCGGATACTCCGCTGTTACCGTACCCGAGTGCGCTGTATTTCCGCTCCAGCTGTGTAGAGTAGAACAAACCACGGCAGGCGCGTTCGCATGACTTCCATCCATGTACATAGTAGATACGGATACAGCAGTAGCTCAATCACTCTCACCGGTGCCTTCCCCCAGCTTTTTGGGATCTGGACCACACCCAAATGCAAAACCTTGTTCATATCAATCAAAAAGACATCATCCAACTTCTTTGCTTACCAATACGTCAGACAATAATACTGTACAGTACGCAATATCTTGCTCAAGCAGGGAAAACACTTCGAGCGATCTGCGATTTGTATTAGTCCATTGACAATACCACCGTATCATGTCGGTGGCTGTCCCTAAAATCTTACCCACAGATATATCATACGTATGGCTCTATCTTTTCCCCGACAGGCGGTTTTTTGGAAGGTTCCAGTGCTTTCGTGATAGCCTGGAACATACAGTCTATGGATACTCACAAGTTGTCGATGGATCAGAATAAGACGGAATGAACAAACTTCCCCGAGGACGTGCTTAACCCCACACGTATGTCCCGGGGAAGGCAGACAGACCTGTTGGACCCTTTGAGGGTCACAATGCACTCTGATTGGATCATGGGTACGACTGATTCTTATTCACTGAAGATGGACGTCGCACTCATGGGGAAAAGAATCATACAGGGCCGGTCTCGGTGTACTGCAGTCACTCGAGGATCTAATGAGACGCATCTGCATGGGTGGTTACGCCTTGCGAATAACGAGAAGCGGAGCTCAGGATGCGCCAGTCTCGCTTGGAATTATCAAGCTGACACTGTATAGGCAAGCTGTTGATTGGTGAGTTGCCAACGTTGCTCACCTTCAACCAGGCAAAGGACAACTATTTTACAGTGTCCGTAATACAGTCAGTCCGCAGGTTATGTGCGTGGGTCCATTGATCAAAATGATCCCTGTCTGTCAATTGAAGGGCGCACGACTTGACATTCTGGTTAGACTAATTCAACTGGTTGGTGTGGCTTGGCCGACAATCTGCACTCCAACTCCACCAGACCTTTTGGTACGGTTCAAGTTCTGGGGACGGGAACGGCTGACTCTACTCCATCGGTACTGTCTGTTTCTTTAGATAGACCGATAGTCGTGCCTAGTTGGGCTTTTCGACTTGAACAAAACTCAGAGGCCGTCCTCGACTTATGAGCCTCTTTCTTTTCTCTTCATTCTCAGATTCAACGATAAGCACTTGTCCTGTCTTATACCACTTGCCTAAAGGTTCAAGTGGGACTAGGCTGGCTTGACTTGACATCCAACTCCATTCAGCTCAGCTCATGGTTGTCAATCTTCACGCGCGCCTTTCGATCGACTTTAATTGACATTTCTGCTCCGCATCAGCACTTACCCTTGTGCAGCATGGCTGGCATCGACGAGATGGAGCAGTTTGTCAACTGGGACAAGGCCATTGACGCCTTTCAGCAACCCCAGGACGGCAATGCTCTCGCTGGTCTGACAGGCGAAGGCAACGAGAACATTGACCTTGTTCTCGCAAATGTAACTGAGGACGACTTCAGTTTTTGCGCCCTCCAGCACTTCTCAGACAACAACTTCCCTCTACCAGATATGTCTGCTCAAGCAATGGACTTCACTACGACTGCCGACGACATCTCCAACCAGTTTCAATGGGACACCCCTCCATCCCCATGTATTAACTGCTCCATGGCTGGCTTTTCTTGCAAAAAGATCCGAGAGGGTATGTACAAGGACTACTGTACAACCTGTGTGGCCTTGAAGGTCGACTGCAGTTTTGCTGTTGCTCCAGCGTCCCTCAACACTTCAGCAGCCCCGTTCAACATCAACCCTTTCCTCTCTTCTGGACCTGAAATTCCCAATACTCTCCAGGAAGATACACAAGACGACTCTTGCCAGTCCTCCCGCAACGCTTCTCGTAATGCATCTGTTTCCGATCTAGCCAACATGGGAGAGACGATTAACAACAAGGCCGCGCCCCCTCCTAAGATTGGAGCTCGATTTTCTCGAGAATCTGTCCGTGTTCTCAAGAACTGGCTCTCGACTCATAACCGACATCCGTATCCTAGCGACGAGGAGAAAGAGATGCTGCAGCGCCAGACTGGCCTGAACAAGGTACAGATCACGAACTGGCTTGCAAATGCGCGTCGACGAGGCAAAGTCCAGCCTCCTCGTTCAACATCACCTCACTACACTAGCTCATGGTCAGGTCCTATGGATATTCCCCAGCGTCGTGGAACTCCAGCACTTGAAGCCATGAATCCACTACAACGTTGGGAGCACTCTCCTCCTGAGAACGAACCTGCCTCCGTCAGTGCCATTGCTCGGGCCGTCACAGCATCGTCTTCCGGTCTCTCATCGGGTATTGACAGCCCCTTCAGTCTGAGCTACGCCGACGACGGCTCCAGCAAATCCATTTGCAACCAGTCATCGGTCAGCAGTTTGGGAACATCTCACTCGAGCAATGGGTCCCTCGGATCGGCCTATTCACATGGATCCCGCAACTCATGGGGATCATTCAGCTCGGCCCCATTCAACAGCCACGGTCGACGCCGTCGACGCCGTAGGGCTTCGGCAAAAACAGGAAAAGAGAAGACAAGCCTCGCAGCTCCTCTTAAAACTTTCCAATGTACATTCTGTACCGAAACTTTCAGGACCAAGCACGACTGGCAGCGACACGAAAAGTCTCTGCACTTATCTCTCGAGAGGTGGGTGTGTACCCCACACGGGTCAAAGGCCGTCAATCCCGATACTGGCGTCTTATCATGTGTCTTCTGCGGTGAAGCCAATCCGGATGATGCACATATCGAAGCCCACAACCATTCAGCCTGCCAAGAACGTACTCCCGCTGAACGAACGTTTTACCGAAAAGATCACCTCAACCAGCACTTGCGTTTAGTTCACAACATCAAGTTTCAGGACTGGTCTATGAAGTCGTGGAAGGTGGCTACGCCAGAGATTCGATCCCGGTGTGGTTTCTGTGGTATCGTGATGGATACTTGGACTATTCGTGTCGATCATTTGGCGGAGCATTTCAAGACGGGTTACTCCATGGCTGACTGGAAGGGTGACTGGGGTTTCGATAACCCTGTACTCGAGATGGTCGAGAATTCTATGCCTCCATGTATGAGACCTCTACAGTATCCTGTAGACAAGTTGCCAACGTCTAACTTTTGAAATAGATCTTATTCATTATGAACGCACATCCCCGTTGCCATACGTAGCCAACCACTCTCCACCAGAGTCACCTCGTAACGCCTACGAGCTGATTAAGCTGGAAATGGCTTTCTTCACACGGAACTACCAAGATCAACACGGACGACTCCCCAACGACGAAGAGATGATGGTTGAAGGTTGTCGTATTATTTACGCTAGCGAATTGCTGTCCTTGCAAGGGATTGCCACGCGTCCATCCTGGCTTCGTGATATTATCATGAGCTCTGAGACACTGCAACAAAAGGCCAGATTCGGTCCCTTGCGTGGTGCCGCTGAAAACAGGCTGGCATCACTTAAAATTAACGGCAAGGACAACTTGTTCGAGGAATGCCCCATGGAGGTGCAACTACATGAGTTTGTCAAGGCCAAGAGACTACTGGGCTTAACCGCAATGGATGATGAGCTTCAAGATGAGGCTTGTCGCATCGTCGGCAAAGTAGAGGAAGTATCGACACATCCATCAGAGGCCATTGCAAACTGGCTGATTCGACTTGCTACATCATCCACTAACTGGCTTGCCCCCTTCCGTCGACGTGCACACCTGCCACGAAGCGAGGATGTGGTGGACCATATTTGCCGATCAAAGGACCCTTCATCCATAGACTCAACCATCCACAGTTACTCGCGTCTCGAGCGTGAACTGAAGGACTATCTTATGTTGCAGCGTTCTATGGGAATGGAACCTACTGATGATGACCTTCAACGACAAGCTCGTATCATTATCTATGAATTTGATGACGGCTGGAACCAAACCGCAGCCGACAATGCGTCTTGGCTCGAGGGTTTCAAGAACCGTCATCCTGCAACGAGCAACAGTTCGCCTGCGTTTTCCCTTCAGGATAGCACCCAGTCAACCATCAGCGGAACCGTCAGTGGAACTGCCGTGACTGACGCTACGACATTGTTCAGCAGCGAATGCCCTGTGCTCATGGGATGCAACGACATGTTCGACATGGGCAGTGGTAACAACTGCCCTGGGCCTTACTTCCTCAACGATGCCAACTGCTACAGGCGACTTGCTAAAGAACTGAAACGATGGGTTGCTGGGACGATGTCTGTTAACAACCCCAACCGCCATGTACCAAGTGACGAGGAGCTCCAGCATCAGGCTCGCTGGATTCTCTATGACGAGTAAGTTTTCTAAGGCTATTTATACACGCATTGTGAACTAACAATACTCCAGTGACGACCCTTGGAACCAAACTGCTGCAGATAACGCTGAGTGGCTGCAGAGATTCAAGCGTGACGCCGGAATCCTCAAGACAGATGGTCCTGGCCTTCCGATGAGCGATGGCTGGGCTCTCGAATCAGGCGGGTCTGGATTCGCGCCACCATACGCCTGCCCTAAGGCATCCCTCGATCCTTTCCCTGCAGACGCTCAGGTATCTATGGGCCAGGGCGCCAAGTCACTCCCAGCAGCCATAGCAAACAGCTATATCGAGAAGCTCACATCGGAGGCGGCACGACCGGCCGAAATTTTCTGCTCGCGAGAATTGGAGCGAGGTCTTATCAGTTATGTTGAAGATCATGTCGCTTGCAAAGGATCTATACCATCAGATGCTATGTTGCAGACTCGGGCCCGACGTATTCTCGATTCTAATACCACCCCTGCCGACGATATCGATTTGTTGAACAAGTTCAAGGATATGGTGGCTAAAAAGGTTCCTCAAATTGCGACTGCTCAAAACCCAGCTGCGAGTATGCCCGCTGTACCCGGAAATGTGGACATCAAGCTCTCAGATGAGGATGTGAACAATATTTTGCAAGATATGGATTTCGAATTTGACGCTCAAGACTTTGGAGGCGTTACTATGGAAGGACTACAAGACACAGGTGGCGTTAGCCTGGATTTGACGGGCTTCAAAAACTAGGGACCACTCTACACTATTGAAGAGGTGCATTGATGATGAGCGTATTACAACAAGACGGTGCATTTGCTTTATCAAGGTTATTGGGCATATAGAGAAAGGTTAACTAAAAGTTGGATATATCAAGATGAGACAATGAATGGCAAAAAATGAATACTATTATATTTAATATTGACTTCTCTACCTACCTACCTATATTGACGTAGATTTGGTTGTCGCACGTGAATACTTGATGAACAATGATTGTTGTTCTATGCGGGCATACGCGAGACAATGTCTCAGCCTAAAGCCTAGAACAGAAAATAGAAGCAGTCTCTCGCATGGTCTACGTTTGCATGCGGACGGTGCAAGAGCGACTACCGTTAGGTTAATGGGGCGATGCTTTCCGAAGACGGAATGGGGCTTGACTCTGATGTTGGTCGTACCTGCCCGTACCTTGAGCCAGCCAATCTAATACTGTACTGAGTAAGGTACGAGGCAGTAAGATCCAGTAGGCAACGACGCCCAGATAAATAGGTAGCTACAGTAAAGAGGCAGGAATGGAGGGCAAGGAACGGATGCAATTCCAATCGTTCCATGCTTTTCATCCTCAAACAACCACACTCAAGCCTCAGTCTCAGCCGCCGATACCGAGATGTCGGATGCTTCGCAAGCCGCTCTATGAAGCTTGGTTAGAAAAGGCTCCGTCTTTTTTAAGAGACAGACGAGTTGAATTGACGATTGAGTGAGGTAATCAACCACGGCACTCACTCAACCCTGTCACTCACAGCTTACAGTCCCTCGTCTCTTGTCTCACCATCGAACAACGACCCAACTCGATGCCGACGTATCTATGCCACGGATTTCGATGGCATCGCCGCGATATCCGTATTTTCGTCATCCTTAACGATCTTGAAGACGCAGCTCCAAATTGGATCCTTGCGCCTGCATCTTCATATTGTATTCTCGATCAGTTACACGCTCAATTCGATTTCTTGCCTGAACTCACCCCGCCGACCACGCCGACACAAGCCAGTGTTAGCAATGCCAAAAATGCCAAGCCAAAGCCAAAGCCTGATCATGTGGATGACGACCATGATCTCCCTCAATCACGTGTACCCGATTCTGACGATGCGGTTCTCATGCACTCGTGGTCTCCGGTCAAGTTGTTGGAGGAGTTCGATGTTGACGAGATGGTGATGGCATGTAGGCCTTATGCCTATGTAGCTGACCATGTGGTGAGAATCGATCTAAGCGTGGACGTAGCAGGCCAGATGGCCAAGTACTACGAAAAGATGGCAGGCGATGATGGTTGGATTGTTCAACTTAGGGATGAGTTGCAGAAAGGAGAGCAAGTGAGATGGTATGTTATTGTCTGCGGAGACGACGTGAGAGAAGTTCCTGGGAAGAGTGATGAAGAAGAGCAGGAGGTTGGGTATGAGCAGCTGAGAGAAAGAGCACAGCACATGGCCCGCGCCAGAAGGACGAGAGAAACTCTGGACGGCTCCTCTAACTCACCATCTGAATACGAGGATGGCAGCGACCAAGACGAAGAAGACGCTCTTACTGTATTGGAGGATATACTAGATGATTCCGAAGGTGCCGCTACTCCAAGACCTCTTTCACTAGACCTACCCGATATCGATATACCACTTCGGCCCCAACTTGATCCGAGCAGAGCATCGGTTTTGACAACATCAACAGTCTGGTCCCAGGACCAATCACCCGACGATACAAGAATAGAGACACCGGATATCGATAAACCTCTTGCACCCCACGAGCTCGACCGAAATAGGACGTCCATATCTACAGCATCTTCAGTTTGGTCTCAGAAAGAGTCGTCCGACGACGGATTAGAACTGGAAACGCCTGATGTTGAGGTACCGCTGCTTCAATCTGCGAATACACGATTTTCGACATCAACAGTAGGGCTTTATTCTGAAAACGGGCATATTCGAATGGAGCCAGAAGAGTTTGCCAAAGCACAGTCACCAGTACGCAGCCCTATTAGAGAAGAGGTGCCGGACATTATGCAGCCTCTCAAGCCTGCAGAGATCCTGCCACCGAGGTCTTCGACGCCGCCAACGCCCAAGGCACCGCATAGACAACTCCCAGCTCCAAGCTTATACAGACCCGAGAGTTTCATACCGCCTTTCTCGCCTGCTTTACCGTCTTCAGATGCTTTCTCTAATGATTCCTCAAGTCCAACAATTCCGAATCAGACTGAAGCTACAAACCCACCGGAGACGTCCTGGCCGTTATCTTCCGACTCACCACTAGAATCTTCAGGGTCTAGTACATATCGCAACGAAGAGAACTCTTTCCCACTGACGCCACCGCTCGTACATTCGAACAACAATTCTTTAACTAAATTGCACTTACCCAAGGAAGTTATCACCGCTCGGATACCTTCTCCAGCATCAGGATACTCACTTCAGCCGCAATCTTTGCGGCCAAGGAAGCCTAGATTCGAGGAGGCAGTTCCACATGCTTCGCCTCTACTAGTTACGCCAAACCCTAGACGCCTAGAACAACCGATTTCCGGAGTCTTGTACAATGCTGGAGAAACTGTATCTAAAAGGCAGCCACCATCTTCGTTACCAAAGTCCAGAGTCATACGTCCTCCGCCACTTAATATAAACTCTGCCAACATGCCAAGGGCTGCGGCTTCGAATCTTAGGAAGGATCTTGCAACACCAACGTCGGCTCAACGAGAGACTTCTGATCTGAATATGAAGACGCCGCCGATAACCCCGAAAACCCCTACAAGACAATCTTCTACGGATGCATCACCGAAGTCCCGTATACCGAGAAGCATGCCAAAGAACGTACGTCTATCTACTTTGCCGCCTCCACCTGAACCACAAGCAAACCCTGTTCGTCCACCTACACCACCAAAACCAAAGCCCCGTTTTGCACAGACAGGGGGGCCACAGAGAAGACCACAAACAGCACCAGAGGAGGGGGTAAAATTGAGACCCAATGCAGGAAGCTTCTCAAGGCCATACCGGTATGATGCGCCCAGAACTACACAGGGCACACAAGTGATATCGGGACCGAGACCCCCAGCTGCTGCAGGTTACAGCCTAAATGCTACTGCACAAAGAAATGTACCACTGCTTTCAGCACAAGAAGCAAGGCCAAGAGCGCCGCAGCCACCTCCAAATGCAGCACAGAGTCGACAAACCAGTGTGTCGACTCAAAATAGTGATGGGCATAAGCAAGAAGGGGGGAAACAACATCACAAACATCACATCGGTCGAAGTCATTCGGTTGCTGACGGGTTTAAAAAACTATTCAGAAGACCGTCACTTGCCAAAGGGGCTCATCAGTGAATTGGAATAGTTGATGAAGCACAAAGCGAAGGAGTTTGGAGTTGGGTTTTCTTCTAGTGCTGTATATATATAAAAGACTGTCCAATTAGCTTTTTTGTCAAACAGTAACTATGTCATTGCAGGGGTAGCTAGCAAACTTATGGGGCTTCATAACTTGTAATGTTTTATGATGGGTACCTACCTAGTCATGATGAAATGGTAGAAACCGAGATTGCTATCGACATGTACAATGTTCACTCCGTCAGATACCGGAGAATAACTTGAAACATTCAGCATGAATATCACCATTATCTTGGAATAAAAACATGCATAATTAAGCAGGGGACATTTGTTCGTACCGTACCTCTATGCAAGGAGTTGGTGCGCGTCACGTGTAGGCAAGACAGCTTGCGATTGAATAGATTGATCGCCTACAAGTTTAAAGCTATCAACGTCTCCCCCTAGTCCAATTGATTCCGCTTATAACAAGCGAGAATGCAACTTGCGTATACTATTGAATGGCATCCTTGACGGCCATTAACTAACCTTAGAGCCGCTCCGATAAACGACTTCCCCGAGTCCCTAAATCCAGAGTCCGAGACACCTCTCGTCCCGTCCCGCCTACGTCTCCGAAGCCATCCCTTTCAACTCCAAACCTTCAGTCTCACCTCAGCGCTCAAATGGTCCACCCGAAACCCGAAGACGGGCCAAGTGCCCCGGTTGAGACTTTTGCGCAAACAAGCATAGAGCTCACGCTCGATGATAGCGACGACGAAGATCTCCGGTCAATCGTTGGTAGTGGGAGCGATGTATACGAGCTTCGCGATAGGGACACAAGTAGGGATCGCAACGGCAGCGCCATATGGGATGCTGAAGCTGGCGATGACGGGGATGTCGACCGTCCTCTTGTTGCAGGTCGTTCAAGAAGTCCTGGATCTGTAGCGAGCTTCCAGTTATATACCCCAGACGAAGAGCAGGCGGTCCGGACGAAGTTTGATCGCAAGCTTGTTTTATTCGTAGCTCTCCTTTATATGCTGAGCTTTGTCGACAGGTCGAGTATGGATTCGAAACCTTCTTTGCATCTACACAAAAGCTAACACATCCATTCAGATATCGGCAATGCTCGAATAGCAGGTATGGATGAAGACCTTCAATCCGATCCACCCCGTGATGAGTGGTATCAATGGGCTTTAACGGCATTTTACATTACTTATATCGCCTTTGAATGGATGTCGCTGCTGTGGAAGCTCATCCCCGCACACATTTTTGTGTCTATGGTAGTCTTAACCTGGGGTCTCATGGCGTCTCTTCAGGCCGTGGCTACGTCTTACCCCATGCTGATTGCGCTACGTGCTGTGCTGGGCATTGGTGAGGCGGGGTTTACTGGTATTCCGTTTTACTTGAGCTTCTTTTTCAAACGCGAGGAGCTGGCATTTCGGACTGCTATTTTCATATCTGGTATGTCTTCATCTTGATACAGGTTTGTATTGTAAAACCCCCAACTGACCATGATAGCCGCACCTCTGGCCACGACCTTTGCTTCCACCCTTGCTTGGCTCATTGTCAAATTTGCTTCACTTAGCCCTATCGCCCCATGGCGTCTTCTTTTCATCATCGAGGGGTTTCCTTCTGTCATCGCATCTGTAGTCGCCTGGAACGTCATCCCGGACTCACCCCAAACTGCTCCCTATCTAACCAAGCGTGAGAAGAAAGTCGCTCGTTTGCGCCTCCGAAGCGAGCAGTCCGCGTCTACATCCACAAACGCCAAGCCTTCATCCGGTCTCAAGGGTCGCGATGTCTTAGCTATTTTCCATGATCCTGTAGCTTGGATTACCGCCACCATGTTCTTCCTCACCAACATGGCCTACTCATCACTTCCTGTCTTCCTCCCAAAGATCCTTACTGAAATGGGCCACGATACCCTCACTTCCCAGGCTCTCAGCGCTCCTCCTTACTTAGCCGCCTTTGTCATCGTTCTCTTCACGGCTCACATGTCTGATCGGCTGCGCACTCGCACCGTCCCTTTAATATTCCACGCTCTCGCGTCCGCCAGCGGCTACGCCATACTCGCCCTGGCCAAACCCCTAAACTTACCTAATTTCATTCGATATATGGCTGTATATCCTGCCGCGATAGGCTTCTTCAATGTCGTCACTCTCATCATCACGTGGAGTATTAATAACCAGGCCAGTCAGAGCCGCCAGGGCGGTGGTTTTGCCCTCCTACAGCTTGTCGGCCAGTGTGGTCCGCTCGTGGGCACTAGGCTATACCCCGACCGTGATGCTCCTTATTATGCGCCGGGAATGAGCACTTGTGCGGTGGCGATGCTCAGTGTTTCCATCCTAGCATATGCTCTTCGTTTTTACCTAAAGTATCAGAACCGCAAGTTCGATCGGGCCGAAAGCGAACATTTGGAGGGAGGCGATGAAGTAGAGGAAGAAGGCCTTGTCGGTTCTGGGAGGAGAAAAGCCACGGCCGCCTCCTTTCGATATATGTTATAGTACAATTTTAATTCTCTCATCTGTAAGTCAGCTTTCGACGAACGGATACAGCGATACAGTATCAACATGATAAAAGACTCAATTAGTGAACTACCTGCAATTTGTGCTTCTCACTGGTTTGTTGATTGCTCCTTCGTCTTCGCCTACTTCTTTCTAAGAAGCTGCAATGGTAAGAGTTAATCAATCCCTGGTCTGATTCCCAAAGTGCATCCATTCGGGAGCTTGATACTTCTCAACGCCAGCCTTCCACCAAGCCTTATGCTCAGGTACGTGTCGGCGAATGCCATTCCCCATGGAGAAGTGCGAGGACCTATCTTCATGCTTTTCTTTGGTTGCATCGTCAGGATTGAGTTTGCGTCGCAATGCTTTCCAAACTGAGTGGTGTTTCTTTTGATCTTTACGTTGTCGTTTGATGTTCTCACGAGCCTGGCGGAGCTTGTCCCAGCTATTGCTGCAAACGTTGACTGCTAGCTTCTTGATTTCAATACGGGATCGTTTCACACCCTCAGAAATACTTCGAAATGAGATGCCTGAAGCTTTTCTTTTCTTCGATCTGACGATCTGAGGTAACTTTACCGAAGGGCTGGGACTTTCGGTTTGTAGTCTGCCATGAGCTATTACTCTTCTTAGCGGTTGCATCTCTGAGCCTTCGTCAGAGCTTCCTGTTGAAAACTCGCTGTCATGGCTAGCTTCGCTATTGTGCGGAACTCTAACGTTCGCCATCAAATCTTCCGAACTCGACAGAACTTCGAAACGATGATAAGAGGGTGTCGGCAAGCGTTGGAGTTTCCCGATAGCTCCTGCAGCATTCGCCAATGCCTTATAGGTGCTTCCTTGACTGATAACCCTTGTAGCACCGGAGGAGCTGGACGATGACCGGAGGCCGGATAAACGATCATTTGTGCGGCTATACTTCTCCAGATCACCAAGAGTCGACAAGGGGGTATGCGAATTTGACGGGGAAGGCACGTTAGGGGACCGGATGCCATCTTCAGGATAAGAAGAAGATGTGCTTCTTGCACCCTCTTGTCCAGGCCTGTGTTTGTGTGTAAGCTCAGGCTCAGCTGCAGGCCCTAGCACAGGCTCTGGAGAAGCCGTTTGAGATCTGAGATGCCTGAGATCCTCTCGTACCATTTCCAAGATAGAGACCTGATCTGCGACGACTTGAGATGCTGATCGTTTAGTGTCTGGTTCCTCAGAAGAGCCGTTCAGCTGTGCCCCTTCACGAAAATGATCATAGTGGATATCGGGCATGGGCCTGCCACCCCAGAGAAAGGTGCCATTGCTGATAGTCTTTGGTCTTAACTCAAGTGTGTTTGTATCCACAACAGAGGGAGGTTGGATTTTCGAAGTAGCATCACGCTAAGATGCTTCTGGCTTAACATTCTCAAGGTTCTTGGGCTTCTTTTGAGCATTAAGGGCTCGCTTCTTGACTTTGAGGTCACTCTTGAGGGGGCTTGAGACGGTTTTGCTGTCGTATGAGCCCTTGGTGGCTGCGGCAGGGAGCGTGGGAGCTCTGGAGCGTATGGGAAGGGTGAAGCTGGAATTCATGATGAAATGAGTAAATATCAGCTTGTTACCAAAAAAGAAACGGCTAAATACTGATGGATTATCGAGATTGATGAATGGAATGAGAAGTGTGAAAGATGGAGGGTTGTGTGCAGGAAGCAGAGTGTCACTGAGTTTGTTATGACCGAAGCGTCCACTACATCGCAACTGCCTTACCTTCTGAATCAGAGATATGAAACGGAAGGTGCGAGGTCTGGATGCTGTAAGTAAGTACCACTGCCGTTCCTTCCGTTTGGCCATAAATGACTTCATTTCGGGATAACCTGTGGCATGAACACCAAAAGAGTTTGTAACCGCCGAAGAGTTAGTTGATGTTTCATGATCGATTACAAAGGCAAAAAGACGAATCGGAGGGCGTTGGGATTGCTCCCGCCAGGGCTTGAACCTGAGACCTTCGCATCACTGAATATTCAGATTGAAGTATTAGTACGACGCTCTAACCAACTGAGCTACGGAAGCCTTCCAATTCGATGAAAGACAAAATAGCAATTACTGCACAAGTTGCCCTAGCCAGTTGAATCAAGGCAAAGATAGAAATGCATTGCTGTGATGAATCGACAGGATGAATTAAATAGGTAGGTGGGTAGGCAAGTAATGAATGCTCTAGTTGGCCTTATTAGTTCCGTCTCGTATTCCTTCCAGTTCAACGCCCTCAAAAATGATATTACCCCTCCTCTAGCACCGACTTGTGCATCGTCATTACCAACATCCCACCTCGAACTGGATGCTCTACCCATAATCACTTAGGATCTCGGACACAGTTAGTGCATTTGGCGCACGTGAAATGAGTAGCTAAAGATCCGAGACTATCAGATCTTGAAGGTGACTTCTCATGGAGAAGCTTGGATGAACCCTTTTCGATCTCCGGCCAGGCAAAGATATTGAGAGGGACACATCTGTTCTTGAATCTGATGGTTTATCTCATGTTAGTGATCTATAATGAATTGAATAAGGATCCACTCACGTAGCCAGACGACAAATAATCTCAGGCTCAGCAAAAACAGAACCAACATGTTTCTGAAGCTTGCCATTCAGCTCAGTACATGTGTACTTAAGCTCTGGCTGGTACTCGAAGCATGGAGGACCCCAATTCTCACCACGGCAGAAGTAAACCTGAAGGGTTGTTAATAAAGCAGAATCAAAGAAACTTGGGATCATTGATCCATACTGATCCGGGCTTTCGACCCCCGTCACTGTTCTCCTGGGGTGTAGTACCAAGACGTGACTTGATGACCTTGGGGTCGATAGGTTCAAACTTGGGTGCGCCTCTTTCTGAGAGAGGAGAAGACCACGTGTCTACAGAGGCAGAAAGGCCTGACGAGGCAAATAGTGATAGGACAACGAGAGCGAAAGACGACTTCATATTGACGGTTGTGTGGTGGTATAATCAAGAGTGTTTGGGAGATACTGAATAGATGAATAGATAATCAAAGTGTTGAAGTTATTTGAATGGTATATCGATTGTGAATGACAGCGGCTTGAGCCTTCTTATACCAGAGTTTATTCCAACACACCCACAAACTTAAGATATCTTAAAATTGAACTAGGAGTCACTGATACAGTAGGTTGATTGACTAACAAAGGTATGACGCGGGAATCCTCGTGATGAAAACGGCTAATGCGATGCTACTGCATCGTTTGTCGTAAATCCAAGGGTCTCGCGTCAGCTCTGGGCCCATGGTTCAACGCCTCGTCAGCACATACTCAGCTATACCCATAGAAATTAAAAACTGCCGTAAAGATGCGGTCATCCCCGTGATTCGATCTCGGCCCATCGGGGCGTTCAAAGCAATGCTGTCAACATGCAGATGGAGGCTTACATCATGTAAACAAACAAAAAAAACAAACGGTTTTACCGGTCTTGAGGCGCTCGTCAGTGTAACTCTCGTGTCTGCTGGTCAACCGTTTATCTGGGAAAATATGCTCAGAGTCTACAGTAGCGGTCTTGCTTTATTTGGTCTGCCCACGTTGCGCATTGCATCACGGGATATTTTGAAAAGCCGTGATTTGCTGAAGGACATAAGGCATCTGCTTCAAATTGAAATTTGTGGTTTTGGTGAGTATACAATGCATGCACCGCGTGAAGCCGCTGGATCGCCCAACGTGCATGTACTGATCGACCTTGACTGACGTAAATGGTAGAGGTTGAAACAGATTCGATATCATGATGTGATGTGATCTAGATATTTCTCGTATCCATTTTACATATTTAGAAACAGAATGACTGCAGCCTGTATTCACTGTACATCATCCGGTACTGTACTGGAGGCACAGTAGTATCGGCATCGAGCCGGGGCCGGGAACGGAACGGAGACCCGACGGGACTCCACAAGGACGGGAATTGCCTAAAAGGGAAATCACATTCCCAGCAGACTCCGATAATGCATTCCGCATACCATACACCAAGGCCTCCCTAGTAATAAGCATATACGATATGAATGTGAGACTTTGAGGTCTTCCAATCAAGTATTACACTGGGCATAGCCTCAACCCCAACACTGTCTTAGCCAGGTTCGGAGTAGAATCATGCAGCAAACAGCGAATGTGGTTTGCCAAGGCAAGCTTTTTGTGAGTCAAGACCGATCTCTACTGATGAAGGACGCTCTATCTCTCGAGTACACAGCATAATTCTACGCATCAGCCCGTCGCATCTCCCGGCCGATAGCCACCCGATCGAGAAGCAGAATGCGCCGCTCCTCGTCGTACAGCAGCAGTCGCTCTGCATGCATCAAGGCCCCCAAATCCGACCTTTTTTTCATGTTGAAAAACAAAAGTATCACCCGCCCATCGTCATGTGCATCAGACGATCCAGACAATATCTCGGGTTTGTGGTGAGAAGGCAGGCAGATACGAGATAGTGCAACGACAAACACACTTGCACGCTCTTTCCAACGAGGCGGTGATGACCTCTGTAATCAACACCGCATTTACGATTCTTTCACAGGAAGGAGAGACATGTAACTCTTCATAACTCATTCTTGAGGCGGTGTGATCAGGTTTGACAGTCACGCAATTGCGGAGAGTAAAGTAGGAATGATACATGATGGTCGCCTACCAAGTGGGATATAGTTTTTGCAGTTAGATACTGCAGACTACATATTAATGATAGAAGATATTGTAAACTGAGTCAAGGGGAGCTAACAGATGAGTTCAGCCTGGACACTCAAAAGAAGCGACTTTTATCAAGAATAGAGCCATGATATGAAACTTCCCATCTGAAAAGTCCCTGGTATCGCTTATCTCCATTATAACGGCTTGGGTAGTTGGGCTCCAGGTTAATTCTCCGCCAGAGAATTCCGTTATGTTTCGACGTTATGATGATGACTATGCGTTTCAGCCGTTATATACAAAGAGATCAGCTCGCCCTCTTGAATGTCTTTTTTTCTTTGTCACAAATCATGCGCCAACTCGTTATCGGATCTGAAGGCCATGGACATAGCTAAGTACATGCTTTCACCATAACACAATCCACCTAGAGATTTGACTGACAGCTGATAACTTAGACCATCGCAGACACAATTGCATTGTACATCTGACTTAATTCGAAACGAAGGACGATCAACGCAATATATGGAAAGGCGAATATTGTCGAAAGAGGTATATGAAGACTATGATACCATATACTCTGAATGGCTGACAATACTGAGATAGGAAACTTGGTCAGGTGATACACAGTTAGTTACGCACGGTCCAAGCCAGTCTTGGCGTCTTACATCGATCAGAAATACTTGTCATAACTCACTTTTACCTGGTGCTTACAAGTATCTATTATCCGTTATGATGGCACAGTGTTTGAGCTAACCTGTTTTTACGCGTTATGCTGGGTGGGGGATGAAAGTCTTCCGTTATGTCTAGAAAAGAGAGGCATCTCTACCTCAGCTGAAGTGACAAGTTTCTTCGGTTTAATTCCTAATAATACAAGAAGAATTCTCTGTCCTAGCAATTTCAAAATGGTGGAAACAATCCCAGTTCCTACCATAGCCAATCGTCCTCGGACTCGCCAGCGAGCGTATAAGAAGCCCCCAGTTCTTGATGTTCCGGACATTGATCAAGACGCTACCGAAAGAAAAAGAGTCTTGAATGTTCTTGCCCAAAGAAGATATCGTAAGTATTATTCACATTATAGGGGGTCAGAGGCAATGCTAACAATTAATAAGGCGAGAAGAAACGTCTGAGTCGCCTCAAAACCAAGTCATCTGGCAATGACGAGACTCAAAGCTCCGAGCTTCAGACAGAATCATTTACCAGGGTTGATGAAGAGTCATTTGGGGATGATGTTATAGAAGTGCCTCGTCTACAGGACAATGTGCCAGCCATCAGTCAAGCTTCCAATATGGTCATGAACATGCCATCTACCACTGGAGATGCTGACATGTTGGCCGGGATTGATTTTGGTCTGACATCTTGGAGTCCCCTTTCCCTTTCAGAAATGGCGCTTCCATCTGTTTTGCCAGATCCCAATATCCTCCCGGACTTTTTATGTGAAGACAACACCAGCGACGAGGCCTCAACGGGAGCTTCCAATGGACTACAGACCGATTTTAGCGGATCTGGCTTGACAAATTTCCTCGATACATCTTCATTTGGCACATCACCTGCTGCTTCAACAAAAAGCTTCCCTGACAGCTACAACCTCCCATTACTACAGCTCACACTACTAAAAGGCGTTTTACGCATCGCAGACCGGCTCAACTGTAAGCAGAATCTATGGGATCTTGATGCAACCTCGGCTTTTACCACAGGCATCGCAACGCCAGCAGCTCTGCTTCCTGCAAATTGGCAGCCCACTCCTTCACAAGTCTCAGTGCCCCATCACCCGGTATTTGATCTCCTCCCGTGGCCAAGCGTACGAGAACGCGCCATTTCCATTCTGGCTCTTCCTGATGAGTTGCGGCCACCGCGGGCACAGGGCGTGTTGGCAACTGTCAACTTCGCTTACGACTTGGAGGACACGGCTGAGGGAGTGAGGATTCACGGTGGAGATCCTTACGATCCTGGCAGCTGGGAGCTAGGACAAGTCACTTTTGAGAGATGGTGGTTTCTGTTCGATAACACCATCATCAACACCAGTAATCGATGGCGAAAGACGAGAGGAGCACCGCCATTGTTACTCAAGGGTGGAAGCTCTAGTACAACCACAAGTTCCAGTAGTTCACCTGCTGTGACAATTTAATGTTGGACCAGATTGGTGTTGTTTTCTGCAGTAGACTGACTTTTGACCACTTTCAATACTAAGCAGGCATTGTTATTCATGTATCAATTACAAAGAAACCCCTACAAAACGCAAGGACTCTGTCAGGAACGAATACGAGTGTGTCGGACTGTCGGGTAACATGGAAGGTCAATAAACGATAAGGCTCTCGGGAGTCCAGGGTATCGGTATCGGTATTGATTCTGAGACTCACAGACTGGTTGGGTCTGTGTCTGACTCTGACCATGAGCGGCTCAGCATGGGGATTAAGAAATGAGGGGTCAAAAACCTCCTGGGGTCATGATTGGATGTAGCTATTAGTTAGACCCTTGCTCCGCAGCAGGGGACCTTGAACAGTGGATGATGGAATACCTACAAGATGGCTGCAAACTACAAGCAGAGTGGGATGTTTTACACGGCCCGAGCCATACAGAAGCCACCGAGTCTGCAGTTTGCATGACCAGTGCATGTACTAGACTAGCATTGTCTACATAGCAGTGTGCTTCAGTGTCGAATGTCTTGTTTTTGTCTCTGACCGATAGATTTAACTACAGCGGTTCAGAGGCACGGATGAGCAGATCATTTCCATGGGTTCCATTTCGTTGAGGATGACAGATCCATTTCAACTGGGCTGGGCTGGGCTCCAACCGTCCATGACTCTTCTACTGATGGACTCTACCTAAAGCTTAAGAATAATCTTTACAGGGGATTGTAAGCTCGTAGCTTGGAGAACTGTTAGCGGCAGCCTCACTGTCTCCACGCTGAGCTGCCCTGAGCCTCTCGGCCTCCGGTACCCGGGAACGGCGCTGGAGTCCAAGTCAGTGTCGCCATATTCAACCAATCGCAGGCTGTGATTCTTTCATCGGAGGTAGAAACGGAACCCCACTGGGGGAGTTTCTGGAGGAAGGAGGGGCACTTAGAGGCCGGCCGCGCGAGACAGGAGAGAAATTTCCAGGAAACGATGAGGTGGAAGGAAGGAACAAACGTGGGACGCTTTTCTCACCGGACTCGCTTCTCCTTCTTCTTTTTCCTTTCTCTTCCCTTTCTTACCTTTTCTTTTCTTTCTCTTCTCTTCTGTTCTGGACTGAATACCTACTCGTCATTCATCCCTCAATATAGATAAACATTGACCCTTGTACGACAAAGAATCGTTCCTTGTCGACTTCACACCTGCTGCTGCTTCTCGTTCAACAGATTGAGAGAGGTTGATCGAAACATTGATCAATTAAACAGAGATCATCGTTTCCACTCCTCGTCTGGAGTTGCAGCGCAAACAACAAAATAATTTCTTTTAGAAGCAGTTCCAATTGTTAGTTCTCACCCACGTCATCGCATCAATGCTTTCGTTCCCTTTCCAATTTCTCTTTGCTAACAGATGGGTTCCTGGTCATAGTTGCCGTTACAGTTCCCCCTCCCCCACATCTCCCCAGACTCCGTTACAAGCTTCGACCCGCCACGCCCATCGCCCTACGCCGCCTTTTTTGATATTGTCAATTCTGCTTGAAATAAGCAAAGTTACAACAAATCGTTACACGAGCTGAATATTGAAGATATTTTCCCGCAGATTATCTTCAATATGCATATCAAGGATATGCTCAGCGACGCCGAGAGGAGCGGCCAGCCCTCCTTCTCTTTCGAGTACTTCCCTCCAAAGACCGCCCAGGGTGTTCAAAACCTCTACGATCGTATGGACCGCATGTACAATCTTGGTCCCAAGTTCATCGATATTACATGGGGTGCTGGTGGACGCATTGCTGAGCTCACTTGCGAGATGGTTCTCCAGGCTCAAGCAGTTTACGGCCTCGAGACTTGCATGCACTTAACTTGCACTGATATGGGTGTCGAGAAGGTCAACGATGCTCTGCTCAAGGCGTACAAGGCCGGCTGCACCAACATTCTGGCCCTTCGTGGCGATCCTCCCCGAGCCCAAGACAAGTGGATCGCTGCCGACGGAGGCTTCCAGTACGCCCGCGATCTTGTCAAGCACATCCGTAATACTTACGGCAACCATTTCGATATTGGCGTTGCTGGTTATCCCGAGGGTTCTGACGACAATAAGAACGAGGACGAGCTACTCGATCATCTCAAGGAGAAGGTCGACATGGGCGCCACCTTCATTGTCACCCAGATGTTCTATGATGCTGACAACTTTATTCGATGGGTGAAGCGTGTTCGTGAGCGCGGTATCACCATCCCTATTCTCCCTGGTATCATGCCAATTGCTACTTATGCAAGCTTCCTTCGACGAGCCAACCACATGCAGGCCAAAATCCCACAGGAGTGGCTCGACGCCCTGGAGCCTGTCAAGAACGATGATGTTGCGGTCCGAAACATTGGAAAGACACTGGTCGCCGATATGTGTCGGAAGCTGCTCGCCAACGGTATTCATCACCTTCACTTTTACACCATGAACCTCGCCCAGGCAACACGGATGTTACTGGAGGAGTTAGAATGGGCTCCTTCTGCCGAGCGACCTCTTCAGCATGCTCTTCCTTGGAAGCAGTCCAAGGGTCTCAGACGCCGCGAGGAGGATGTCCGTCCCATTTTCTGGCGAAACCGCAATAAGTCCTACGTCATTCGTACACAGGATTGGGATGAGTTCCCTAACGGTCGTTGGGGTGATTCTCGTTCTCCCGCTTTCGGAGAGTTGGATGCCTATGGTATTGGCTTGACTGGCTCTAATGAAGCGAATCGAAAGAAATGGGGCGAACCCAAGACCATCCAGGACATTGCTCAACTTTTCGTCTCCTACCTTGAGAACAAGGTCGAATCCCTTCCATGGAGTGAGGCGCCCCTCACCGCCGAAGCCGATGAGATTCGAGATGGCCTTATTGAACTGAACAAGCGAGGACTCTTGACCATCAACTCGCAACCTGCCGTTAATGGTGTCAAGTCCTCTCATCCTATTCACGGCTGGGGTCCCGATAACGGTTATGTCTACCAGAAGTCGTACCTGGAGTTGCTCGTCCACCCCAGTGTGTTCGATAAGATGATCTCGCGCATCGAGAACCACCCTGATCTGACTTACTACGCTGTTACCAAGGAAGGCGAGCTTCGATCCAACGTCACTTCTGATGGTCCCAACGCCGTTACCTGGGGTGTGTTCCCTGGCAAGGAGATTGTTCAGCCAACCATTGTCGAAAGCATCAGTTTCCTCGCGTGGAAGGATGAAGCATTCCGACTGGGTGTTGATTGGGCGCACTGTTACGACATGAGCTCCCCCAGCCGTGCCCTTCTTGAGGGAGTCATGAATGACTGGTACCTGGTGAACATTGGTAAGCAGCATAGATCCAGAAGACATTAACTGAAACTAACGAATGACTTAGTAAACAACGACTTCCACGACAACAAAACCATCTTTGAGCTCCTTAAGGGGCTTGAGGTTAATGACTTGACGACTCCTGCCACCCCTCTCTCTGAGCCTATCGCTAACGGCGCCGTCGATACCGAGCCCATTGCCAACGGTACCACGGCCACTGCAGTTGCGAACTAAACGCTCAAACACAGTACGGCGATGTGACAGGAATGAATATGCCTAGCATCAGACCTGAACCACATCTACGTTGCCGTCCCAGAGCAGCAGAAATGTTTCTGCACGTTGCTCTGATTTTCTTTTGATATTAACGATTTGATTTTTTCTCTTTTGATTTTTCGGGTTTTGGGTATAATAGCATCACCACGGTGTCTTTTTCAACAAAAAGTTACCAGGGATACGGGGGCAGCATTTTAAAAAGGCGCACGATACAGATAAAATCACCCGGCGGGCGCAGACGACTTTATGTTTTGGGGGCTTGCTTTGCTTGTTCTATATCTCAACGATACCCCGCCAGCAAGGCCTTATGGATGGATGAATGCATGATTGAATTTAGTCTTTTTTTCGGTTTATCTTTCTCGCGCCCTACAAGAAGGGAAAGCGACATAAAGACAGTGGAGGATGATATGGGAACAAGGAGGATTTAGGAGGGTACTTTGGGCTGGTCGTTCAAAGCAACCAACCTTTGCAGACATCGAGAACTAAAAATTGACTTGATATGTAGCCCACATTGGGCTACGAGCACCTCCCATAAGTTTTTATTACCGCGCCTGTACTAGTGACTTGGATGAGTAGTCCAGAAAGCTTCGAGTCCCTTTCGTTGCCTCTCGTTTCTATGTAGAGAAGTCGGTTCATTCCAACGTGAATTATCCTGCCCTTGAAGCTGTGTTATACAAACGTTCCTTCTCACCATGCATCCTCCTCCGCCACTTCATAATCCATGTTCACCGCTCTATCCTCTTGCTGGGGTTCGGCACTTCTTTCTCGCCCAGGCTGGTCATCGAAACCCGCCATGGCATCGTCTTCTTTGTCGTCCCCACCATCACCTGGAACATCGTCGCTGCCAGTTGTCTTGACAGGCGGTAGTGGTGTGCTAACCCAAGCAAGATCTAGACGACCCTCAACGCCGGGCAATTCCTTGCCATGAAGGCTGTAGTAGAACCTCTCTGCTGTTTTGCGGTCCTGAAAGGAGACGTGTGTGGTTTCAGGGGCTGTGTCGACGGACTCAAACTCGCCTAAATTCTATCAACTTGTTAGCAGCATGATCATTGAAAGAAATGGGGTTAAACATACAAGGAGGAAATGGCGCAGCATCTCGTCTTTGTCAGGCGCGCTAAAGTCCACGCCTTTGATAGCGATCTTCTTGGGCCTGTTGTCGATTGAGTACTGCGCATACGCCGCGTGCATATTTCCTCCAGCACCGCGGCCCCTGTAGCTTCCTCTCCCCCTAGGAGCGAAGCCCCGACCACGGTATCCTGCCCGCCCACGATATCCTCCTCGAGGAGGCCAAGATGAACTCGCTTCTTCTTCGGCGTTGGGATCGAGACCAAGAAGTTTAGCTTCTTGCTCGAGAGCTGCAAGCTTGGCGCGCAGCATGTTTGTGCCCGACGAGCTCCCATCTCCTTGTCCGCCTTGCAGGTCAGCGAGTCTTGCCTGAAGCTTCTCATTCTCCTCGCGATGACGTGCAAGGAGTTCATGCTGCTGCTTTTCTATCTCTTGACGTTTTTGCTCTATCTCTGCGCGCTTGGCCTCACGCTCTTGGTGTTTCTTTTGCTCCTCTTCTTGCTTTCGTTGAAACTCGTCCATGTCGATCTCAGGCTCAAGCTCATTTTCTTCTGCCACCATTGGGTCGTCAGACCAGTTTCCCCCCTGAATTGGCGCAGATGGCGGTAACTCGTCGGTTTTGTTTTTGTACCAAAACACTTTTACAAATCGATTATCAAATATCACTTTTGGTGACTGATAGGCCGCATTTGCTGATCCCCACTTGTCGTACTTGACAATAGCAAGATGTTTATATGGCTGCATCGAAATCTCTAGGATTTTACCGAATTGAGAGAAGAACTCGCGCACTTGTTCCTCGTCGAAGTTTTCCTCGGGGATATTCTCAACAACAATCGTACTCTTCGTGCGATCATAATTGGGCCCATCAGCAGAGAAAGGAGCTTTTGCGCCGCCCTTCTTAGAGCCACGGCCACGACGGCCTCCTCTTCCACCACGACTGTTATCGGGCGGGAAAGACCAAGGATTCATAGGGTTCTGTGCGTTTGCTAGCATAGCAAATGGGTCGTTCGGGTCATATTCTATTGAGAAGGTATTAGTAAACAAGCAGATAACGAGTGATAACGCTGGTCACACTTACCATCATTGCCCTGGGGCATTAAGATTGGTTCGTTACCATGGTCGTAAGGGCATGTGCTTCCACGAGAACAGAATCCCTTGGTGTCAAAATCGCGACAGCGACCTCTTTTTCGCGACTGATTTTTACCACCACTAAAGCTCTGTTGCGGAAAGTTGGGCATTCCTGAGTAGGGCATTCCCATAGCGCCCATTTGTAGAAAAGCTTCCATAACCTTGGGATCGAACGGCATATCCGGTCGTGGGGGCAGACTGTGCATGAATCCACCAGCTTGTCCTCCCCTCATATCATCACCTCGACCTCCGCGCCCGCTTCGACGAGCCTGTTTCTGTACGCGACCGTCCTGGTTGAGAGCTTCGTACCCATACTGAGGGTCGTACTCTTCGCGATCGTGATATCCTCTCTTTTTCGATCCGTTCGGTTGCGCGGTCTCGATGGATTGTTGATTAATCGTTTCTGGCTCAGCGCCAATCTTCGGAGCTGGAGGAGCGCCAGGAAGGTAGGACTTGTATGTGATGGCTTGGAAAACGTCGTCGAGGAAAGCTTTAGGGTCTGTGTCGTCATTTTGCAGTTAGTTCCTGCCGCTGTGCAATCGCCAATCGCTTCAGCGAGCAAAGCAACCATACGCACCTTCACTCAGAAAATCAGGGATTTCTTGCTCGCATAGCTTCCGTACCGCGTCTGCATCGCCATCGTGCTTAAGAAGAGCAATAACATACTCAGCGAGGACATCGGCATCGGCGTCGGAGCTGTTTTGGGCATGTTAGCGCGGTCTATGGCACATAAGAGCATTGCTTATGAGGAAACTAGGTAACGGACGTATCTTCTATGCGCTTGACGATCCACGCTTTGAGAAGGGGCGCATGTTCTTCGGGGAACAACATAGCTCGAGTAACGCGACTATTTGTGAAGGCCTGTATTCAGAACGCGCCTCAAACAATGTCGGCTTTATTTGTCAGTTTGTTGCGAGGTTGAAGGTTGGGATTTTTTCTGGGCCCTGGAGGCCGGGGGTCTTGTGTCGTCACCGGCTAGCTCTAAGAAACGGTCGAGGTTCGATGCCCGAATGAAAAGCTACCTTAATTATAAGCTATCTGATGAAAGTGCAAATCAATAAGACGATTGTTTTAAAGACTATCAGCAGCTCTTAAAGGATACCCACCTAGGTACCTACCTTATTGAATGTGCTGTACAGCTAGAGGTAGGTGCCATCTGATCTCTCGAACTTGTCTCATCTCAACCCAGCCAGACATTCGAGGCGGATTCATAGTTTCTTGTCCTCACACTTTAGATATTCATCAACTAAGCAGATTCATCATGTCCAACTCCTAAACCTGGCTCCTTCACTCAGTGGTCAGTTTACACGATTTCAGATTCACAGTAAAGAAGGACACATCATATGAACTTCAATCTAACGTGTTTCAACTCATCAGATACGACATAACTACATAAAAACTGATTTGAGCTGCTCCTTGTCATTCAGCTTCAACTCAGCGACTCGACTTTTTCTTTTGGTTTCCGCTCAGCATACCCCTCCTGAGATCGTCAAGGAGCTCCTTCTTGGAATTAGGCATGCGTCCCAAATCTTCGTTACCAGCCGATTAATTTTGCGTGTCCATTGTGGCACGCCTCGTGGTTCATTCGGCACATTAAAAAAAAGCCGTTTACAGCTTGTCGTAGTACTGTCGTTGGGTGTTAGCAGATATGTCAACATTATTGTTAGAATGGTTAAACTTACGTTCTCGACACCAGGAACGTTCTCCTTGACACCCTTGCGCTTTCGCATGGTGGTGACGACCTGGCCGACCTTGCTGGTGGGGTCGAGAGGAGAGCCACCGGGGAGGATCTGCCAGTGGTCGAAGACGGACTGGGGGAAGGCCTGTCCGGAGGTGGCCTGTCGGAGGTCTCCGTTGAAACCGAAAGACTCGAGAATGGGGAGGTAGGCCTTGATGTTGAAGAGAGGAGTACCAGGTCGCTGCTCCTCGCTGAAGACGTGACCACGTCGTCGGGTAAGGACACCGTAGACACCACCCATGGCCTGCTCGGGGACCTGAATCTCGACGAGGTAGACGGGCTCGAGAAGGGCGGGCTCGGCGAGAAGAGAGGCGGCGTACAGGACACGACGGGCAGTGGGGATGACCTGACCACCACCACGGTGAATGGCATCGGCGTGGAGGGTAACATCGAGGATGTTGAAGCGGCAAGATCGCATGGGCTCCTCAGCAACGGGACCCTCACGGGTAGCCCACTGGAAACCGGAGACAACGGAATCCTTGATTTCGTTGAGGTACTGGACAGCCTTGGTCTGGTCGACCAACAGGTTAGCACCAGTGCCATCGGGACCGAAGGTCCAGATCTTTCGGGCGTCGGTGACATCCCAGCCGAAGTCGTCAGCAAGGACACGGGCACGGGCCTTGAAATCGTCACGAGCGCTGACCTTGCCAGCCTCGATGGCAAGAGAGAGCTCCTCCTCGATAGGCTCAGCAACCATGTACAGACGGTTGTGCTTGTTGGGAGACTTGGACAAGGCAGTGATGCTGGACTTGGCGGTGACGGTCTCACGGTACTGAACAACGGGGTCGGAGATAATCAAAGGAACACCAGCGTGGTCCTCCTCGAGATCCTTAAGGCAAATCTCGAGATGGAGCTCACCAGCACCAGCAACGACGTGCTCACCAGACTCGGAGGTCATGGTAAGGACACAGGGGTCGGACTTGGAGAGACGCTTGAGACCCTCAACAAGCTTGGGGAGATCCTGAGCGTTCTTGACCTGGACGGATCGCTGGACGACAGGAGAGACGGAGAACTTCATGACCTTGAGGTTGTGGGCGGTCTCGCTGGTGGTGAGGGTACCAGACTTCAGAAGGAACTGGTCAATACCGACCAAACCGACAATGTTACCGGCAGGCATGTCGTCGATGGGCTCGACCTTGCCGCCCATCATCAGGACAGTACGCTGGATAGCCTTGATGAAGAGATCCTCCTTCTTTCCAGGGGTGTAGTTGGGACCCTGGATACGGACCTTGAGACCGGATCGGACGGTACCGGAGAAGACACGACCGAAAGCGTAGAATCGACCCTTATCGGAAGTGGGCACCATCTTGGAGACGTAAAGCATGAGAGGACCCTTGGGGTCACAGTCACGGATACCGATGGCAGCCTCGTCGTCGATGGGACCCTCGTAGAGGGTCTCGGCACGGTACTTCTGGGCGGTGGTGGGAGAGGGGAGGTGGAGAATCATCATCTCAAGGAGAGAGTCAGCAGCGGGAAGGAAAGTTCGCATAACAGCCTTGAGGAGCTGCTTGCCCTCCTTCTCACGGTCCTCAGCGGAGAGCTTGAGGTTAAGCTTCTCAAGGAGAGTGGCGGTCTCCTCCTTCTTGAAGTTCATGACAGCGGAGAAGATCTTGAAGATGGGGTCGAGGATGAACTGGTTGAAGGCACGCTCGAGCTGCTGGCCCTCGTAGGTACCGTTCTTGGTCCACTTCTTGGTCTTGGGGTTGAAGTAGTTGTCGCCCCAGAGACGCTCCATCATCTTGTTCTTGTCAACACCGAACTTCTTGGCGTATCGGACAGCGAACTGGCGGACGGTGAAAGCCCAGCCGTGCAGACCGGAACCGAAGGCGACGGTACCCTTGTCGGGGTAGACCTGAATGTCACCAATAGACTTGTCAAGGTAGGTAGAGATGATGACGTTGACGGACTCGATGGTTCGGGAGAAGGACTGGTAGAGATCCTCCTTGGAAACCTGAAGCTCGAGAAGAGCACGGTCGACCTTGTTGATGATGATGACGGGCTTGATGCGCTCACCGAGAGCCTGTCGGAGGACGGTCTCGGTCTGGACACAGACACCCTCAACGGTGTCGACGACGACAAGAGCACCATCAGTGACACGGAGAGCAGCAGTAACCTCGGAAGAGAAATCAACGTGACCGGGAGAGTCAATCAGGTTGATAAGGAAATCCTTTCCATCGGTCTTCTGGCCAACAATGTCGGCAACATCGTCGTCCTCACCAAGCTGACCGTACAGAGAGATGGCAGTGGACTTGATGGTGATACCACGCTCCTGTTCATCGGCACGAGTATCGGTGGCTCGGGCATCACCAGCCTTGGCGGTGGAAATGATACCGGCCTTGGCGAGAAGAGAGTCGGTCAGGGTAGACTTGCCGTGATCGACGTGGGCAATAACGGACATGTTACGGACATTGGTAGGCTTGTCCATAAGCTGCCGGATCTCGTCGATAGTGAAGCTGTTTGGGGTGAAGACATTGTGGTCAGCTCATGGTCATGGTGGCTTAAGTCCGGGCGGGGTATAATGAAGCGGGCAGCAGAGGTAATGATAATGTAAGAGTTGGTGATGGTGATGAGGTTGTTGTTGATGATGATGGCGGTGTTTTAAGAGGATGGATATGTACTCACTTAACCATCTTGGCGGTATTGTCTGAATAACCTGACTATGTGTTTGTCAAAGTCGAAGTTGTTGATGTGGGAACAGAGCGGGGTTGAAGTTTTCACCCCGCGATCTGAGCCGCAGAAAAAGGGAAGAAGCAAGAAGCGATTGCCGTCGAGAAGATGGCAACGATTCAAGTGACGATGGAAGAGAGACAGTTCCGTAGGAGAACCACTGTCACTCTTTATGCGTCCCTTTTTGGCGAAAGAAGGTTTGTCAGAGGAGGAGAAGGAGGAGGGAAGGAAAGAAAAGAAAGAGAAAATTCGAGCGGGGAGAAGTAAGGTAGGTAAGGTATCAAGATTCATGGATGGGCGAGACGAGACGCCTACGGCAAACGCCCAAGGTTAGGGACCCACTGACCAGGGAAGAAAAAAATTTGGACAGTGGGCTCTTTGTGTTTTGGTGGGGCAGCAGCACCCCGCTGCACACATGTTTTCTGCCACCCGCTGAAGGAACAGACGCTCCAGGCCCTCCTGGGATAGGCCCATGAGTCCGCTAAAATTTCGAGGTGACCTGCTGAGCAACGTCCAGGTTCACGTAGACAGGTTAGCTCCCGTCCCATAGGTTAGCTATGGTGCCTTGGAGTACGGATACATCTAGGTAAATTGCCACAGTCATGTCGGCCAGTGAGTAATGCCGCACAAAAAGAGGGTTGCTGCCCTGGGCCTGGGATGGGATCGAGGTTTGCAGTCCAAACCTAACCCAACCTTCCACTGAACTTACAAGGTGGGCTGTTCTGGGCTGTGCGCTCTATCTGCCCCTCCATTCCCCTCCCCCTCCTGTCCCTGCACAACACAACACGCACAGGGTAGGCAAAGTACGTACCTACGAACCCAAACAGAGCTCAGCTTTGCTCAGTTGATGCATCTTTGATATGTATGATATTTACCATAATTTGGCATTAGTAGCATGCACATTTCACACTCTTGCTGCAGAATGTTGGAATTGGCATTGGCAAAATAATTCTTGTAATTGGTACAGCTGCCCGACCCAATTTCACGTCACAGATGGAGGGGGACCCAGCTTTGAAACCGAGTCTTTCCCCTCCTCAAAAACCATCCAAATTGGTTATGAGTGGCCTCTATGACGTGCATTGGATGGAAGGATGAGTGTACTATGTACATCGCTGTAAGTAGTACAGCACCTAGATCTGAATCAACTGGCAGCTGTGTACGCACACGCAGAGCACATAAATGACTCCCTCGGTATGAGACGTCGACATTGGAAACCTCATCTTTATCAATCTTATTTTTTTTAAATCTATTATTTTTTTAGCTGCCACTCTTTTGCATCCTCGTGTTTTCCCGTAGCCGCATTGGGTTACAAATGTCCGAAGTGGGCTGTAGCTGGAGCTGGAGCTCTAAGAAACCCCTCTTTACCCGACTTGACCTAGAGGTGACAATCCGCAACCATCAAGTCCTTGTATTCTTCAGTGGAGATTGCACACAAACTGTACCTAGTTGATCGCTTCTCCCTCGTACCGTCTATCATCACCTCACAGCCTTAGTACCTCAGACCACCAAAATTCATCCTAAGAGCTTCCAGCTCAGTCTTTCATTGGAGGATTTTCATATGTAGCTGTTTCGGTCTTGAGCAAGACCCAATGGGATCATCTGGAAATCTTAGACCTGATATGAGTTTCCTAGTCAAGAGACGCTCACACCCGATCTGCTTTAACGAAAAGACAGTAAAAATACCGCAATTCTAACATGGTAGACATAACAAATTGCGCATCCAATGTATCCGTACTTCATCTGACACCCGCTTATGAGTGGGTTCATTTTGCTCTTTAGTCATATCTTTTGTGCGCGCGTAGCGTAGCTATCCGTATAGATGAGATGGGACGACGACTCTATCGATAACCGGCTTCACAAGCAGTATCCACATGCACTTCAGTAGTTGGGCTTGAAACTATATAGCAAAGCAGAGAAAGTTTTATCCCAATCTATTAAATTTATATGTACTCTTTCCAAGCAAAACCCTTTTCAGCATGTTCCATAACGCCTCGCTTGCTTGTTAAGCTCTGCTTACTATTACCGAATGACTCACTCGCCGCATCGATATCTCAGATATCGCCCTGCCATTCCATCATGACTGGTCTCATGATGAGCCCAAAATACGGGCATATGCGTCCTCGACCTCACCAGCCAACTCCAGGAGTGACACAATGACGATCTGATGTGTCAAGTTGGGTAGTCGATCGCGGTGAAGACCAATCCATTCGAGAGGTGGCGTTGCTTCACCCATGTCGCGGAGCTGCGGCGTTTCGATAATGGGCGGCTCCAAGGCCACATAGTCGTACTTTGACATTGGCACGTCGATTTCGGCTGTGATTTTTTGCTGCTCGCCTTCTGTTTGTTCTGCTCCAGGCACTCCTGTAATCTTCACTGCCGTAAGGGGTATCTCCTTGCCCCAAACCTGCTCGAGTGCCTTCGCGTGATTCGCAAACATTCCGCGGATGTAGCTCACACGCGAGAAGTTCCATCCCACTTCCACCTTGCCTTCAAACGCACTCTTGAAGATGTAGCTGATCTCGTTTGATCGTGGCTTCTGCCATGTCTCCATCACTGCTGATACTTGTGGAACATTGAGGATGGTCCCCCCTCTTGATCCTGTTGCGCGTTGAACGACGTCTTCAACAGAAATCTCGCTCAGTGTCTTCGGTGCCTCGACGTTTCTAACACCGGCAAGACCAATGCGAAGTTGGCCCAGCGTCATCCTCAGGATACTATGAATGCGACGTTGCTCCATACTGGCAGCAAAGCGAGCATATGCATTGAGGGCTTCCACCTTGAAAACTTGATGATCCGAAAATGTGCTGGGGAAAACGCCCAGGTTGAGTGCCTTGAGCGTCACGACAACATCCGTGTCCAGAGAGATTGGTGATTTTGAGAGTGTGTCTTCCTCCTTCAGCTTTGGTGTTTGTTCCATTTGAACGACGGTGCTTCGAGACGTCGACAAGGACCTCCTCTTCATAAACTTCTCAATCTCTTTCAGTGAGCTCTGGAAGCTCTCTTTCCTTTCTTGCACAAGCTTCTGAAAAGCCTGCCACAACGCAATGCCCTGGGCCGCTGTAGTTGTGGTTCCGAAAATCTGGACTGAGTCGCCATCGAATATTGCGACAAGTCTATCTCCACTGCCATCCCGGCTCTCGCGCACGTTGTACATGAGAAACTCAAGGGAAGTGATATCAGCTACTAAGAAGGCCTGGTAGTCGAAAGCGGCCTTGACCCGGAAGGCATTGAAGCTTATGGAAGCCTGGATCATGGGTGTCTCGTTGAGAGCCTCCTCGCGTTTCGGCCATTGGATGGAGGTGCGCAGACGGAAGTCCTGCAGAGCCACGAAGCCACTCAGCCGGCCGGTACAATCAACACCAATTTTATCAAACCCTAGACAAAGATTTTGCTCCCAGTCCGACGTCTTCTTAGAAGATACCCAGAACTTTTTGATAGCAAAAGCTGATTTACCAATGGCTTGCCCAAGATCAATAGTGACATCAAGGGCAGCAATTGAGATAGTCGCAGTCCATGGGAACGCCGCAGTGGCTGCGACTTGTTGATATCGCTGCACAAGATGACCACTTTGAGAAGTCTCTGGATTCATCTTTGTAACAGGAGCGGCAGTGGCAGAGCGCAACTCGCTGGGATACCAGATCTCGCGGAAGAGCAAAAAGTCTTGTGCCTGCTTAGCGTTGATAGACACGGCCATGGGGCTTACGTTCAAGATTGCCGACACTCCGCTGGTTCCGCTTACATGCTTGCTGTTCATGAATGATAACGTGATCGAATCAAGCTCGAAACTCGCAGTTGACTCGCGCGAGTAGACATGCTGAACGGTAGCATGAAGTTTGGTAAAATCTCCTGAAATGGCAAAGAAATTTCCTTGCTCAAGAGATCTAACAGTATTGACTGTAAAGTAGATATTGTCGAAGCATGCCGTTGCCGCAACACGAGCAATAGGTTGACAACTTAGGGAAAACTCTTGCCTGCAGATTCTTAGACCCAGGTTGAGTTTGAGGCGACCCAATACCGCACTGGGGTCCGCAGTGATGATATTATCACCTTCCCCAGACTTGTTAGGTGCTGGCTTGGAGTCATCCGGTATATTCGACTGATCAGGTTCCTCGTCGTCCTTGACAACCTGCTTCACGCTGGAAAGCATGTCCATAACCAGGGGTACAACGGACGGATACAGAATGTTGCTGGAAGCATCAACCTTAATTTCGCCGTATAATGAAGGATCATCTTGAGCATCATCACGGTACTCGATCTTCCAAGCCAAGCCGGGGCTGCGAAGCACTGTCCCGCTTTCAGAATCTTCTGTGTTGAATTGGCCGTATTTCCCTGCGAGTAATGGACGTCCCACAGTCTTTGTTGAATTGTTCAGCGACCTCTTGCTGGCGATATATACCACCGCACCGGCAAAGTCTGCATCAATAAGCAAGCTTTCGAGTCTCTTGTTACCGAAGATACTTCGCTGTGGTTGCGGCTTAGACGCTTCATCTGTTTTCTTCTCTGTCGTAACTGCAGTATTCCACTGTGTTGATGCTTGTGCTACATTATTCAATGAAAGCGTGATCGACTCGGCCAAGTGAGCGGCTGGTACAATGAATGCAGATGTTAACCGCAGGTCTAAAGATTCGCCGACAGCTTGGAATGCCATCCTTCGCGCAGACGCAGTTGACATGTAGGCAATATTAAATGTGATGACAGGCAACAGTGCCGAGTGAAGTGAGCGAACGTTCATATCCTGGCCAAGGGGTACCATCTGAATCTGGAAGTTCTCGATGGACAGTCGCGCTGATCTTTTGGTTCTTGTGCCAAATTCAAAAAGTTTGACTGACAAAACCAGATCTTCTTTGGTACTGGACTTGTCAGTAACATTGTCCGCAACGCTCCAACGGACACGAATGTTTCTCAGTTCGAATTGATATTGCACGGATGCGAGAACTGAGTCAATGATGTCAACCTCTTCTCGCTCATCATCGCCGTTGATCGTAATCTTGGGTTTTGACTGTCTGAGCTTTCTGAGATAATCCAATTCGCGTGAGGTATCGAGATCCTTGATCTTCTCACCCATATAGCCCAGAACATCCACAACGGTCGAGATAGTTTCGGGGGCTAGATTGCAATCGAAGTCGTCACTCCTGAAGTTGAACGCCCAATCCTCCTTCCCCTCGTCAGTTAGAGTAGAGCTGGCAGAGACTTCTACTCCAACACCCAGATTTCCACAAGACCTCATAGAGTCCTCACGGCCTCTACGAATGTCTAGACCGATGTGGCTCAAGTTGAGGTGGATTTCTGGGTACTTAAGGATAGGGCCATGAGCTTCATGCCGGTTTGACGCATGTAAATGGGCTCTATCCAAAGAGAATAAGACTTGGGCCATCGGTTCGACTTCTGACTTCAGAGATGTCTTGGCAAAGACTTGCAGTCCGGCCAATGTCAGATGAACATTGTATACGACCTTCAGATTTTGATGCTCTACTTGAATATGCTTGGTCGGTGTCTTGGGGGATCCATTTCCATCCCCGCCAAAGATCTCAGAAATGCGGCCTTGAATCATCTTGGTTTGCTGCTGTAACTCTTGAACAGCACTGGATATCTGAGGTCTGTTGAGCGCAGTGAGCAGACTATAGACAGCAGACGCATCAAGTTGAACAACCTCCAGAGAGGACAGGACGTTAATTTGGTGCTCTGCCTGACCCATCTGGCTAGTGACCCGGCCGTTGGTAGGAGGAATCTGAAGAATAGAAATGCTTCGCGGCTGGTTCCTAACATTGATTTGCATCTCGTGATCATTCTCTTTGACATCAAAATCAAAGATGATTTCCTTTCCAAAATTGGCTGCAGCCGCAGCTCGTGCCACAGTTCCGGTGATCTTATAAGTAAGGGACTGGAGGAACGGAATAGTGATGCTGTACTCATCCAAGAACATAGCAAGATTAAATCTCACGCTTGATAGGCGATCTGATATTTTCTTCGGTCCATCTTGCGGTTTGGGCTTTGACATGCCAGAAAGCTGGTTTTTAAAGCTATACAAGGTCTGGATCTCGTCACCGAGAAGGCGATCCAGAACTTCTATTAACCCAATGGGATCTTCCTTGACCGAAAATGTCAGACCTCGGCTGCCAGCGCTTGCTTTGATTGTATGATTTGACTTATCGTCAGTGTTCTGAAACTCATGAGATACAAAGATACTCGGATGTTTCAATTGCGTCATGCCCAATGAATGAGAATTGCTATGAAGTGTCGAGGTGATGGCGTTGCAGTTGAGCATCAGACTCATGGCACTTGAGGAATCGTGGCTGGACTGGTGAAGTAAAGACATTTTCAATCCGTGACTCAATGTCTTTGCTTTGAGATTGATGGTCTCCAATTCAATCGCGCCCCTAGTCACCTCAACTACGACATGAACGGGCGGCCATATAGCAGGACCAGACTTTGTTGGACCTTTGGGCTTCGGAGTAACTGATACCGGTTGGGTCTGGGCTTGACTCTTACTGTAGAGCTGCAAGACTTCTTCAGCCAACTCGCAGAGCTCCCAGTTCAGGTTGATCCCTGCCTCTGCGCAGCAGATGTTTAGAGTTGTGAATGGAGAAGGGGGTGCTTCGTGTGAGATCTCAGCCTCGTGCATCTGCTGATCGATTCGTGCAGCCAGACCAATGAAGCCGATCTTGTTCTGCTTAGGTCCAGGGTCGAGTACTAGCTGGAGCTCAGCAAGTCTACAGGCACCAAGGAGAGAGAGCCGATCATCAGCGGTCATATCTGTTTCCCTGAGTCGTCCGAAAATATTGCTCAAGACGAGCGCACCTTTCAAGTCTTCCATATCCCACCCCCGCCACTTCTCCAACGCACCCACAACATGTTCTACAGCATCAGCTGGTAAGCTGGGGGTAGCATTGAAGCATTGTTGGATGATTCGGGACTTGGATTGCAGATCCATGGCAGTCCATATCTGGCGGAGCCGCATGGCCAGTTTCCATGAGTCGTTTGTACGAATATGGTCGTCCGCAGATCGAAGTACAGCAGAAGGCCGGACCAGAAAGGAAGGGTCGTTGATTGACTCGCCTTGTTTGAGAAGGATATAGGTAAAATACTTCTGGCGGGTTTCGTGCTTCTCCATCGTTTCAGAAAAAACATGGCCAAGGCTAGAAGCAATTTTCCCCGTACGGTGAATGAGCGAGGCAAGATATTCGATTTTGCCTGAAGCTGTGCTTCCTACCACAGATCCGATGTCTGCGTCAATGAATCGGACATCTTTCTCACCAATTGATACAGTGACATCCTCGATTTGCGCCATTACTGCAGGTTGAGGCTCTTGGTATGACGACCTACGCTCAGATGCAGAGACCTCTGCTGAACCTAAACGCAACTGAAGTGAGGTTCTCGAATGACGCGTTTCGTCTTTGAAAGGATCGTCCCAATTAGCCGTCGTCCGTGCAATTAAAGCCACCCTCGACAGAGTCAGATCATATTGATCTTGTTCCTCTTGTGCATAACCAGGCGAGTCTTCGGAAGTCGAGTTGAGAAGTCTGAATGATGCGCTAGGTATTCGAATCATAAAATCCTTGATTTGGCCTTTGGTCTCTCGTTCTTTTTGCAGATCAAAAATCTTGGACATGGCATCAACTTGAAAGCTGTCCAACAGGTCTTCAGGCTCATTTGGCTGCAACGCATCAAGAAGAGAGGCAGCGTATCGCAAAGCTGATGGATTCACGAACGCCGACATTCCAGATGGGAACTCAACGATAACACTAAGGTAGGGATGATCCTCGCCCAAGCCATTAGGGTCGATATCATCCAAGCCTATGCTGATTGCATCAAAACCGTCATCTTCGGCGTCGTCTTCCGTATTCTGGATAGGAACCTCGCGTGTGCTTGGCCGCAGTCCATTCAGTGGAAATTGAGGAGAAACATATTGGCTGGAGAAGGCCACCGACGAGTGAGCAAGATCATCCTTGGCAGCGTAGTCATTGGCAGAGCGATGCGATCCAAATGAGGCTCTGGATCGCAGAGACCGTCGGTTGTCTGCTGAAGAAGGCCTCGGCCCTCGATTGCCTTCTTGTTTGGACCTGGACCTGGTTTTATGCTGACTCTGAGCAAGTACAACGCTACCATTGCTGGATTCTGCAAGAGATAGAAATGAAGATTTGTGACTTAAGCCTCGCGATTGGCGTGAGGCTATTGTTCTGCGCGAGGCATTATCCATCTCGGCTTCTAGGGCCATCGCTGGATGCGGAGGCGGAGGCGCGCATTGGGCTGGTGAATCTACAGCCTCTGGGACAAACTCATCGAGAAACTCTGGCAAAAGAAGGAACTCGACTCGGTGTGTTCGCTGATCTTCCCTTTGTACCAATTCTTGCTGGACTCGTCTTTCCTCGCTAAACTTGAACTTACGTCCAATGACAGCAAGATGAACAGTCGTTCGAAAATGGGCATCTGTTTCGACCGGATGATGGTATCTTGCTTTCTGTCTGCCTGCTGATTCTGCGTTCACGCATGATACTTGGACGTTTGGAACGACAATATCGGCGCGTTTAGAATAGTGTGATCTAGCCCAGTCGTTGAAAGATATATCGATACTGTCAGTCGACATAAGGAAAGCGGCCTCGTCGACATGTAACCAGACTTGTATCGATTGTACCACAACTCGGGCAAATGTGATGTCATAGAAGATGAGAGATGAGTATGGCACAAGAGCATTCTCAACGTCGTCGAAACAGAAGGCAAGGGCCCGGCCACCTTTTGCGATCGAAACGAGAAACTCACTTGTACACTCTCCAGTAATGCCACCCACAGAAACATCCCAGTTGCAGACGTAGGCCGGTTCAGACGGTGGGAGTCCAAAAAGCTTATGGCCAAAAATCCGCAAACCGTCAATAAAAAGTTGGGTGTTGGATGATGACATGCCAGGAGAGTCCAGAGTGCCTTCAATACACCCCAGTGAGAGACTCACGGGACTAACCTCAACCTCAACCTCCATAAAGTAGTTAGTGAAGCGTAGGTCAACAGAAACACTAGCCAGCTCGCCCTCGACGTAACGATCGGCAGAGTAAAGGTTAGTTGGCAACATGATCTTGAGATCCTCGATCCTGACACCGAGAATGACATCCATATCGTTGGACTTTTTAGGAGGTGGTTGTGTTACAACTTCCGCATCCGGGTTCTTCTTCTTCAGTTGAAGCTGATTTTGGTATTCATCCAACGTTCTAAAATGGACAAACTCTCCGAAATAATTGTCCTTAAGAAGAATAACATACCGGATTAAAAAGCCGTAAAGGTAGACGTAGGGTGATTGGCCGCGGACGTTAAGTATCAGAGTATCAGTGTTTGTCGTCGCCGTTGTGGCATTGTAATTGTAGCTTCCATCCACCACGAGGCCTTCAATATGGCCCAACTGCTTGGATGACAGAAATGCGGCCTGCGTGTTCCACTGCGGAACTTGGAGTGCCATGTCCAACTGGTCAGCACGTACATCAAAAGGGATGGCGTTCCTGCTTGGTCGAAATGAGTCGGCCGGGATACAGGACTCAGCAGTCAAACAAGGACTGGAAAGAATTAGATACGTGTTGTCTTCAATAACAGTGGCTTTGTCGATGATGTTGGCCTCGTTAACATTGAGATAGACCTTTAATGAATGCAAACTGAGGTTGAGGTGGTACTTGAAGGGCACGTAAACCAGATAGTCGGCAGGCGGACCAGTTGTCCAGTCATCGACGAGATCTGTAATTAGGAAGATGTGGTCTCTCAGCATAAAAAGTTCCATCTGGGAGCTAGTGATTGTAAAATGCCAGTTTCTGAGTGAGTTCCAGGACAAAGGATTAGATAGATCGCACGATATCCGCTGAGGTCCAGATCGCCACAGCAAATCGTGATTGACGCTGCTCCAGAGCTCCGACCCTGGTAAGTCAACGTTGAGCTTGGTTGTGTAACCCGTAGAGCTGGCCAACATGTCCATAACGAACTTGATTGACGAGTTGGCTGGTATTTTCACTTCGAGCCAACCTGATGGCCGGATTTGAGTCGCATCGCTTTTGCTGTTCTTCTTCGCCCTGTTTCGCTGTTTTCGCTTGGTTGGAGGTTTGGCATGTCGCAAAGGAGGTTCTTTGCCACGCCAACGCCAATTCTTGGATTCCTCCCTAATCGGTATTCTCAAGGTAACTGCATCATCCATTTCAATGGATAACTGGAACGTGGTGGCAACTCTCCAGTCACCCGGTTTTTGAGGTCTGGCTGGTGTGGCATCCTTACACAACGATGGAAAGAAAAATCGCTGTAGATCTGCTCGCTGACGATCTGACCAAGGGCCATAGTTCATAGTGCCTCCCTTTATTGCAAAGGTTATTCCCCAAGCAGGAGGCTCAGCCCCATTAATGCTGATTGGAAATGGGTTTGTGCCTCCATGACGAGGGTGCTCCGGAACCTTGCCCACGGCGTCCCAGTAAACTGAAAGCACTGCTTCAGGGCTGTCAAGAATCGTTGTCACAGCTGCATACTCTACAGATGCCCAACGAGCCCTATCGTCTCGGTCACGGTCGTCCAGATAACGGGTCAGACCCTGCCACTGGTTGGCCCCAGGAACTTGGGACGTCGCTGTAGTCATGGCAGTCCGCGTATCACTTGAGAAAGATTCGACAGAACGCCGCCAATACGGGACCAAGTTCCGTAGCGAGTTGACAGCCTTTCGGCGATGATGACGGAACAATGACCACTTAGACACTGCTTCCTGATTGTGAGTGTTATCGCGATCTCGCATTGCACGTGCAACTTGATCCTCCTTAAAATCTTCATTCTCCTTGATTTCAATGACTGGATGATGTAACTGAACCTTGAATGTTTGCCGATATGGATCAGGTGTACTTGTCTCTGAGGCGTCTACTTCTACATCCAGCGAGTCAGTTTTGGCGATAAGGATGGCCTTCGTGTTTTCGTTGCCTATAACAGCGGCGGCCTTTTGGCATCGAATGTACACCGGAAATAACCGAAGCATGAAAGGTAATTCGGGTTGCTCGTCCTTGGTATTCTCGTCATCGTCGACACTTCCGAAACCTGTCGTCGTACGCCGGAATATGTCCTTAGCTCGCGCAGTGAACTGCCGCTTCACATCTGCCCCTTTCTCGTCGCTAGCTGAAGAGCCCATCTCTTTCTTGCCCCCACGCAGCCGAACGTTGGCATCTTCCTTCTCTGAAACTCCGCTTGAGTGAGGTTCCGGGTCATGGGTTTCGGTAAGTCCTGCCAAGATGCCATCGTAGGCTGGGCTACGGTTGTACACAAACCATTCCAATCCGATCAGATCCACCTGGATACGGCATGGAAGTTCGGCGTTCTTGGTATCATTCGTCGGCGTAGCATCTGTAGTGGGTGCTTTAGATCGTCGCGCGTCGATTATGTTTGCATCTCGGACTCGTCGAAGCCAATATCGCCATGTTATATAGCCATGTTGGACCATGAAGGTTTCGTTCTCGCCATGATAACGTAGACCCGTGAAGAAGATTCGCCCGCCGAGAAGGGATATCTGTATGGCCTTGAAGTCTATATAAATTCGATAGTGGTGCCATGTGTAGGCTCGAAGCGCGTAGGATACGATTGATGCAAAGACTCGGTTGAGGTAGAGGACGAAGAATATGGCTAGAAAGCAACACAATGCCATAAAAATAAGGAATTTACTGTTATATATTTGAGTCAGTCATGCATGAGGTATTCAGATTCTGGATAGGAGCTTGTACTAATTGAATTGAGGGTTGCCCTCGGCAGCTCTTGCTACAAGAATCGCATTGTCGAGGCTTGAGGCGGTAATATTCATGTTGAAATGGACTCGACGGAGCTTATGAAACTCCACTGTAAGATATAATAAATATACGTCGCATTATAGTTTCGCGACTATGGTTTCGTAACGGTCAAGCTAAATGAAGAGTCATGTAGTACTCCGGGAGCGAAGCACCCATGATAAGTTAGGTTGTTGATGTTAAGGTCGATCAGGAGTCAGGTCATTCAATCTCGAAAGCTAACGTAAGGTAGTCGCGACAGCAAAGGACCGCGGTTGTTAAGTCAGGTAAGGTAAGGTTAATGTGACCCAATTTACCGAGATACTCCCTGTCGGGAAGCGGATGCAGGGTTGCGGAGCCACTGTTAATAGCTTCGCTCAGTGGTTGAGCTTAAGGCTAGCGCCTGCTCCCTCCCGCATCCATATCAGAGCTTCTATCTTGGTCAAGACCACCTAGCCAGCAGAGACGAGCCTCACGATGCAGTCTTGAGAATTGCCCAGAACTAGTTGGATGGAAGGTCACAAGTAATCTCGGAAGAACTTCATCATCAATATGTCATCATTATAGAAGAGCCCACAGGGGTTGTAAGATACCTGTAATTAATTATCAAGATCAACCAGCTAGTCTCAATACGGGGCAGGCGTAAGGGCGCATGAACAATACGCCGCCCCGGAGCTATCATTCCTGAGACACCCGTTACGTACCACATTCGAGGCAGCAAATACATCATCTGCCCCAGCAATACGGATATAGGTCAACACCAAGTTCAGTTCGCGACTCCGGTGTATGGCTAAGCTACACTTGACTCTTGCAAGGGTTAAAGACGTCGTCATCGGCGCGGTCTCAAGACTTTCGGCAACTTGTCATCCATATCTCCATTCTCCTGCTAGCGACCTTTCAAGCTCACCAGTCACCCTGCGCGGCCATACAGTCATGTGCTAGGACATTCCAGCTATCGCTCGCCCAAACACTTCCAACTTCGACCAACTACACGCCTCTCTTTAGCAATGGGGGATCACGTCGAATTCATGGCCGATGGCGGCACAGGCCAGAAACTTACATACGCCACTACGGTTGTTGCAGGCGTTGCATCTGTGGTTGCGACAATACTTTCAGTCATGTATGAACTCGTCACAAGGCTCGCAATAATGCGCAAAGCTAACGCGAACCCACAGCTCAATAATGTTGCAAGCCAAGAATTATCGCAAACCTCTTTTGCAAAGATACGTCGTCAGAATCCTTCTTATGGTGCCTATATATTCGATAGCGTCATGGACGAGCATGGTTTCCCTCAAAGCTGCCGCATTCCTTGATCCGATTCGCGATATCTACGAAGCTTTCACCATATACACATTCTTCCAGCTGCTCATTAATTATCTCGGCGGTGAACGATCTCTCATCATCATGACACACGGTCGAGCCCCGGTGCACCATCTGTGGCCGCTCAATCATGTGCTTCCCAAGGTTGACATCTCTGACCCTCACACGTTTTTGTCTATCAAGCGCGGTATCCTTCAGTATGCTTGGCTGAAACCTATCCTTGCCCTGTCGGCCATCATTATGAAAGCGACTGGGACCTATCAGGAAGGATATATTGGCCTCAGTTCAGGCTACCTATGGAGTGGTATTATTTACAATATCAGTGTCACTGTCAGTTTGTACGCGCTGGGTCTTTTCTGGGTCTGCATGAACCATGACCTGAAGCCATTCCGGCCTGTGCCCAAATTTCTATGCATCAAGCTCATCATCTTTGCTTCTTACTGGCAAGGCTTCTTTCTGTCGATTTTAGTCTTTCTTGGTGCAATCCCTGACGATGTTGAGGGATATACGTCAGATAACCTTGCGGCGGCTATTCAGGACGCTCTTATTTGTGTAGAAATGCCTATCTTTGCCGTGGCTCATTGGTATGCCTTTTCATGGCACGACTTTGCAGACAACAGCATTTTATCCGCGCGCATGCCTCTACGACACGCTTTCAAAGACGCATTCGGCATAAGGGATCTAATTGAAGACTCCAAATTAACATTCCGAGGAGACACATACGGTTATAGGATCTTTGACTCTGGTGACAAAGTAATGGCACACGAAGATTCCAAATCTCGACTGGCGAGACTCAAGGAGGGCATGAGATATGAGCGAGGTGGAAAGGGAAAGTACTGGCTTCCTAAGCCGGGAGAAGTTAACTCCACTACGCCTCTCCTTCGGGGTAATGGTGAATCTAGCGACAATCGCCCTGACCAGATCAACGAAAACACCCATGGTACTTTCGAAGAACCAGAGGTCGATGCTGACGAAGACCGCCTGTATGAACAAGCACGACAGCTGGAGTATGGTGACTGGAATGTAAGTGATCATGTCCCTCAGACACCCATCCATCCATCTAATTCGAACAGTATCCCGTAATCACGGCCAGTGAACCGTTGCGAGAGCGATATCGCTCTCCTGGGAGCTTTGGCGGCAGATCTGCCTACAACAGTCCGTCTGTGAGGTCGCCTGCGACGGAATACCCACCTACTACCAAGGGCAAACAAAGGAGTAACATGCATGTTCCGGCACGCACCCCTCAAACGGAACCTCAGGCTGAGCCTGTTGTCCCTATTAAAAAGAAGAAGAAGCCCAAGAAGGTTGTCAAGCACGAGGAACCGAACACAAGCAAACTGGGCTTGGACAAAGGACCTGCTCCTGCTGAGGTCGGTGGGCATGACGGGCAGGTCAGTCCCGGAAACAGCGGGGCAAGGACTTGGAACGATGATCATCATGAATCCGAGCATCACTCAACCTCCAATTATCAGTCGAATTATGGAACAGATGAGGATGAGTTCAGAAATGTCTGGGGGAGAGATGAAGAATCTAGATAAGAATTGCTTTGCGTATACGAAATACCCTTAAGCTTGCTTTGGTTGAATCCAACTTGAAAGCATAGCATGGAGTTATGGTTGTCGGTGTACAACAATGTCTTTATAGTCAGTCACAACTACTCATAGCGTCGCTCGAATGAATACATGCCGTTTGTTACTTGGGAACTTTGAAAACTTCCGATCAAGCTACAGGTGCTGCTTTTTCACTACCCCGTTGAATTCTCTATGCATCCTCTATACCTCAACACCGCTTTCAATCAATCAATCCAAAACCCCACCTTATGCCCAGGTCAAACTGAACACCTCAGTACCATGTCTGGAGATACCTACCTCGGAATTTCCATCGGCACTCTTAACACTAGTAGGGATCTTCTCGCCCTTCCTCTCCAGAATGATCTTGTTACCAGAAGTGTCGGACAACTTGTAGAAGCGTCGTCCGTTACGGCTGAAGAAGTCCTCAAGCTTCTCCTGGGTAACGTCCGCCTCAGAGATGACGCCACGCTCAATGGCTTCTTCGAGGCCAAGAAGAACGAGCTGCACGACATAGGGCTGAGTGAAAACACCCGCAGGTGCCTTCCCTTGCTCGGCAGATGTCTTAGACTGCAATGGGTGGGGAGCGCTATCGCTTCCACTGTAACTTTGTCAGTAAACAGAAGGGATCTTTTGGTAGAGGAAAGGCTCACAAGAAGAACTTGGTGTTGCCGCTGACGACTGCCTTGATCAAGGCGTCTCTATCAGTGGGCTTCTTGGGAATGGGCTTGCAGAAAGCGAAAGGGTCGCAGCAAGCCTCATGGGAAGTGAGGTAGAGGTGGTGAGCGGTAATAGTTGCTACATAAATTGTTAGAGGAAACCCGACCATACTGTTAAGACTGCAGGATCATACCGCCGACAGTAGGGCCACAGGCCTTGACGGCCTCTACAGCAGCAGCAGTAGTGCAATGCTCAAGCTGAACGACAATGTCAGCTTTTGTCTATACAACCATATGAGAGGCATACATACCACAATGCGCAGCTGAGGGAATCGATCGTGAAGTTGCTTCAGAGTGGGGAGGAAAGCCTCTTCCAAGGTGGTATCAGCTGGTGCAAGAGACTCGAGGACTTCTCCATGGATGTTTAAGACTGGATAGATCCCGTATGTTAGCACCACCATTCCGGGTGTTTTCGTAAATCGCTTACCAATGCCGTGCTTTTCCATAGCAGCAAACGTGTCATAGAATGCTGTGATGTCAGAAACACCACTCTCGGAATTGGTGGTGACACCTGGAAAGTGTAAGCATTTTATAATCAGCTTCTGAACAACCAGAACATGCCTTGAGGGTACAACTTGACACCAGTGACGCCAGCTTCGGCAGCTTGAGCGATCACTTCAGGAGTGACTGAAGGATGAAGCTTTTGGGAGTGAGAACGAGCTTAAGTATAGGGTGGGAATAGATGAAACTGACATAAAGAGACATAAGAAAGTTGACATCCTGAGTGATTGCAGTCAACTTGGACTTGTACTCGAGCACCTTGAGTAAATTTTGTCAAAATCGGGTTGTTCGAATGGTTGTTTGGGTGATTCGAGAGTTCATACCTGTTCTACAGAAGTGAGGGGAGGCAGCTGTGTAAGACAGTTAGTTAGATCCTTATATCAAGCCGCTTTTCTCTCATATCAACATGTTTCACAGGCAAGAACATACAAGATTAGGCATACTATTATATTTCATTAGCCTTTGAATACAGAATCTTTTCTATAGAGTCCATACACGAATACCGTATCAACTCCACCCTGACGAACAGTCGGGACTACCAAGTCCATCAACTCGCCCTGACGCAAATGAACGTGCATATCAGCCGCAGCTGGCAGTTCAAGACGCTGAATGTTCTTCATCTTGGTTCAAGTTTTGAGTCGTAATGGTGAAAAAGTTCCAGGGGATTTGTCAATGGCAACAGCAAAGTGAGCCCTGTAATAGACGCCTTAAAGATGGATCATCAACCGAAGCGCGGGGTGCAACTTTTTTTTCCCTGCCCCGCCATCTGTCTCAGCGAATGGATAGGGAACTCAAGCGTCGGATAATTTCTACAAATCAAAAACAAGCTTTCCCTTCCCATAGTCCAAGACAGGTTAGGCTTCGGATAAACCACAAGTCCGCTCCCACAGGCGGTGTGAGAAATTTGTCGGTCTGCAAAGGCAGAATCGCTTCCACGGCACAATCCCATCACCAAATCCCAGCCCTACCTTATCAATATCGCATTCAATCTGCAGCCTGCCGGTCTTCTCAGCAGTGGCTTTTGGTGGAACAGGCGTACTGAACGCCTTGCAGGACCAGGTCGTGGGCTAGGCCCTTGAGCGCGCAATGGGCCGCAAGCCCAACCCCCTTATCCTCGAGTACTTCGTCCGGGGCCCCAAGCTCAACGACAACAGTAACCGATATCCTCACACGTGCAAGCAATGCGGCGAGAACTTTCCTAAGGGTAGGATCGATAGCCTGACCACCCACATAACCAAGAAATGTCCTGCCATCTCCGAATCCGATCGTATGCGAGCCTGCCTTGAACTCCACGGTATTACGAATGCCCGAGCATCTGCTGAACGACCACCTCCCGAGACGCAGCCAAACGGACAGCCTGTAGATGTTCCCAACCTACCTCAAGGATGGAGCGCGCTCGAAACTCTCGCAGAAGCCTCGCGACAAGTTGATCTGAACGAAAACAACCGTGCTCAGAGCGTACAAGCTTCCGTAGACCCCGCCGACCCCGCCAACGCTCAGCATGTTTCGGATCGCTTTGAGCTTCACGAGCAGTTTACTCTTGATAATCCTCCTGTGAGCTACGAGAACCGACCAAATCAGGGAAACAGAGGTATGGTGGTGAATAGGGGGGATGTGAGAAGTGTTTCTAACAAGCCTGGTAGGTGTAATTCAACAGCCGCTCCCAGGAACTGAGCTATCTCCCGAAGAACGCCTCCAGGCATTGCTTCCCAATAGCGACGCTTCGCCCGACGTTTCGAACATCTCAGTTGCCGTTGCTGCCACAGCTAGGTTGAATCCGTCACTTCTTGACCCCCAGCTCGTTGACGAGAACGGTTCCGCGACGCCGCCGCCATCCATGGACATCCCAGCCTCTATCGAAACCTCACCCAGCGCAGTAACCGCTCCCGACAATGGCATTTCCCAACCCTGGGGCGAGATGACGTATTTGACGACCGCGTCGCCAGTTCCTCTCATTCATGATCACCCTCCACCACCTATACAGATGACTCGTGGTGGTGTTCGAATGGATACAAGTGATGGGCAACTTAATGGGAGGCCCCGTCATGCTAGATCTCGGTTTACTGCTGCGAGGCGCAAGGAGGTTCAAGAGGTTCGCAAGATTGGCGCCTGCATCAGGTGCAGGATTCTTCGCAAGAATTGTGGCAAAGGAACCCCGTGTGATACTTGTCGAAAAGTTCTTGCGCCGAGAGTATGGAGAACTGGCTGTGTACGAACAAGGCTCCAGGAACAACTCGACCTGTACTCGGCTGGTGTCCAGGTTGTTCTGTCCCAGAATCGCATCAATCTCTTGAAGAACCAGATAAACATGACCCATGATGGCACCATGATAGAGGTTTCACACTTCCCTGAAACTGGCAAAATCATTGTTCTTGAGGCCTTGGTTGCGCTGCTAGAGCCTAGTGAGACGCTCGCAGAACTTCGAGGCAGCAAAGATTCATTCTTCCAGGTCATCATGATCGACCAGGACAAAGAGGACGTTCCTGGCAAGGTTGAAGCTTACATGCGTGATGTCTTTCAACTATTCATTGATAGAGAGCCCTCAAAATTTATGCGCGTCACCCTGGACCTGGCGCTTCAGCAATTGCAAGAATCGGAAGACGATCTGCTTCGAAAGTCCTTGGAGTTATGGGGCCTGGTAGAAAGCATCGACCGTGAAAGGCAGTGGAACGTTGTCGAAAGACCAGCCAACAACAGCGAAGAGCCCCGGCGTATTCAAGAGGCCAAAAGCGAAAACGACGCCGACATCTACACAACCCTTTGCATGCAGCTCAACGCTGCAGCAGAGCGAAAAGCCAACAACACGTCCAAGGCTCTTTTGAGTGGCATGCACCGCGTGCTTCAGGATAGCAAAGTCAAGGTCAACTTCAAGATGTACCTGACAGCGGTTATTTTCTTAAACTGCCTTGAGAAATCTACGTGGGCCTTTAAGGCTTGGGAGCAAGATCATCTTCGTCCTGGGTGGCCTTTGGAACGAGACCCCAGTGTCTTCACACAACAGGGTAACAACCTTTCCGGGCTGTTGAAGATGCTTCTGGCGATTCGTAAGGCTCTGCCGCAAACACATCGCGATGAAACAGGCAAACTTGCTACTTCAGAGCAAGACCCTGTCATATCGACCTATTTCCAAAACATTGACCTCGACTGTAGGTATACTTGGTCTCAGTCGGCCCAAGCTCTTTGCTAACCATCGCACCAGATGACAACATCCTCACCCGACAAGAAGGACACCCTTTCTCCCCTGCAGACTCTCGATCTTTAGAAATGATGTTCTGCTCTCATCTTCTCATTACAAACTCTCCTTAGAGTAACCCCAACAGACTTGAGCAGACGACCCTTGTACACTGTTTGAGCACAGAGCACTCGACGAAAATGATGTTGAGCTGACCAACGTAATTTCAACCCGTTTAATGGTTAATGAATGGACGGAAAAAGCAAATGAATTTTGATACCACACGAAGCACGCGCGCGTATGACTAGCCAGGGGACGTTATGGCTAACGCTGTATTTCACAGGAGGTGGAGGAGAAATACACGATACAGGGTTGTGGTTGATGTCTGGCGTTTACGGTATAGAGAAAAAGAAGCAAGATACCTCGAGTTTTCTTGGTGGAAATGTATGGTATTACTGTACTTGTAACCAAAATGCCTTCATTAGGATTGATCATGTATCATCGTTATTACTTGCTCCGCTAAATTCTCGACTACAGTACTTCATCCATCACAGCTCATTTGAATACGTAGAATCCATTGTCGTTGTGTCGCTATCGTCATTCTTCTCTTGGCTGTTTGCGGTGCTATAACCAGACATTTCAAGAGCCTTCTAGGCTGAAATGCCCGATACACCACTGTTGTTCCTGCTAGGACCGTGACCAGGTCGTTTTGGCTTCTTGAAGCAAGCAAATTCGTTCTTACTTGCCTCTCTTAGACGTTTGAGAACAGTGCGCATCTCGGTTAACTCGCCCTGCAGACGTGCGCGAGCATCGTTGTCTGTACGCGCATCAAGTTCCTGGTAGATCTGACTCTGTAGTTCCGAAGCCCGTTCCGAAGTGTAGTGGCTGAGTGTTTGAGCAACAAATTCGACATCGAGGGTCGCTTGCATAAGGGCTTCCAGAGTGTATCGTGGGCGGCGTCGGAATGCTTCCAAGAGTTGGATAGACGTCTGCTCAAGAAGGAAAGATAGGACTTCGACTGTAAGAGCCGGGGCAGTAGTAGATACTTGTGAGTGGACAAGAACAAGGGTGAGGAGAGCCTCATAGACGTATGGCTTGGCGACTTGCGTGCGTTGCCCTTGACCAGGAGCCCAATCAGGTGCTGATATGCCAGATTGAATGACATCGCGCAGTCTCTCAATCGACTGTTTGGTGTAAGATTGAAAGAGCCGTTCGTGGATTTGCCCAAGGACTTCGCGAATTTTCTTGGACTCATCAGTTAACTTGACAGAGAATGCGTTTTCAAACTGCAGGTTGAGACTCGGCACCACTTGTGACCGAAGCGATGAAAGGTTGCTCAGCGTCATGAGCATACGGATATTCTAGAAAGCAAATGTCAGTTTCATGTCATAGTCCAAGCCAAGTATAAAAACTCACCCTGTCTCCTGAGTCTAAAGCTCCTTTGCCCGCCATAGTCGGTGCTGCGGCCGACGCAAGAGATCTTTCACTATCAATCGACCAGTCGTCTTCGGTCTTCTTCAACGATCTCTCAGCATTCTCGACCATGCCGCTCAAGGCCTTGTACAGCGTGGTCACATATTGGCTGCGAACCATCTGAAGAAGTTTGGTCGGTGGGGGCAAGACAATATCTCCCGAACCGGACCTAGACATAGCATCGGGGATATAGAGAATCTTCTGCATGCCCAACAAGACTGCTCCTTCGAAAGCAGCGAAGCTGGCTGGCATGCGTGTCACATCACCCATCTCAACGGAACGTTGCCAATCCTCGACATGCTTAATGTTCTCAGCATCTCGATTCCAGGCGGCACACAATGCTGTCACACAGCGCTCTCGAGAACCTCCAACAAGACTTCTCAGGCGATCGAGTACCTGACCTTCCCCTGACTCGATTGGCTCAATACACGCCAAGTCGCCTGCCCCAGCGCCTACCAGAGTCAGCATTTTAGATAAGTAATGTACACCACTGATAGAATTTGACCATGGAGGCCAGAAAGCCAGCTTTTCCCAAACCTCGCCCCTTTTGGGTGACGGAGGGGGCATGTTGTTTGGGTCAAAGTTGAAACGAGGATCTCGTGGAGATGCCAAAGAGTCAGAGCCGGGTGTCCCTGGAACCGGCGTCTTAGGAAGTGGTGAAAAGAGCAACGAGACATCTTCAGGAGGCATATCCACAAAGAAAGAATAAGCATGTTCTCGAAGCAAGTCTACCAGCTCCACAGCCCCCTTTCTCAATTCGTTGATACTATCCTGTGATAGCTCGTGGTGATGCCGAGACTCACCACGGTATCCTACAGGAAGAGCGGCTTGGGCAGAACCATTGATGAATCCTTGCACTGTTTGCCAGAACTCTATGACCTCGCCCAAGATTCCTTCACTCGATAGTAGACTCGTAAGGAACGACAGCATCTTTTCCCACAGTTCTATCACATCAGGTGAGTCAAACGTCAGAGGTTTGTCTTCGATCACTGGTCGGCCTAAAGAGCGAAGATGCGCAGCAATCGTGTTGGGGTGGGGTTTATCATTGCTGGCCAGCCTGCGACGAAGCACCTCAATCTCAACCTTCGAACGGTCTGCTGTCGACTGGATCTTGCCTTTGAGGTGATCATATCTACTCAAAAGCCAAACCCAGATCGGATTGTCGTCAGCGCCCAGTTCCAACAGTAATCCGATGAGTTCCATATGCTGGTCTTGTATGCGACCAGTTGCGCCTGCACCATCTGTCCTTGATGCTGTGTAAAGTGTGACAAGCCGTTTCCATACGTCGCGTTTGAAAAGGCGAATCTGCTGATCCACGTCATGCCACATTCTTCCTGCTATCAACAGCTGGTAGAGTTGTGGCTCTGTGGGTGTCTCTTGTCCGAGTTCCTCCGCCAGTTGTCGACTTTCGTCCGCAATTTTTCTGGCCCTTGTGAACTCATCGACCAGCGACTCATAGTCCTTCCGCTTGATACTGTCTGCTATTGACGTGCTCAGCTCCACATAATCTTTGAACCGAGTCAGATGGTTTGAAACTGTTTTCAAATTCTCTTCCTTCTCTCTTCCACCCAAAGCGGGGCCCCAGACGTCCTCAGCTTTTGCTGAGACCTCAAGCAGCGGACCCTTGATACCCAGAACACCATACTCGCTTTCCTTTATCAAGGCATTCTTCTTTCGCGTATCAGTGCTTGTGGACGTCAGGGTGTTGTTGATCCCAAGCCCAGCGCCTACCATACTGTTCCGATAGCTGCGGCGTTGGGCTGCATTGGAAGCACCTGGGTTGTTCGGGTCAGGTGGCTCAACCCCACGATATTTCATCTCCTTATAGACGTTATCTATAGTTGCCTTGGCTTTCACGAATCTTTCAAAGTTGGTCTCGACCAGGACCTTGAGGGATGCTGACTTTTGATCAATGGACTGTGAGAGAACATCAAGACCTGTAAGCAGGCTTCGAGTATCGGCAGTGGCATGCATCTGAGAAAGAAAGAGCGCAGGCGAGAAAGTTGTTGAGGAGAGCAGGAACCGGTTACCTAATTTGATTATCCAAAGTCAATTCACAATCTCAGAACAAGTTGTCATGATGCGAAAACGTACGTAGTCGGTGATCATCTTGGAGGGGTAAACCAAGATGCTTGAGCGTTCTGACGACACTATCAGTCGTCCCAAGAGGATCCGGTTCATCCTTTTGCACGATATTTCCAACGCCTCCTTGGTCGTCCTCTCTAGGGATATTGCTCTTCCGTTGGCTCACAGCTCTCTCAAGCGCCTGGTATCGAGACTGTCTTCTCTTCAGGGCAGCGCCCTTCTCGTCCTCGCCATCTTCGTCGCGGTCCTCCAAATCTTTCTCGGCAGGCCATTCTGTAGGATACAAGGTCGGAATCTGGTAAAAGTCGAGGATAGTACGTTCCATATCGGCCATGGTGGCGGTTATGATGGCCTAATGGGTGGTTAATTAGGGGATGCGTCGCATGCTCGAGTGGTCGAGCTTATATTATGCCCAAAAGGCGGAATCGCGAGGAATCGTTCTCTGGTATGGGAATAAGGTATTGGTGACTTAAAATTGAGCGGTAGAACCTGCTGGATATGTCTAATCTATCAGGCGCATTGTTGGAAACGAATGATTGAATACTAATGCTGGGAAGCTAGGAGGTTAGGTAGCTCATGTGTAGATGTGGCTGGGGAACTGAGCTATGGGATTCGAATGTGGCATTGATTTGATGGTGTGGCTTGTCAAGCTCAACCTTTGGAGCCTGCCTGCCTGTGACGTGCATGAAACATCCACCGATCTTGTAGCTCAAAATGGTAAGTGAAAGCCGTGGTAGCGGATGCCCACCGGCCCCTCGTTACTCGGAGCAAGGCCCTCAAAATGCGAGCCAGTAGAGAAAAAAAATTGGCAAGCGTAAGTCCGCGCGGGATACGAGGCTGTAGCCGAAAGGAACCCATGAGAAGGCCTGGAAAAGACGCGAAATAGTGGGTAACAGTGGGTAAATCAAGGCATTTACAGCGACTGGCCCCGCTATTGCCCGTGGCTAGCAGTGGCTACTGGGGGTTTTCCTGCTGTCAAGATGTGGCGCAAACGCCATGAAAAGCAGCATTGGCCATTCAGAGTCGGATTTGGTTGGTTTTGGGGTTGGGTTGGTTTGGGTTCAGTCGACTTCATAGGTCGGTTGTTTTCTTCCTCTCTTTCTATTTCTTGTCGTCACGCTTTTCCCATTATACTCTCTACTCTCCTCTTTACCTTGCATCATCTTGTCTCTGTCCCTCAAGCTGCATCAAGGTAGTTAAGTCTATTTGCTCGCTCTCTTCAAAATGCTGGCCATTCGAGCTCTCCGAACTCCCGCCTCCAGGCAAGCCCTGCGCGCTGCTGCTCCCCGCGCTGCCGTTTTCTACGTATGAGATCACCACCACAATTTGCCCGGATTCGCTACAATTTAGTCCGAGCACTACATGAACAGTTTACTTACTTTTTTTTGATACAGAACCGATGCTACTCGACCTCTGGCGAACGAGTTGCTAAGTACAACGGTACCAAGGATTCCAATGTACGTTTTGCGCTCTCTCATAATACAGCTTTCAGACGATGCTAGCGCTCGGCTGAACCGAGCATGAGGCCGAGATAAAATAGCTCAGTCGCAACACAATGCTTGGCTATAGCCTCAATTGCAATTGACATAGTACTAACATAAAGCGCAGGGCAACTTCCTGGTCAGTTTGATTGAGGGTGACGGTATCGGCCCTGAGATCGCCCAGTCCGTCAAGGACATCTTCGCCGCCGCCAAGGTTCGTCATGACAACCCGTATAAGTCACCCAAAAAATGCAATCATGCTAACACAACCCCGTTTAGACCCCCATTGCTTGGGAGCCTGTCGATGTCACCCCCATTATCAAGGACGGCAAGACCGCTATCCCTGATGCTGCCATTGAGAACATCCAGAAGAACAAGATTGCCCTCAAGGGTCCTCTCGCTGTACGTTGACATGAGCGCAAAGCTATCTGCCAGGCGCATCGCATATGGCTCAATGGCTAACACCGACCTTTAGACTCCCGTTGGCAAGGGCCACGTCTCTCTCAACCTTACCCTCCGCCGAACCTTCAACCTCTTCGCTAACTTGCGACCCTGCCGCTCCGTCGCTGGCTACGAGACCCCTTACGACAACGTCGACACTGTCCTGATCCGAGAGAACACCGAGGGTGAATACTCTGGTATTGAGCACGTTGTTGTCGACGGTGTTGTACAGAGCATCAAGCTCATTACTCGCGAGGCTTCCGAGCGTGTCCTCCGATTCGCCTTCCAGCACGCCGAGTCCATTGGCCGCAAGAAGGTCCGCGTCGTCCACAAGGCTACTATCATGAAGCTCTCCGACGGTCTTTTCCTCAAGGTCGCTCAGGAGGTCGCCAAGGACTTCCCCGGTATTGAGTTCGACGCCGAGCTTCTCGACAACAGCTGTCTCAAGATGGTCACTGACCCTACCCCCTACAACGACAAGGTCCTTGTTATGCCCAACCTCTACGGTGACATTCTCTCCGACATGTGCGCCGGTCTGATCGGTGGTCTCGGTCTCACCCCCTCCGGAAACATTGGTGATGAGTGCTCTATCTTCGAGGCTGTCCACGGTTCCGCTCCCGATATTGCTGGCAAGAACCTTGCCAACCCCACTGCCCTCCTCCTCAGCTCCATCATGATGCTGCGACACATGGGTCTCACCGAGCACGCCTCTCGCATTGAGAAGGCCATCTTTGATACCCTCGCCGAGGGCAAGGCTCTGACTGGCGATCTCGGTGGTAAGGCCAAGACCAACGAGTACGCTTCCGCCATTATCTCCAGGCTGTAAATACACATGCTTCAGTTTAGATACCTGCTCCCTCACACTAGGGTTTATACGCGATTCTCTTTTTTCTTTTTTTTTTCAGGGTAGTGTACTTCTGAACTGTACCAAACCTAGAATCAGGCACGGCGAAATGATTAAGTTACGGAGTTACTCTTGATGATATGGGTCGAAGAAAATGGTTGATGAGAAGTGGTGATCTGTGCCTAAATTATGTGATACTGTAACAAAATAGTCAAAAAATAAGATATCTACTCCTGCGCTTTGCTTCTGAGGTCTGAATGTCCTCTACACCTCTTTACTTCTCCCATACGTAATTAGCATGATAACATTCATCATGACATGGATTCCAAAGTCCCTCTGGAGGTCTTCCATAGACCTACCCACATGGACATATATATAGTATAACTTTTCCAGCAGAGCTACCCTAGACATCATCATGATAATTCACATCAAGAAAATTCATGAGAATAATTATCTACCATAGCCGCACATCCTATTCCACGAGCGGTGTTCTCGTATTTGATGTGCAAAGAATATAAACAGATGATATTATACTTAGCATTTTGTCACATTACAAAGCAGACAGATATGGCTAATCTTTGAACACATCAAGCAACCATTCTAGTTCACACAAAAGCCTGTGCTCAATTGAAAGTCCAAGGATGATAACATGCAGCAAGACTTATGTATGATTTCTCCTCCACCATCCCATCTGGCTGTGCATCCCTTATGTCCCAGTCGGTCTATCATCCCAAAAACCAGCCCCAACCTCCAAACACCCCCATGCGCCATCGTATCATTGCGAGCTAGACAGCGGTACCAAAACAGATTGCATGTCAAAAACAGCTCTGCCTGAGATCTAAAGTCGGCCAGATCGAATCTCCTTATCAAAAATCTTGACGCCCCAAACTTCATAAAATTGGAGGACACCAACAGTCTTCAATCGAAGTCTTCTCCCACAATTCGAGGCATCGTCATCATCATCCTCACTCTCGCTATCTGACCCCCATGTCGGCAACATGGGAAGGTTTAGATTGTTGTGATGACTGCTCACCGTAGCCTTCTCCTTACCCTTTCCTCTTCGCTTCTCCTCTTCATCTGGCATATCTGTAGGGCGAATAACGCGGTCGAGGCGGTCATCCTCCATAGCAATCCACTCAAGTTTTAGCTCGGGGTGGTGAGAGAGATTGTCGACGATGAAGTTCAAGATCTCACGCATGACCCATATGCATGTGTCGTTATTCCTGAAACGGAGGATATTGATGGCACGGAGACTGGTCAGTCCAGCAAAATACTGCATGAAAGCGTGCTGCAACGTATGTTAGCGATATCTAGTGACGGCTGCAGGAAACTTACCACCGCATGGATGTTCATACTAAGAGCTAGCTCCTCGAGCTGTACTCCACGGCTGCAGATAAGTATCATTGCCTTCTGGTTCGCATCCCACCCGCTGCTATTTGACTCGTCCTTGATCATCAATCTCTTTAAGGTATGCATGTGCTTCTTCAGTACTGACCGGCGAATCTGGTCAATAGTGACTGTAGTCCGTGGTGCGAAACTCTCAGGTTTGTGTTTAGCGCTTCGTTCCAACAGAAACAAATCATGTAATTCCTCGAGTTGTGACATGCAGTTTAAGAATGCAGTCGACACGTTGTCGGTAAAGACACTGCGTAGGGCCAACGGGGAGACCTTGTTCTCTTTAGAGAGCAGTGTCCAAATCGGAGCCTGGTTGCCAACATTGAGCAATGTTAAATTTTTAATGCACTTGAGGTCAATAGCCCTGGACAGGACGGATGCCTTGACAGGAACCAGGTGAATGCTTAACGTTTCCAGTGCAATGCCTCTGGTATCTCGTAGGTACTCGTCAATTGATCGTTGGGACTTTTCACTACCATTGATTTGAGATTTGCCGAGGACCTGATCCTCAATCTCTTTTATTTCAAGGTGTGTAGTTTTTATGGCGCCCCGTACACGTTCAGTCCTTTGGCCCAGTTGTTTGAGTTGAGTAACAGAGTCCTTAAATTGTTGAAGTTCTCCGACAGTGCCTTGAATAGACATTGCCTTGATCTGTTGAATGAACGCATCATTCTCACCCTGTAGCTGCTGGAGTTCCAACAAGAGTGATTCATAATTCACTCGTTGCGTAGCTAAGTTCGTATCGACTTTGTCCAGTTCTGTGGCTGGGACTGTATTCGAATTTGTGTCTTGATCGTCCAGGTTGGCAACAGAAGAACTAGCGTCTGCTTTTTCGGGCTGCTTGGGTTTAACTTGTTGCCCCTCGACTTCCTTGGCCTGCTGCCCATCCGATTCGATTTCCACGTCGTCTACCGTATCGATTTCGATATCGTCTGGTGACAAATCGTCATTTGATTCTTTCTTGTCAAATGTTGAAGGTAACTTAAAAGTATCAGCCGGTCCTGAGCTCGCCTGATCATCCCCACTACTCGGCTCCCCATTTTTAGACACGACAGTAGGGTTTTCTGATGAATCGTTGGGTTGCTGTGTGGAACTTTCGCCTGAATCGACATACTTTCTCGCAGCTTTCTCAATGACGTCTAGAATATCCTGTTGGACGGTAGAGATATCGCGTGTGCCATTGAGCTGTGTCATCAACCTCGTCGATACGCTGCGAAGAGATGACACGAATTCTTCGCGGGGATCCTCTGAGTTTTCGTTATCCTCGGCTTCTTGTCCTTCTTCTTGGCTAGTCGCTGCTTCGCGAGGACTTTGGTTAAGTGCAGGCTTTTTGACAATAAAAGGTTCGACGTCGAATATCCTCCCCAAAATGCCCTCTTGAAGTTTGCGCTCCTCCTGAGAGCGAAAGTTTTTGGCAGAGCCACTGTTGTCGAAACTGGTATTTTGAGAAACAGGTACCACTTGAAACTCGTCATCAACATCAGAATCGTCCGGATCGGAATCAGGTGGTGGCCGCCTGGCCTGCAGAGCCAAAGAATCCGACAAAGAAAGATGCAACTCTGTGAGGGTAGAGGATGAATTTCGGATGCAAGTTTTAAGCTCCGTGGCCAAGTCGAGACTGTCTATATCAAGAACGGAAAGACTCTTCAGCATTTTGAAACCCGAAAGCGTTGGAGGTTCTTGAACTGTAGGATCGCGTTTGTTCGCCTTTGATTTTGAGAACTGCTTTGAAGTTGACAGAAGAGGGGGAGGCGACGAAATGAGCGGCAGAGATGACATAGGACCAGCTAAGGGAGCTGTGAACATTGCTGGGGGAGGTCCAGGAGGAGGTGGAGGAGGAATATCGGCCCAATGAGTCGAGGCTGGAGGAATGTCATCTAGAGTGAGCGGAAGAGGTGGCGGCGTCATGTAGTACGTGTCGCCAGCTTGAAGACGAATGTGAAACTTGGTCAGCGTTGAAATCTTGTGAAGCTCACGATAGACAGGTCTACTAAGTTCAACCCTGATGTTCCATCTATTGGCAAGGTTAGCGAAGATGGATATGAGTAAAAGCACACAGTCTGCCATGGAACTCACCGGAACGACTCGAGAGATTTCGCTTTCTTCAACGTCAAATATAACAATGTGTTAAGAAATTTTCCGCAACTGGCACTGTAAAGATATGGTTTATATGCATGTTCAGCTTTGACGCCAGTGCTAACTGTGTCCATGGACAACTCCCTTAGATGCTTTGCATAGTTATAGTCGCTTGTAGTGAATGTGTCGAGGCCGCCTGCGAGGCCATCAATCGGTGATTCGAATCTCACATCGTCGTCATCAGGAAACAGGATATTGAAGCTGCGATAGAGTATGGCAGATGCAAGCTCACGGAAGTGCTGAGAGACAAGAGCACAACAGATCAGATCAGACTGCGAGCACTGCGAGTGCATTAGTACGGCTACAAAACACACAATGGGTAACATCGACAAGACGAACATGCGACAAGATATCCTGCTGAATCTCAGCCGGGAGATCCTGGAAAGTGAGCAAGCGCATGGGCGGGGTGGCAGCCTTGTTGCCAACGGCCTCCGCAGCCATGATGAACGAGCGGGGGCAGCGTGGCAACTAGGCTGGCTGACGACAAGTGAGAGGAGAGACAGTTCGAAGTTGATAGAACGACAGATGGATCGAATGGGGGGCCAGTATCGAGAAGCAAACGATGCGCTGAGTGAATAACTTTGCGATACGTCTGGTGTTCGACTAGGTATGCGCCGCGCCGCGATGGAGATGTAGATGGAGACGGAGATGGGATGCGCCGATGTAGGCGGGCGGCTCGAATGGATAGCGTCGATCAGTCGGAGCTAAGAAGGCTATAAACTGGGGCCGTTGAGAGAGAAAGCAGGCTCATAAATGCCCAAGCAATGGACGGATACAGCAGAGAAGGAATCTCTCTGTACCTAGAGGTCGAGTGGAGGATGAATGAAACGAAAAGAGACAAGGATGGAGGAGAGTGAAGTCAAGTAAAGTAAAGTAAAGCGAAACTTAGTAAGTAAGTAAAGTCAAACCGAGTCACTGGATTGGATCAAACTGTCGCAAGCCGCCGCTTGGGGTCGGGATCTCTAGGTACGGTAGGTTGCAAGTTCCGGGGGTTTAGTGTTAGTGGAGGTTATGAATAGAACCCCCCCCCCCAGCGGCCCTTCTTGTTTGTTAATTGGTTGCTATGAGCGGCTGCTGCGGGGCGGATTAACGATTCCCAAGGATCTACCTTCCGTCGTTTGTTAGTGCCAATGAAGCTGAATATGGATCTTACCAGGCGGATGTCAGAAGAATTGTCCTTTAAGGATTAGGATACAGAAATAAAGCAGTCTAAAGGCTGGTCTAAACTGGCCTAAGATGACCAAGTTACTTCGTCTCTTATGCTGCTCGGGGTCAATTCTTCTGACACCCAGAGGCTTACCTTAGTAAATTGACTAGGATTATCTTGTAGGTATAGTAGGCGTTGTGCCTTGCCTAGGACAGGGAATATGAATACGGGATGGAGATTCTAGTATCAAGAGAAGAAGGCCCACGGGGTGACTGTAGAGAAATCCCAAGCACCATTGAGTTCTAAGAAATCCATCTAGCTTTACCCGTTTCTCGGCGTTGTGCGACAGTCGCAACGGCATTTGGGTTTGTTAACAACGAAAAACTGGAAACGTTAGCAGTGAAACCGAAGTGACAGAAACAAAGACCATCGGCATCACTGAAGAGACCCATGCATGTGGAGAATCGACCAAGCACTTCCTCACTGCTTAGATTAGTAGTTATTCACAGCGTCACAATGGATGACCCTAAATACCTGGCTGCTGTCTGTGGCGATCCTCAGTAATAGGAAAATCCAACATAAAATCAATTCTGTACCTGCTGAGACTCTATGTAATGGATCCATGCGAGTGTTGTGCCTCATATTAGTTGATGGCTGATTGTTTGTATAAGATCTGTTATTGCATCCATGGATACATACTGCGTATAACAATCATTTGCTTATAGGTCTTCGACTGTTTGTAGTGTTAGAAGAATAGTTATTTCTCACCCCCGCCAGAAAGAAGAAGAACAACGATGAAAATGCCCAGCTTCCCAAGGCATAATCTATGTGCTGGGCTGAAAACAAGGATCTGCCAACAAGTTCCGTATATCCTCACACAGCAAAAGCATAGGTAGGTCAGCGTCTCCTGTCAGCTCACCACATTAACCGTAGGAGATCTCTGCCTCGACTACCAGAATGCCTAACAGCGGAAAAGTGACTGTCAGCTTGCTGTAACAGAGGGACGAGATAACCAAGGTCCGATCATCAGGTACAATGAGTCGATCGTGTTGTGTTTGGACTAGGCACAGAATTGCCGAGAGCCAAGTCACCACAGAAGTGGTAGTAATAAGGCAGTCAGACTGCTGCATATGGATGTGTGATCAAGATGGTAGAGTATTATCCTGAATAGCAGAAACAAAACAAAATGATCTCTCTTACAGTCATAATTATAACAATTCTAGCCAATATTCACCCACGTAGACTACATAGTAGCATCCATATCAGTCTACCAAATGGCTCTAGAACATCATGAAACATTAGCTGTAGTGTTGGCTCTCCCCTTACATCCATCCCCGCTTCTAAGTCGTAACCTAGGCCCACGGTCCACCTACAGGGCTGTGTAGAACCCCTTCAATCATCCGTTCTCCATTAATGACTTGCTTAACCCCCCCAGGAACTTATCCATATCGACCTGCTGGGCCTTTTCTTTCTTTCTTCCATTTTCCTTCTCCCATCCTCGTTCTTCTGTTACGTTTCCAACTGTCATCTTTCATTCTTAACTCTACCCACCTTCGTTATAGCATTTGCCAAGCATTTGTATATTGCGCTCCCTTAAAAACATGAAATATCCCTGCATTCGCATCTAGGACTATTCATCATCAATTCATCGTCGTGAATTTCAGAACCACCGCTATTACTCGAAAAATAAACCCCCTACATAATGGCCGACACAGAAGAGCCCCAGTTCAACACCTTGGCTGAGCGTATTGCTGCCCTCAACAAGAAGAAGAGCTTCGCCAATGTTCAAAGCCCGAACCCGAGCCCAAGTCCTGGACCTGGACCAGTTCGCAAGCGACCGCCGCCGCCGCCTCCTCCCGTTCGTCCAGCTATCGAAGGCAGGAGTCAAACAGTACCGATTATATCAGCAACCCCAAGCCCTTCGCAGAATAACCCAACGATTCCTCCTCGCCCACTGAGAAAAGCGTCAACACCACAACTGTCAGCGCAAAACGGTCAAGATGTCGTTCAACGACGAACCCCGCCTCCACTCCCCAGCCGCACTTCGACCACGCAGTCTGCACCGACTTTGCCGCCGAGACGCCCCTCAACTCAATCCAGTCTGATGGTGAGGAGAAACTCTGGTTCTTCAGAGAGATCGCAGAATTCCGCAATCTCTACTTTATCTGCAGGTAGGCCCCCTTCATCAGTGACAAGTGTCAACTCTGATGGGGCCGTTTATAAAGTGCCACCGGCCTATGATCCTGCGAACCTCCCAAAACTACCCCCTTCGCGAAGAGAGAAAGAAGCCTCGGCCAAGGAGGTGGTGAAACCCAAACGTGCTCCTCCATCGCCACAGCCTCCACGAGCCATTGAGCCTCCACGAGCCATTGAGCCTCCACGAGCCATTGAGCCTCCACGAGCCATTGCGCCTCCACGAGCCATTGCGCCTGCACCTCCGGTTAGACCTGATCTTCCCCCAAGGTTACCCGCCCGCCCAGCGAAACCACAAGCAGACACCACGCCCGAACCGCAGACAGTATCTCAGCCAAGGAAGATACCGCCCAGACCATCAGAAAATGGCAAATCGAAAAGGCCGGTTATTCTTGGGTTTTCAAACAAGGACAAGGCCCAAGATGCCCAACCAGCACTACCTGCACGACCCCCAATCCCTGGCCAGCCACAACCAGCAGATGTGCCACCACCGGTACCGCTTGCTTCTCGTCCTTCGATGGCTCAAATTGAAGCATATGAAACACAAGCTTTAACTGCACCTGAACCTGTATACGGGTGTCTCATATGTCGTGATTGGAGCGCCCCTGATGCCGTTGCTGCGCAATACCCTCGAGACTCCGTGCCAAGGAACGACCCAGTCGGTTACTTGGCACAGGTGCTCTGTGGCCCTTTCCCTTCTTATACGGATAAGGCACGGGCGATATTCACTTGGTTCCATTACAACATTAACTATGATGTTGCCGCATTCTTTGGTAACAATGTCAGGCATATGACCGCAGAAGATACTATCTTTACTGGCAGAGCTGTTTGCGCAGGATATGCAGAAACATACAAAGCGATCGCCAACAGAGCTGGTCTTGAGTGTGTGGTTGTTACTGGCCACGGAAAGGGATTTGGATACACTCCGCTCAAGAAGGGTGAACGTCCGCCACCAGCCAAGCCAACTGGGCATGCCTGGAACGCGGTGCGCATCGATGGCGGCGATTGGAAGTTGTTAGATGCCTGCTGGGGAGCTGGTCATCTTGATGGACAAAGTTACGTGGCAAAGTTCTCACCTCTGCAGTTCACAAATGCCAACGAGCATTTTGGACTCAGGCATTTCCCAGCAGACTCACGACATCAGTTCCGAGCCAATGGGCAGCCTGTTACGTGGGAAAATTACTACACCGGAGGCATTGAAGGCGAGCCTCATGGGATGTGTGGGACTACGGCTGAAGAGGGCATTTCAGAGCCCAGTATCGAGCCGAAGCAGCGTCACATCTCCATTGACAGCGGAGAGATAGTGCGCTTTCAATACTCCAAGATCTGCGAGCACTGGACGAAGGATAAATGCGGTGGAAAAGAAGGGTTGGTGCTCCTCAGCCTTCCTCGGGGCGAAGGTCAGAGAGACGAGATGATACCCATGGAGACAAATGGGTTCTGGTACTGGCTTGACGTGAATGCGTGGGATTTGGGTCCTCGGGGCCAATCAGTACGTTTACTCGTTTTGACCAAGTTCGGCGACCGCGAGGATGCAAGAGGAGTCACAGGCGAAGAATTCCTCGCCAAGGTCGGTAGATATGCCATGGGATGGTCCTACTTGGTGACTTGGGACTTGGTCTGAGCTGAGGCCTCTCCCCCCCAGATAATCACATAATGCTTGGCGTTTCTTGATGGTACCATGTTTCTGCATACCACATTCAAAATAATCTATGGCAACTAACCGCCAATCTCTAATTTATTCTCCGTCCCGTAGTTAGTGCATGAACCAACCGCTAACTTGAACAACCAACATGGCACTTGTCGGGAACGGAAATTGTAGGTATCTGTGGTGGAGGGTGGAATTGCATGGAGTACAGTAGTGTAGATACGGATGCATACCCATACAGTACTGTGTCTATGTATCTCCGCGATTATAAAGGCAGGCCGGCACGAAGGTTTTCGCCGAGCCACCTGATAAGTGCATCTTTCTCTTGGACCTCATCTTGGCAATCGTAGCTCATGACGTACACCTGTACTGTGTGTAGCTGACGCATAGACTACAGTATGGCTGAATATGATCTCATGTTCATTCATCTTAGACATGGTTGCTTTATTGTTAATTATAAGGCTTTGCTGCAAAATCATTCGATGGACAAGTTCGCGATATCATTGAAGATGAGGGTATCATGAGTAAGCGGATTACATTACACGAGTAAGGTGGGCTATCAAAAAGTCCCGACAACCTAGTGAGTGCAGTTAGTTTCCTAGGGGCATTCTGTGGAATCTCGGCATCCATCCATCCATGGATCTGTGTGTGGGGTTTTTAGGCGGTAGTCAGCGCTGCCTCCACTGACTCCCCAGCTAATAGGTACATACCGCCTGCTGTAAGTACGGGCCCGACTAGTACCTGCCTCCACTGGCGCTTTCACGGTCGGGCAAGTCGGGCCATGGATGTAAATGTAAGTGGAGGATTGGAGTTGAGTTGTAACAACCTCGATCGTGCACCAACTCCATTTTTTGATGCAAGTGGCCTTTTGGGGTAATCAGAGAATAAGTCAGGTCACACCCACTTCAAGAACGGAGCATAATATCGGGGACGCGTCGTAATGTATGAAATACATACGATTGTCTGACACCGACTACCTGCCTACCTGTGTATTGTACTGTACATTATACATACTCACCCAGTCAATGAGACATATCAGATTCTTTCCAGCAGTAAAGAGGCACGACGAGACGATCAACCAATTCGACCTTTCAAGCAATCACGTGGGTATATCGTAAGAGGCTGATGGACTGACCAGACGCTCGTCCGGGAATATTCGGCCCAATCCCTACAGTACACAGGCTGTTCAGAGTCAGAAAGCACCTGGTCTCGGAGGGCCGAAGAGACCCTTTTTACGATGCATTTGCTTTGCATATGCAAAGGATAAGCAGCCAAGAAACCGAGACAGACGCAGAGGCACTGAAGCGTCTTAGCGCCACGGCTCTTTGACTACGAATGTTTGTTGACCTTCAAAACTCTCCATCTCACGGGACAATCATTGCCCCAGTTCCAGCTGTCCCCGCACTTCTCGACACCCGGATTGGAGGGGGGAATAGGATCATTAAAGGATGTGCGGATGGTGTCGAGATGCCATTGGACTGCAAGGTGTGTCCACCATCTCGGCAGTATTCTCGAATCTTTCGACTTACCTCAACTCGACTCAGGGAGAGCAACCTCTTGGCCGCACCCTTGCTAGGTGCCTGGGTAGAGCCGTTCGTCCTGCAAGTGAGGGGAGAACGGGTCTTCCCAGCCTCTTAGCCTCTGTACCGCACCGTACAGAAGATATACACAGCCCCGGGTCCACTGGCAGCAAAACCCTCAGAAACTAACGGTACGATCTCTGGTGGGGAGATTTGGGAAACAAAATGCCTTTATCCGAGCTTGCCATGTTACGCTTCAACCTATCAGCACTTTGGGGATGGCACCAAGACCTCTTGGCAGTCAAGGAGGTCAACGGGCAGACCATAATTGTGGCTGTTGGCCGAGTGGACCAGCAAGCCAGTTTCACCCAGGCTGGCAGGCATGGCGTTGTAGTCTTTCGGTTAGGCTCGTCATTCTGCTCCATCCTAGTCCTAGTCAGTACATGGTCAGAAAGAATATATAAGCGCAGGCCCCAATGATTTGGTCCCTTCCTTTTGGAACTGGACCTAGTGTCACCAAGTGACCTTGTCGACTTCCGATCGAAATGATCTCTTACAATGCCCGCAACCAGAGAATAGAAGCCTGGGTCAATGCGGCTGCTGGTGAAAGCGAAGATGCAGCCCCTACGGATCCAGAAGCCCGCGACCTGCACGACCAGGAAAAGGCACAGCGCATCGAGCATGAGGATTTATGTCGCGAAAACAAGCAGGTAGGCCGCCAAGGATGGGAAACTACGACATGATGAACCGAATTCTGACCTGTCTACTGTTAAAAGACGTACAGAGGTGTTGTGTTATTATGGCTCGCCTGGCAAAGCGCTGGTGTCGTCTATGGCGACATCGGCACCAGCCCTCTCTATGTTTTCAGCTCGACCTTTACCGAACAGCCGTCATGGCACGACCTTGTGGGCGCCCTTTCAATCATTATATGGTCCCTCACTCTCATCGTGACGGTTAAATATTGCTTTATTGTGTTATCAGCCGATGATGACGGACAAGGAGGCACCTTTGCCCTATACTCGCTACTTTCTCGATACGCCAATATCGCTCGTACCGACCCTAATGGCCCAGAGAGAATCGTCGTGCGCCTCGATCGTGAAACGGGCGCTGAACTGGCACCAGCCGGGAGAATGGCCCGCGATTTTCTGGAAAGAAGCCGAGTTGCTCAAAGCGTCCTGAAGGTCGTTGGTGTTTTGGGAGTTTCCATGGTTGTAGCCGACAGTATCTTGACGCCCGCCCAGTCTGTTTTGGGAGCTGTCCAAGGAATCCAGGTCATCAGGCCCGATCTCGGTAGGCCTGCTATCGTGGGAATATCTTGCGCGATCCTTGTCGCGCTTTTCGGATTGCAGTTCTTCGGCACTTCTAAAATCGGCACCTCTTTTGCCCCTGTCGTCGTTATCTGGCTTCTCTACAACTTGTCCATCAGCATATATAACCTCATTCAGTACGATCATACCGTGCTTAAGGCCTTCAGTCCTCATTACGCTTTCCTATATCTTATACGAAATGAAGCTCGCGGCTGGAAGTCACTAGGCGGACTACTTCTTGCGTTTACTGGTGTCGAATCACTCTTTGCAGATCTCGGTGCTTTTGGAAAGCGAGCAATCCAGCTGTCTTGGTTGTGCCTGGCCTTTCCATGCTTGCTAATCACATATTGCGGCCAAGCAGCCTTCATCTCACAGGACGAAACCGGACTGGCCTTCACGAATCCCTTCTTCCGCACCGTGCCCGAGAGCACCCTGTACTTCAGTATCATCATAGCTGTCCTTGCTGCTATCGTTGCCAGTCAGGCTCTAATCGTTTGTTCGTTTCAGCTCATTTCTCAGCTCATGAGACTCAGCTATTTTCCTCATATAAAAACGGTCCACACCAGCCGTCGATTCCACGATCAGATCTACATGCCGCTTGCGAACTGGCTATTGATGATCGGGACAGTGGTGGTGACGGCTGTCTATAATAATGTACGTCAGCTTCTTATCTTTTGTTGAAACTATACCTAACTCGAAATTTTACAGACAACAAGCTTGGGACACGCTTACGGCGTCTGTGTCATAATTGTCACGTTTATCACGACCTGTATGGTAAGCTTGGTGGCGCTTATCATCTGGCGAATCCAGTCACTCATCGTCTTGCTGGGCTTTTTGATCTTTATACTGCTCGACGGTATATATCTAATCGCAGCATTGAATAAGGTTCCCGATGGTGGTTGGTTTGCGTTGGTTTTGTCCTTCATTCTAAGTACCTTTTTCATACTTTGGCGATGGGGCAAGGAACAGCAATGGGAAGCAGAGCAGCGGGATATGGTTGATCCTTCGGAATTCATCGTATCCTCCCGAAGCACTTCACGAAACAACTCGATTGCCAGAGGCATAACTGGCGATGGCTCGATGCGGTCAATACGATTCAGGCTTCAACCGGAGTTTGGAGGTGGGCAGGTGATGACAGCCCCGGGCATCGGCATCTTCTTCGATAAAGTTGGAGGCACTGGAGACCATATTCCCAAAGTCTTCACACAGTTCATCCGGAAGTTCCAAACGCGACCGCAGGTTATCGTCTTCTTCCACATGCGATCATTGTCGCAGCCCACAGTGCCATATGACCAGCGCTTCGTTATTGCCCGAGTCACGACCAAGATTCCCTCGTGTTACCGAATTGTACTCCGACATGGCTACATGGATGACATTCTCACGCCCAATTTGGCAGCAATTATTGTTAACGAGTTAATGACCTTTATCACGAGAGGGCCATTCCCGCCTGATGAGAATGACATGCCCCCGGAGTTTCGAGGTGAGCTAGAAGCGCTTCGAGCTGCTGAGGAAGCACAGACTGTCTATCTCATGGGCAAGCAAACCATGCGGGTGCAAGAAGAGGAGAAGATGGGATTCACCAAGCTTCTTCGGCGGATAGCATTGGAAGCATTCTTGTGGGTTCGTGAGAACTCACGAACCAAGCTCGCCAATTTGAACATCAACCCAGATAATCTGGTTGAGGTGGGTTTTGTAAAGGAAATTTAAAGACGGCCACGAATATTGTGTAGGAGATACCCCAGCCCTGCTGCCAAACGGAAAGGGAAAACCATGATGAAGCTTATAGAATAAGGTTGGCAAAGATGGACGAACTGAACTGAACTGGAACAAAGGCGCTTTTTTGGATTTACGAATTGGCTGGGAGGCTCGCAATCACAAACTTTCCGCTCTGACTCTATTCTATGGATGGATTGGATGGATGGATGTCTAGGATCATTTGCTTGCATACAATTTTGGAGTTAACAAACGATAGCGATATACCCTCAAAAGCGAATAAATGAACTGGATGAGTTATGATATAAATATCGTTTGATGTTTGATGTTTGGTGAGTGATGATATATATCTATGCTTCCTGTTTCTTGCTTAGTAGTATGTTGACGCAAAGAAGGCCAACCAAATCTTGTGTTGCCTTGACTAAAGATTATTCTTGAACAAACACGTAGATCAACTTAACTTTCTTTACTTTGTGGATCGATCGAATAAAATAAGATTGAGGTTATAATAAACCCAAAGTGCCTCTCATCTCCGGTATCTTAATGCACTGCACGTGTTTCCGCGTCGTATCCCCAGACCCAGACCCAGACAGGGCCTCCACATCCCGGCTCTCTCTGTTCCGCAGTGCAACAACGTGTCACCAAAACCTCACTTTGTAACAATCATTTGATGCCTAAAACCTTTCGGCATCTACCTTTCTAAGCATTGATTTGCTTTGATTGCCGACGATTAATTCAACTGGATCATTCATGATGCGCCATTCCTCTTTCTTTTCTCCTTCTTTCTCCTTCTCAGGCCTCATCTAACTAAAACCCACCTTCTCAACTCTTACACACCCACCCATCATGACTGTCACAACGGCAACCTCACTTTCTCGTACCGAGATCCTCACCCTCTCACTCATCTCGGGCGCATCGTGTGCCGTCCTCGCAAACACACTTCACGGCGATGGCGAACCTCTCATTGCATCTCTGGCTCTGTCCTTCCTCGGCTTCTCGCTCTGCTTCGCCATGATCCGCTGGCTAGGACCTACCTTTATGCGCGCCGGTTTCCGTGGTCGCGATTTGAGCAAGGTGCAGCGCAATGAAATTCCAGAATGCATGGGCGCTGTATGCGCGGCTGTCTACCTACTCAGCCTCATCGTCTTTATCCCTTTCCCTTTCTACAAGGACATTGTTGCGGCCACTAGTGGTGGTGGAAATCGCGATGTCGTGGTTGAGCTTGAGAAAGTCAACCAGGGGCGTTTCTTGCACAAGTTCCCCCATAACAAGGTGCGTATTGATGTGGTTCTTCTTGACTTTGACATTCAGCTAACCCCTACAGCTCGCGTCGTTTCTGAGCGCCATCATCTCTCTCCAAACTATTGCCTTTTTGGGTATTGGCGATGATCTATTTGACATCCGTTGGCGACACAAGTGGTGGATTCCTGGTATTGCCTCGATCCCTCTTCTGGTCGTCTACTTTGTCGACTTTGACGTCACATCCATTGTTCTGCCTCTTCAACTCCAGCCTTATCTGGGCGAGCTATTCGACCTTGGTGCACTCTACTACGTCTACATGGCTTGTGTTGCCATGTTCTGTCCCCAGAGCATCAACATGCTTGCTGGCATCAACGGTATTGAAGTTTCTCAGTGCGTCATTGTCGCTCTCCTTCTCGCCTTCAACGATTGCTTGTACCTCTTCACGCCCTACCCGCACCCTGCGACTGACTCTCACCTGTTCTCGCTCTACTTTCTTCTGCCATGGATCGGCGTCTCATGCGCCTTGCTTTACCATAACTGGTACCCGGCCAAGGTCTTTGTAGGCGATACATACTGCTACTTCTCTGGTATGGTTTTTGCCGTAGTCGGTATTCTTGGCCACTTTTCCAAGACGCTTGGGCTACTCCTCGTTCCACAAATCTTCAACTTCCTTTACTCAACCCCTCAGATCTTCGGCCTGATCCCTTGTCCACGCCACCGACTTCCCCATTTCAATGCCCGAAGCGGTCTTCTTGAGCCCTCAATGACGCCCTGGTCTGCTGAGAAGCAGCCGCGTCCCCTGGTCGCGCGGGGTCTGCTTCTCCTCAGCCAGCTGCGACTACTGAAGGTGACTGTTAACGACAAGGGCCAGTTTGTCGAGACGAGCAACTTCACTATCCTCAATCTCTGGCTTGTTTGGCGTGGGCCACTCCGCGAGGATCGGTTGGCTCTCGAAATGACTCTCTTCCAATTTGCCGTTGGGCTTTTTGGGCTGTTTGTGAGACATCGGTTGGCACTGTTGGTCTTTAAGGAAGACAACTGGGGAACTACTGCGCAGTATTGAAGAGGGGAATTTTTGGAATAATCAGACGATAGTGAAATTTGGAAGAAAAGAAACCCGCTTGACCTATTGGAGTAGTTAGAGAGAAGTTAGGGAAATAACATCTTCCAATCTGACCCCGTCTGTTCACAGTATCGCTTGGTCCATTTCCAAATGTCGGGTAATCAAGTCATTGCATCCGCACTGATGCATCACAATAGAGTGGGCGATAATAAGTAATGTGTCTTTCAAAAGGGTGGTTTTCCCATCGTTTCAAGCAGTACTACATAAGTCTGATGCATACATGCATGCAAGCACGGGTAACGCATATAATTACATAAAACGAGTCCTTTGACGTCTTCTTTCGAAAGACCTTGCTCGATAACTGTGTTCCACCTATTTCTTTCCTTTCCCAATCCGCTCATATCAACACAGATCAGGACGAAGAACCCAACAAGAAGCCATATGGCCACTATGCCTTTTCTCTCACATTCAACCCCCAATGAAAAATTCCATTGGTCCGTAGGCACCAACCTGCTGCGCCGTCACCTCATTCAGATACTGGGGTTCTCTGACAGACCGGCCAAATCCAGTACCCAGGGCCAGTGCCTCATAACCTCCTCAAACGCCATACCATCGGGGTAATCATCTGACGTACCAGCCAGTATATAGAAATGAGAGAACTCCAGGCTTTTGATTCCGCCATCCCCGGGGAAACATAAAAAAAGAAAACAAAGAAAATCTTCAAACAGTGGCGGCATTAAATATCGTGGTATTATAAGGAGCCATTCGTCGCAGCGACAGGGGCCATAACCATGCCTTCCGGAGGCTTCTCGATCGAATGTGAATCGACCACTATATCGACCTTGGTATCCTCGGGGCTTGAAATAGAAGGCTTCAGGACAGCGTGTCCGCCAGCGGTCTTGCCGGCGGCTTTGTTCATGCGACTTTTCGTATAGTCGCTCAGGCTAAGTTTCTTTTTCACTGGACTGGGATGGGCAGCTACACCGTTGACAGCCGGTGGGGCAAAGGGACTAGGCAATGGACCAGAAAGAGGCGAATGTGCCACCACACCAGGCTGAGGAGTTGTGATGCTGTGGATGCCCAGTCCTGTACTGTCAAAGGAGGGTACAGGGGGTAACTGCACGCGGAAGTCCGGGGTTTTTGTCCTTGCTGAGGTATCACTTGCAGCTGATCCCAGGACAGGGGTTGTAGCTGGTGACGAAGCATCCGCCAAAGGAGCATCACCGGAGGGAGGGAACAAGGGCGGCAACTCGGATTCTGATCGCTTAATTGACGGAGCGTGTTCCACAGGCGAGTCAACTTCCATTGCAGTGCCATTAGAGGCTTGACTGACTGAAGACCTTCTTCGGATGTCGTCCTCTTCGGTCTTGACCTTATGGCGGCTGTTGAGTAGTCGTTTGGAAAGCGGAATTATGCGCTTCTTCGGACGCGGAGATCGGTTATGCTCGCTGAACCAGGCGCCCTCAACTGGGTCGGTTTGTACTGCAGCATCGCAGTACACCCCTCGGGGTGTAATTGAAGACTCGCGGGACCTGGAGGCTGCAAGACTCTGGTTGGGCATCGACGGCCCTTGATGAATGTGTGGAGAGGTGCTAGTTGGTGATCCGGAATGGCTCCTGCAAGTCCCAGCATCAACATAGTTGCCATGGGATGCCACTGAGCCGTTACGCTGCTTGGACTTGGAGGAAGTAGAGCAGGTACCATCGGATACACGCTTCTTCTTTCTCGGTGGTTGTTGCTGCTCCATACGGCGGAAAGTATCCTCAACCATGGCAACCTTGCGTTTGTCTCGGTCTGTTGGTTCAGTTAGGATGCCTAATTGATCGAAAGAGCCCTGTCGAAGAGGAGTAAGGTCACGGCTGGGTGGTTTACTTCGCAGAGAGCCTGACTGTGATCTGTTGTCGTGATCTACACTGTCCTCAATATGACCTTCGCTTGTAGCTCGACTCGTGATGGTCTGCCCTGTGCTAGTTGGTGAGATGGCCTGTGTTTTCGACTTTCTTGGTTTCTTCTTCGCAGGCCCACGCACTTGCGGCTTCCCATGGAGGTATTGGCGATGGAAGCGTGCGAACGCGCAGTTGTTATCCAGGTCGCACGCACAACCGCCATATTCCGAGAGAATCCGGTTCATCCAGTTCGATATCGCCATGTACTCTGTTTCATCCACTGGTATCTCTGCATTGCTGGAGGAGTCGTCATCACTCAACCCAAGAAGGTGAAGCCAACGAGCATGTACACTCTTCTCTAAGCGAAAGTCCCACGGCAAGGTGATTTGCTCGTTGGCGGAGATATATCTGTCGCTGACGATCCAAAAGTGGTATTCGCTTTCGTCAGAAAGATATGTATCAAGCTGGGCATTGGGCTTGCAGCTTCGGCGGACATAGCGAGCCAAGGAACCCTCCTGTCGTGTGTCGATATACAAAGGCAGGACGGGGTGGAAGAAGACGAAGGGAAGGGGAGAGGATAGATCGGCCCAAAGGTTTGCTGGATCAGTGCAGTAGTCCTTTTGGAATCCGATTGCGCCGTTCAGCTCAACAAGAGGCACATCCTTCTCAATTGGTGTACTGGATTTTAGAAACCTCCATCTGAGAGCTTTGCCGTCATCCAGTGTTCTCGTGGTATCGCCAACTTCAAGCTTAGGCTTGTTGGTTTCCAGATTCGCGGGCGTCTTTTGGAAGACCTCTGAGTGTCGCCTCCCCACTTCACTCCTCATCGTATTGGGGTCGCGAAGCCAGCGAGAAAGCGCTGTGGGAATGGCAAGACTAGCGAAGGCATTGTTGTGCGAGTCGGGGACGTCTCTCGCATTGTACAAGTTGTAGAACCCTTGGGAGTATTGGTGGATTTGAAAATCTTCAGGCAGATCTGGTGGGGTGGTGGCAGGGCTTGGAGGATGGGCAGTATTTGATCTGCCATTTCCGTAGGAGGGACTCCGCTTGGGGGCTTGTGAGCTGACGGATTGTGAAGAACGATGTTTCGCTTTTTTAGGAGGGGGCTGCTGATCTCCAGCATGATTATATCTGCCATTCTCTTGGGGGCTAGCATGGCCATTCATTGGTAAATCAGCGGGCTTCGACCTCTTCTTGTGACTCTTCGAGGGAGGTCGTTTTGTTCTTTTGTCGGTACGTTCATCTCCCGCAGTCCCATTCTTGAGACGGAGGGTACGCTCGATAGCCTTTTGACGATCGAGGGGCCGAGGTTTGCATTCTGCACAGGAGTGTGCGAAATCCTCGCGAATGGCTTCATCTCGATTATCGGGGTAAAAGCAATCGATGTGCTGCCACGTATCACATGTCTCGCAATAAATTGTGTTTCCATCATCGTCAGAGAAGTTGCAGATACACTTTATTGTATATGGTTCTTCTTCCGCTCCGTCCGCTGGTCGAGCGGCTTCGTCCTTGGGTATTGCGCCCGGTAGAACGGGAGCGATCTGACTAGGAGCCGCGGACTGCGTAGACAACGACACCGGTTTTTCGGTCATAATCTGTCGTTGTGATGATGCAGTTAACACGGGAGAGTATGTATCTTGTCTAAAATCGCGGTCTTTGGGGCATGACGACGCCGTTCAAAGGGCGCGTCGGGATGACCGTAAAAGGAAGTCGCGAACTAGAATGACGGATGGTATTCCCATGCAACGAAGCAAAGGAAGCGTCTGTGTTCGAATAGTCGGGTATCGCAGGCGTCGAAGGACCAAGGACTCGACTGGCAGAAGCGTCGACAGTAGGGTGGGAGGTCAGCGGCGCGACGACGAGGTAAACCAAGTCAAGGAGGTTGATCAGATTGACGACCAGAGACGAAATATGAGGCGTAGACGTGAATCGAGGGCTTGTTGGAGACACGCTCGGTCGGTTTGTGTTTTCGCAAAACTCGTTGTGATCGGTCACGGCAGGGTTGGGGCGACGAAGGTCGAGGTGTCGAGCGTCGAGAAGTTGGTGGCCAGGCGTTAAAGAGGTGAGGCGGTTAAGAGAGAGTTCAAGAAAGTAAATTTCGAGACTACTCAAACACAATGCATACACGGAGAGAGTTTGAAGCAGACGAGGTAACGAGATGTAAGGATTGAAGATCGTGGACTGCACGAAGAAGGGTGGGTGATGAAGAAAGAGGATGGGGAGGAGCGACAAGACCGGGTGCGCTGCTAGACAAGTGCGGTACTGCGGTACCGACTTGGGACCTGCCTGGGGTCCATTTCCAGTTGGCTAGAGGGGGAGACACCTCCAGTCGTCTGGAAGTGAGCAGCAAGTAAAAAAAAAAAGAAAGGTACGTACCTACCTGACCTTGGTACCCTCATCAGCGGCACTTCACTCGCCCTTCTCATCCACCTGGGGTGGCTCCTACTCAATTCTCAGCAACCGGGAGAAGACATGATAGCAGCAGATTATGCCAAAGTGAATGGATGGGCCACTGGGCCGTTTTTGGTAATCTCTGCTCGTGCTTCTGGGCTGGATTGGGCGGGAGTCCCAAGTGAACAACAAGTACTCACAGCACAGTAGTGTATGAGCGAGGGAACGGGGACACTCGAGTGGCCCCCCAAAGAAAAGACAAAACAGAGAGACATGGAAGAGAAGAGACGAGACAAGGACAAAAGGACAAATGGCGCTAAACCCAAACCTTGACTGGTGGTGGATAGAGAGAAATCTTAGTGCAGCAAGCAGGGCACCTGGGCACGCAGGCAGGCGCTTTCTCGGCCTGAGGCACTAATGATCAATGACATTGTCCCGCCTCTGCAGAGCTGCCCCGAGCACGGGCATGGCTCGGAGCAGAAGGGGGGGAGGATACACTCGAGCAAAAGCCCAGAGATGGGAGTGGGAAGAAGTTTCTGCTGGAAATTGCGTATGGCGGGTTTTTTTTGGTTGGCGCGGGCGACCAGCCAGGGGCTCAGCTCATCAATAATGAAAGAGGGCGATTGGGGCAGGTCGTCGAGACTCGAGAGCTGCAAGAAAGAAAAAAAAAAAAAAAA